TGTAGATGCCTTCTAAGCCTTGCTGGTGTATGTTGAGATCATCCAGTAAGTATAACAGAGAAGATAAAGTTTGTTGATTAGGTTAAATATTCATCGATTGTGGTGGTTAGTAATGTGTTACATGTGATTACGAGGAGAAACATTTATAACATTAACGATTTTCACTACTGGGTATATATATAACGCATCGGATGTGATTCGCACTAATTATGGAATGTCACGTAAGCCTCGGAAACAGTGTGATTGAAGACGGAAAGAGAGAAGGCATAATCACTGACAAATGCACGTAGTATTGACACAAAAATTCTATGAACAATACTATTTTAGTAACTATATATATATATATATATATATATATATATATATATATATATATATATATATATAACGTAGAAAATTGGAGGAAGTATTAAATAAGCAAATATCAAAAAGAACATGAACAAACCAATAAATAATTGAATAAACGTAGATAAAGAAAGCTGGTCATGTTTTCTGATGACATTAAATCAATGATCTGTAGGGGACTGCATATGTGTGTATGAGGAAGGAAATGAGGAAAAGTCTATCGAGAACAAGAAAATATGCTCAAAAAGTTACAAACAAGCACATACACAACTATGCTCGCATGAATATAGTTGTAAAAAGGCAAGGTAATGATGTTGCAACAAGACTTAACCGATAGTAATAATGAATAAAAATTGGAAAAGATATAGAACGAAATAAATTTCTAGTATAATAAGATGAATTAGCAGACAAGATAGAAAGGAGAAAGTAATTAATGTAATGATCATTAACAATAATAATAATAATAATAATTATTATTATTATTATTATAAGGAATATTGTAACTGGAGTAATAAATGCGCTAAGCACAGAAAAGTAAACGAAAATAAACATTGATGATCAAAGAAGAAAAAGATTGTATAACAATTGAGAGAGATAGAGAAGTGAAACACGACTAGATAGATAAACGAACAGATTATACGCAGACACACACACACACATACAAAATATACTTTATCAGAATCCGAACATAAACATACTTTAATTCATCATCTCCACTGAATGTTAGTTAAATGTGCTTTAATATTTGGAAAAATAATGTTCATGAAAACATTAATTATGCGTATCATATTGAAATATTTTCAATTCTCACATTCAATTACAAAGATGAACTGAATAAAGATAATGAAAATTCATAATGAAATATAATAAGGTAATACAATAATTCCCTGATAGAACAACCAAACAGAAATGATTTCAATAATGAGTTTACAGAAGATTAACAAACAAAAACAAAGGGATAACAAGGATTTTAGTGAACAAAGAAATAGGATAGATGAGATTGAGATATTACACAACACAAATTACTAAATATAATGAAAGTATGAAACTAAGATAATTAGTGAATCAGACACTGTTAATGAAGAAAAAATGCACAGAATACAACAACAATTAATAAACACAAATAGTAATTGAATAAAGACTTATTAGTCATATTATAAAGTGTAATGCACCATTGAAAAAAATTGTAAATAAACGGATAGTTTTGTATCAGATATATGCATTGAGCACGTATGCTTTAACACAGTACGTCTGTCGTTGAAATAAAAAGACAACAGCTTCAATTATGAGGAATGTTGTGAGTGATTAGATGTAGTGCTAAACATATATGAAGTACTTGTTGACAATAATAGTAATATTAATGATAATAATTATAATAATTAGCATCAATGAAATGGTATTGACTGACGAAGAATTGTGCAACAAAAGATAAATCAATATAAATAAAATTATTATTCAGTGGAAATCATAAGGAAATCTCTTGCAATCTCTTGTGAATAACATATTGAAATATAAATTATGCATGTGGTATACTGATTTCACACTGGTTCCCCACCAGCACCTACAATAACAGATGTCCCACTGCTAGCTGATGGAGGCACTGTCCCTGGTGGATAAGACAGTTTCTCCAAATCCTTTAAGAATGCTTCTGGCACAAGTATATGCGTACCACCAACGATAATATCCCATTGTTTACCTAGCGCAGTATTCATTAATTCATATGCACAACGGATTTCTGAAAAGGATATTCCACCGATTACAAAGAATATTAATCTGGGTCCAGAACGTGGTTGTTGACTTTTATCCCGATGCCACATTCCATATCTTGCGGACATTGGTGCATTTCCTGTACGCGTTCCAGGACCACGAACAGGGCCACCACCAAAGTACTGAAATAATTTCGGATCCAACTTATCTTCAGCAGCATCCTTAAGTTAAAAAACGTCGAAGTGATTAGTACACTTATATCATGTCACTGAGAAATTATAACAAAATAAGAGGTAAAATATGAAATACGTAGAAAATAATTTACATTGTTACCATGTCCATAATTTTTAACTGAAAGAGAATAGGATAAAAGTAACAAACAAATCGAAAATACATCTTAGCATCCAGAACTTTTCTCTCGTGACTAAATATCTCTAAAATTTTTCATCTATAGATGGAATAAAAAAAATCAATCCATTTCTGAGTTAACGAATAGTCTTTCAGTTATTGCATTGATACTTAGTTAATCAGCTGAGATAATAAAAGCTGACTAACCTCCAATTAGATTTGAACAAGTAACATATAACTGACACACTCGTCCCAAACAATTCTCATTCTCATTGCAAAATAGAACAAACAATTTAGAGCGTCAGATGTTAGACGAACAATGATATATATATATATATATATATATATATATATATATATATATATATATATATATATATATATATATATATATATATATATATATATATATATATAGTTGATGACTGTTGTACAGCACATAGTTATTTTTGTAATTGTTTCTCAATGGTATTGTACTTTGTATTAACCCCAAGGGTAATAATTTTATTATTCATTCAGATAATTTAATCACTATTGAACATCCTCTTGAACTATTTTTGCCACATCGAAAATATTAACTCGACAAAATTTCTGCATTATACTGCTATTCTAAGTACATTGAATTACATAGAACATTCACCTATGATACTCATTAAAATTCCTTTTCCTTAATTGACATTTTCACGATTCCATTTATATTTTTCCAATATCAACATTATCATTAGTGTACGTACAGCCCTTATTCAACAACGAATCGTTTTAGCATATCACATTAGTCGTTAACGAAGCAAAACAGCATTTGAATTATGAGTCAAATTACCTACCTCCATAAGATCTTTGATATAAGGTGTCCATCGAGACATTTGATATCGTGGACCATCCTCCCGTTGACGTCGATTAGCAGGCAAATAAGGCTGAGGAAGTTTACGCCTCCCTATACCCTATTTTAACAAAAAAGAAGACTGAAAAATATGGACAACAATAGTTATAATATAAATGCTTCTGATAATTGACGTGATGTTATTATCACCATGAACATTTCATTACACTGTTATACATCTTTATTATTGTGACATGAGGTAAGGAAAACTAAGGGTTTACAGTGAAAGCTAATGAACAAGTGGAAATGGGAAAAAGTGGAATCATGGCTGTTCCGATTTGAAGAAAAACGATAACATTTAAGTAAAAATGAACCAGAAAGTTACACTGCAACATTAGTTGTAGCTTGGTGGAATAAAATACTGTTTTAGCTTTTATTAACACTTGAGCTTTCTCCTTATTATTTCTATACAAATCAATAGGATCATTGATAATTGAGCGTAATATTTGAATAGATGGATCTTAGTGTCATTTTTATGAAATAGTGATCAATTTAGGGTTATGTGACCAATCATCAAAATCAAGGTCAAGGATAACAACAACTACAGTATGTTACTCATTATAGACTAGATTCACTCATAACCTCATCGGTTGATCTATTACCTCAACTTCAAATCACTCAGCCAAATCTTAACATTACCCACCTGGGAGTTGTAATGCATAATAGTGGTGATTCGAATGTATTATTGACTAAATATTCAACTTTACACATGATATGAAGTGAACAAAAAACTTTTAACGAGATAATTGACTTAAAACGTCAACACGACATATGAGCGCATGTTACTACTCATTTTAAAGGAGTAATAAATATTCTAAAACACTTCAAGGAAAAGAGAACATTTATAAATTCACTTGGTGTTGTTTTACTTTTATCTTCCCATTGTTACTAAGGACTGCAATTGATCAGTCTCATGTTGATATATGTGCATCCTGTGCGGATTGCCTCGATATAACCTTAAGTCACAAGCTTTTTAAGCAAAGATGGATAGTGACTAGCAGTGGAATTCAGAACGCACGATTCGTCCTATTTGAGACTCGTCAGTTGGATGTACCTGCCAACATGAGACTGATCAATTGCGGTCCTAAATAACAATGGGAAGATACAAGTAAAACAACACCAAGTGAATTTAAAACTTCACCCCATTGCACAAGCAAGTGGCTATCAGGACTCAGTAGCTAAGTGGAGAACGCGATGGTGTTTGAAACGAACGGTGAACATCAACTCTGGGATGCAGGTACATCCAGCTGACGAGTCTCAAATAAAACGAAACACGCGTCCTGGATTCCACTGCTAGCCACCATCTATCTTTGCTTAAAAAACATTTATAAAGATAATAATGTTTCAGTTCAATAATTGAATGTTCAAGTCAAAGATATTCAAAGTTTACACATCAATAACATACAGATAGATTTACTTTACTTTTCATGGTTATCATTGATAAAAAGAACAAAAAAACACAATACAAAGAATATCGATTACTTTCTTTTATCTACATTATTTATCATTAACCTAAGTTTATAAAAATATGAATGAATGAGAACATAATAATTGTTAACCGGAATTATATTCACTTCATTAATCATAATACATAATTAACAAGAGCAAGTATTATAATTTAGATAATCAATAAAAAGAACAAAAACAAAATACTATATTATTATAATTATATAATTTCATAGTTATTATCAATTTAATCCTTAAAATATATTTTATCTTTACTGTTTATAATTTTGTTATAATTATAATATTTTATTTATAGTTATATAAATTAATATCAATAAATTGTGTTATATACTAAAAATGTACATTACATATAGATACCATATATTACTATTGAAAGGAGTAATTAAATTAGAATTAATTATTTATTTGAACACATAGATATTGGTACAAAGAGGCACCAAATATATATGCGCCAAACAAATCTCATTTGATTTATGCGAGGGCTGCGATACTGCCCGGGTGCCCAAACCGAAGCAGGAAATTAGAATAAAGAAGAATGGTAGCTAAGTACTAGATTATTAAAAAGTTTTCTTTCATACAAAAAAAATAACCCACAGAATAGTAAAATAAATTATTAATCAAGTAAAAGCTTATATACACAAGGGTTTAAGGCACTGTCTTTTAGTGTGAAAATTAATGATACATACTACTTAGCTGTTAAAATTAGAATAAGCAAAAGAATTTCTAACACCAATTGTTTTTTTTAAAAAAAGGGATGAATAGAACATTTTATTAAAGGAAGTTTCATAAAGAATTTAGTTTTTAAATTAGTTAATTACTGTATAATGATGAAAAAAAAGCTGTATAGGATTGAGATCTGTCGGTCTTGTACAACTTCCTCTTTGATTAAGATCTTACAGAAGGTATAACTCAATAGCTTGAGACGTTATCATATATGGTTTAAAATAAGAAGCGATTGGTGATTCTATTGTAATTTTGTTTTACTTTATAAAAGTGAACTTACTAGACTGAGAAAATTCTTTTTGGTTATATTCTATTTATATGAACTCTTTCTCCCATTATTTTTTACTCACATTCACACATTTCCATCCATTTATTGTTTTTTTTTATTATGCTCACTTTATATCTTCTATCTCTTTGCCATCTCATTTTCTTATTGTGTGGTGCATATTTATTTTAGTGTCCTTTTGTACCGTAAATATATATACCCAGTAAATTAGAACATGATATAACGTGAATTAATGTTGGGCTAAACCTTTTTAAAGTTTATTGTGCACTTACAATAACTGTTTAGGTATAACAAATAAAATTCATCAAATAACTTGAATATACTGTTAACGGGTTAAAAAAAGACTGAACAATTGAAAAATAAGGTTATTCTGATACGTCATTTGGGCGAAGATAATCATGCTTTTTCGATGTTCAATAAATCTTGCATTTTTCAGTTTATTTAGTGTGTTGGTGCTGAATATATGAGAGTAATTTTCACTGATGACTTCAATTTAGTCATCCAAAACCATCCAAATATATCTACTGTAGTGTTTCGAATTGTTGGATGAAAAAAAGGCAAAATCGTGAGTTAGACCTTGTTTGAGATCCTGAATGAAAATGATGTTCTTACTTACAGCATTCAACTGTTATGCTCGAAAACGCTGGATATTGCACGTTTATTGAACATTGAAAAAGTATGGTTACTATCACCACGACATTAAATTTTTACCATATTTCGTTTGTACACTTAACAGTTTTTTCTTCGTAGAGAAATAATATTGAATAGATGATTGGTTTCTAGTAGAAACGTAATGAGAAACGCAGGGATTAGACCGTTAGTGTTACATAATTTTAGGGGATTTCAAGTAGGTTTAGTCATTTGCGTTTAAATCAGTTTTAAGAGACGGTATGCAACCTTACCTTGACATAAGCAACCTGAAAAGTTTACCCCAAAAACAGAGGAGATATATGATATTCTTTTGAACAAGATGTACTTTTACAAATGAATAATTCAATTATCGGGCTTCAAAAAATCTGTTTTCATGTCACTTTTATTTAAAGTTAAACAATGATAATCGTTTATTTAGAGAAATTTGATATTAGTTAGTCCTCTCTTAAATAAACTCGCATGATGTAATGAAAAGGTGAAGTTGATTCAAAAAATATGGTTTATTCACCCAATGCATTTCGGACAATCTTTATTACGTTTGTTTATCACGGCATTTCATGTGAAAGTGAAGAGACGTCAACTATATAAATAAATAATAAGAACGGTTTAAAAAGAATGGTAACTTTTCACACCATCTTTAGCATAAAAAATAGATCACTGATAAATACGCCAGGTTCAAAGTGAGAACATATAAATGATATGACGAAAATGTGAATTTTCTATTTACAACACCAAACATACCAACGCCTACACTAACAATATAACCAAGGTTGTTTTATGATAGTTTATTATCAATCTGGTGGACGGGTTATACTAAACATCTGACAATGCGTATGATACTGGACATAATACAGTGGGCACTCACTGCATAGAAAGTAATTAATTTCTTGTGCGCTAGTGTGCAGAACCGACTGAAATCTAAACTGGATAAAACTGATTATTCCGAGAGATTATAAGTCTTCGCAGCTGACATCCAATTTGTGGTTTCGAACAAAGTTTACTAAAAATTTCTACATTTCCCAATCTATTAGGTTGACAATCCAAATCAATCTATCCCTTAAACAAGTAATTAAAAAGGTGCATAGACAAAAATGTTAACACACTATTTATAAGTGGTGATTGGGAAGTTTAGTGGAAGCTTTATTTTTAGAGTAAAAAATCGCTTACAGCTCCTGAAGCATCCTGGATAGCAGGAACTCCTAAATGCATCAAATTACGTACAATACACGCCTGTGATGAGGGGATTTGAGCATGTTGAACTAATTTTGCTAGATTTTCTTCATTTATACCGCCCCGTTGTATAACATACAAAAGAATCACACGAAGTTTATCATAGGCTGAAACTGACTGATCAATTAAAATAGGAACCATTGTACGCATATGATCTTTGACTCGTTCACCTTCTGCATCAGTACCCATGGCTAAATCCTAAAAAGTAGTTTAAAATGATTATGATTATTCCGGTTGAATCATTTCTTTCAAAAGTAATACTGGAAAATTTAAATCGTCAATTTATCTAAAAGTAGACAGACTGAAAAATGTATATTTTCTCAATGCGTTACATTTCCTATCAACGTAAGAGGAAGAAGACAGAAAATAACATTACATGATGACACTGTTTAAGATCAAGAATAAGCAAAAGCAATGAGTAAATAAACAAACAGACACCAAACACTAAGATCAACCATTAATGACTGATATAGGTCATTATTTGGACCTACTACTTTAAAAGTTGAACAACATTATGACAACTTCAAAAATAAAGATCGAGTTGTGAAAATATTATTCAACTTGCTATTTGCATCTAAAAACAAACCCAGAACGAAGTAACGCTAATAATCTCTTTCATGTACATCAATGTGGTAGTTTTTAATAGTCAAACTGATAGATTGGTAATCTTACATAATCGAAATGTCAGTTACGAAATAATTAAACTTCGAATAAATGAAGTCATTTAGTCTGATCTGTATAAAATTAGTCGTAAAATACTTATTTATTGATTCACTAAGTTATTTTTAAAAAAAAACTTACTTGTTCGACCTTACATAGTTTATTAGCATGATTTTGATAAGTTTGCATACAATCCTCAGCCAAATGAAAATGTGTTGAATACATGGATAACTCTTTTTGATATTGAGGCATTTTTTTTAACATTTGACTTAAATCACGCATTGTAGTTTTATCGCCTGCGTTAACCATACGTTTGTCTTCAGCAAACTTTTTCAATTTGCTAGTAACCTATTAGAAGAAAACAAGACTATTATCCAACAACAGGAAATAGATCACAAAATCATGTTTAGAATTTACAAAAAAAGATGAAGAGTCTACTTTAATGACTTTGACTAACTCGTGAACTATGTGTTTCAACTTTATATATCTCGACGAAACCGGAATCGATGATAAATTTGTGAAGTAGTGTCAACTTTTAGAGGGATTCATTCGGAGACTTTTCTCTGTTGCGTCGAATACAAGAAACATAAAACTTAGATAAATGGAAGCTTGACCAATGCTTTAAAAATCTACTTTGTAATTTCTGGTTATCTAAAGCATTTTGTCTCAGTTCTCATTGTATGTTAGAGATGAATAAATAAAAACGCTAACCAAATATCAACCGTTTCTCTGAGTTTGGAATCCGTAGTCATATAATAATACACAATTCCTTGATATTTAAGGGTATCGAACCATTGGTTTTCAACACTTCCAGAATTTATACTACAGAACTTAAAATTTTTGATAGAAGTTGCGTAAAAATCACATCCAACGTCACATAACCACACAAAGATAAATGTTACGGGTTCAATTGTATTCACTAACAATAATTTTAATTACGCATGCTATTGAATTCAACCAGTTACAACTAATTATGTATACTCTATACACCCGACTGTAATTGTGCATTTGCATTTCTACGAAACTGGAAGTTCCAGTATTACCGAGGTTTCCACATGTTATGTTCACTGTAACTGTCATGCTCCTAATAGCACTGGAAAATCTGGGCACTCCCTAAACACAATAATATTGGGCAATAGAATCTTTGGGTTATTTTTAATTACAGTAGTCAACTTCTAACCAGTAAGTTATATATTTGAACTCTACTTTACCTATTGAAATTAGAGTAACATGATAGTATTTTTAGCTCTGAAAAGTGTGCTTTGTAGCCTCCTTGTTATTTAGACAATGAGATATCCAGTATAGACAATTAGAATGTTAAAAAGCCATTGGACTGATTGATTTTAGTCGCAGATATGAAGCTTATGGAAAACAGCGCATTGGTAACCCCTATACGTCAAGTGTGAAGCCTAAACAATAGTTATTGAATGACATTACTTATTCTCCCAGCCATTTGTAATTTAAAAACACTCAGATATTCATTAAATACCAAAAATATTAACCTGCTGTGAAACGACTGCTATATGTTGGTGACGAAGTTCACACCAAAGCTCATCAGTTTCATCCAAAATAATTTCTTTAACACGTTCCTCAGGACCTGATGTGTTGATGTAACTAGAATACGCATTATTTCAAGATAAAGAAAAGTTGTTATTTTGAGAAAAAAACCATAATTTGTTCCATTTTCATTCCAATGCAACTTACTGCTCTTGCACTGATAGTCAGTACTAGGTGTATGTATCCAGCTGTATGAAGGCCAGTGAGGCTAACTGGTCGTTCCCATCGAGATGTATTGGTACCTAAAATTCCAGTTGAAATTCAGATACTTTGACTACTAAGCCACTATTTTCCGACTAATGACAGTATGCTGACTATGGATTTTCTGATTACCACTATCAATATGAAACCAATAATTCTATTTACAGATAGGTTTATGAATACAAACAAAATAACCCTATTTAACGTGTTGCACTATGTTGTACTAGAAACAGTACAGAGTGTGTCCAGTGACTTTGTATTTGCTTTTGATTTGAATAATGATGGAAAAGAATAATTACGTTAATCAGGACTTATTGACTCTATAAAGATGTGTCTGACGTTTTTTACAAAATCACTAATATACATTTAACAGTCGTGTCGAAGGACCGACGCATACATTAAAACAAATTACGAAAATGAAATCGATATAAATACCTCTAATGTAAAATTTGTACGTCATATTAGACTGTTAATTTGAATATGTTAACACATGATGTAACGCAAGTTTTTATCTACAGCGAACACTAAGAAAAAAAAACTTCTATCCTCCAAAGGGCCACTTTCATGTAACAAACTACTCATTACATATTACCCATATTAAGCATGCTTTTCTAGAACTTCACTACTGTTAGTGTTACGTTACATAAATTCCATTAAATAGGAAATATTCTTTCAGTCTCAAAAAAATGATAGATTAGCTAGAAAATATATTGTTTCATCATTGAATTCTAAGCAGTGACTCTGAATAACTATTTGAATAAAACTGATCACTGCGTAAATTGTTTTAAAAAATGACTGGTTTGGTGAATTATCATGTGCTTTTATGCCCATTTTGTATTGGTACTAATAAATTAAGTAATCAACTTGATTATTTAGTCAATCAGTGTCGACCGTGATTATGTAACAGGTTTGACATAATAACTCTCCTAGACAGAAGAACCAGACCACAAAAACAAATTACACAGCCCTTAGGTTGGTGTAAAATGCATTATTATTATTATTACTATTATTATAAGGATTAGTATCACGCACTCAAAAAGGAACTAGTGAACAAAAGCAACCCAACTTACCGGTAAACATCATTCTCAATTGCTAGTAAGTCGTAAGCCATGGCTTGGAACGTGAGTTCATGTAAAATAGGTGAGATAGGATCGAATCCTCGGTCAAGTAAAATCAATTGACTTCTTTCTTTTTGTGGACCCTGGAATAAAAAAGCATGCTTTGAATAAAAAATCACATTATCGATAGATTGAACTACGTAAAAACTATTTAGAATATTAAAAGCTTGATAGAGTATATATTTTGTTAGGTCCCGATAAGCATAATGAATGGTAATTTTTGGGATTCATTTGTGGAGCTCTACAATGAGTATATTTTTATAGTATAACTGTTAATTAACTAAACTATTCATATTCATGTCTCTATTATCATAAGCTTTATTTTAACCTATGAACCGTTATTATACAACTTTCCATTCTTGAATTATTCCCTATCTATTAATCCCTATCTCCCACATTCACAGCCACACTTGGCCAAATCTTGTACAAATGTTGTTTTTATATTTTATGGTACGATGTGGTTTGTTTGATTGGTGTATGAACCCCGTATGTTTGAAATAGATTATTCATATTGCAGAGGCTGAGATTGGTGTTCTGGACTTAACTGGCTGGGCTAGGCGGAAAACAGGATCAATCAGGACTCTAGACTTCTCGCACGTGTTTTACGTGTCATTGGTCCGATCGATAAGTCATTGGCGGTCACAGTTATAACATTTAAATAGATTTATATTTTACTTTAAGTACTGAAGTTCCATTTGACTAACCTCGCCCATTTGAGGATCGTCCGCTTTGTATGCATCCAGCTTTTGTTGAACTAACTGTGCGAACTCGGCGTTCCTTTCAAACTGACTAAAATGATCCAAAAAAGAGTGAAACTGTTAAAACAACTGTTTTCCCGTTGAATACTGGATGACTAAAGCTGAATTACTGGAAATTATGTGATCCATGCATCAAACGTCTATTAGCGCTAGAAATCCTTATAATACATACATTTATGTACGAATCAAATATATTCGGTGAACTCAGAAAAGGCGTTACTGCTTTAGTGGATGACAATATCTTAATTCCAAATTTTTTTATTTGGATCAATTTATAAAAGTTCATACATTCTATTATTAGTGAATGGAATATAATTATATGGACACATTATATGAATGTTAAAATGAGAACGTTACATCGTAATAACATATCATAGTAGCCAGGAGCTATCATAACTCAATGATTATTTAAGACGCTACATTCCTTAAGCTCGACTAAAATATCAGTGGGATTTACAAAAGTTTAAATCGGAATCATATGCTATCAAAGAAAGATTGATCAGAGAAATGGAGTAATAAAGTCCCAGAACTACAAACGAAAAACTCATGATGCTGCAGATAAGAATACAGCTTGAAAGAATAATATAATAGAAGCCTCTATTCTATAGATTACTTAAATGCAGAGTATTAATGTTTTTACCAGAATATGATGTAAATTAATAACTTCAGATAATTAAAATAACCCATAGTGTCATTGAATACGAAAAAGAGAATTCGGCGAAGAAAATTTTCTTTTCGACGAAATCACTTAGGCTATTCATTCGTATATATATATATATATATATATATATATATATATATATATATATATATATATATATATAACTCTAATCATTCATTATTATTACCTTATACACGTTCTCTTGATTATTATTCAGTTTGTTATTATGACCTTTGTTGTTTGTCGCTTTTCTCCATTTTCGTGACACAATCCTTTCAATCCTTCTATAGACATACATTTTCCATATAACTACATAGACGAATATACAGCTTAATTAAATGATTTCATCGAAAAGAAAATTTTCCTCAATAAGTTCTCTTTTTCTTATTAATAACTTCTATAAAAGCAGAGCATCATTTTTCGAATATCAATTACACCAAGACAGCTACATTAGAGTAAATAATTTTTAAAATGTCCCAACGCTGCATACACTAATAACTTAGCCAATGTTAATACAAATTTAGTAAACTACCGGATGTCATACAAGTAAAATCAATAATGAGGTTAGAAAGATGAATTGTTTAAAATGACTTACGTGCGGTAACGGATAACAGGATATTCACCTAATGTGGCACATAACGTTGCAATCTGTTCAGCGATTCGCTCAAGTTGTTGTCCCGAACCTTGTTGTCTGGCTACTGGATTGAAATAATATTGAAAGCTCATGGGTGAATCCAACGAAAAGACTCGAGATTCAACTGGTAGAAAGGCTATGTTGATTTCTTTAAGCGTTTTTAAAAATATGGCGGAATTCGACTGGCAAAGCCGGTTGAACAACTCATCCGGGCAAGCTAAAGGCAATGAAGTTCACAATAAGAACTGAAATATCATAGGTGTATATGGACTGAGGCATTCATGTCATATATCTTCGATAAGAATATACCCAAAGCATAAAAAAAAACTTGTAGTGAAGTAAAGCTGATAAGACTACATTAAATATAGTCTGATGACAACAAATTTGAGATGAGATCATACCAGTTTGCAGTTTACAAAGTAATAAAAGCAGCAAAACAAGAAAAGATGTTTGATATATTAAGTTACATACTGAATAAAACACGTTATCATCCACCAGGTTTACAAGCGCACATCATACAGGTGAAGGAAAATCGTTTTGATCTGAAGATAACTACTAAAGGAATTTTGACCTAATCCATTCAAGGTAGTATGTTGCCAGAAGCACAAAATGAGACCACCAATATCATAACACAAATCACATGCTTTGGAGTTTTTTTTATTAGACAAATGTGACTACCGATTCACAAGCAACATAAAAAGTATATGGGATAATTTTTTATCTCATTGGAAAAAAAGAAACAAATCTAAACACTGAACTGATAAATGTAATCTAGGTAAGGGAATTAGGACAACATCAAACTGAGGGTGGATGGGAAACGGGTTGAAAAAAACTATGGACAATCAAAAGCGAGAGAGAGAAGCAAGGTCTGATGGATTGACACCAGAGATCTTTAAGGGCGTGGTCGTTTTAGCTGTTAAAATTACTGCAATACCAGCAAAAATTTAGAAGCCAGATACAAATATATATGACTGGTCTCGATAGCTTACTTAGTCAGTTTTTAAGGTCAGAAATACTCCTGCAATAACCACAGAGGAATCAATTTGACTAAAATATTGTCTAAAATGACGGCCTCTATAATCGTCTGACGATTAAACGATCCATGAAGACCAAACATGGCAAAACCAGGCTAGTTTGAGAACTAAATATGGATGTATTAACTATAAGCTGACTACGCAGATTTTAGGACAGGTAAACCCAAAGACGTCAAATTAAGGTTGAATTTCTTGACTTTAAGACAGCATTTGACTGCAACGTCTGTCTTGAAAGTTATTACAAAGAAGTACATACACCTTATAATCCTCACTATACGAATACTATTGGTCTTATCAGAGTTTATGGCAAGTTTTCATTTTAATCGTCAACTCCAAGTGATGCTTGTCGGGATTGTTTACTATTTCTCGCTTCACTTAATCTAGCTCTCAATGTCCCAAAAATCACACTGACTTCATATAACTGTTTGTGCCAATTCGACTCCACCATGTCTTTGGAATTCCATTTCATCGTGTTAATCCGGTACAGTAACCTGGGTTAACACACATCTCTGGAGAGCTTCACAACCGTTGACTAAGACTATTAGGCATCTGCGTGGATATATTAACCAGAGTTCTCGAACACTTCGAAAAATTTTGGTATCATTTTCAGTGAGAAATAATATAAGCCACAGATGTAGTGAATTTATCATCAAGAAAAAAACGAAAAACATCTCGAGAAAAGAGCAAATATGACACCCCTAATACACTATTTGAAAATTCACCTACCTTCGGTGAAAAAGACGTGTGCATAACGATACTGACTCTGGGATCCTTGAAAGTCCTCCATTAGAAGTTTTAAAGACTATTGAGTAAGAAGTATAGTAATTTTCCCTACTTCATCTGTAGGAGTGATCAAGTATATTGCCTCAATCGGCAGTACTTCCCTTTTCTTAAAAATGTCTTCGACCACTACGAGATAAACATTTATCAGAAAATATTCACTACATGTTATGCCGTTATTCATTATTTCATGCATTTTACAACACGAAGATACAATTCTGGTAGCTAATCGATCCAGAACCAGAACTTTCCAATCTTTAGGCTTTCTCAAAGGGATAATTATTTCATCCATTAATTCTAGATTTATAGACAGAACATAATAGGAAACTTACTTTTGGCAACAGCCTGCTTCAAAGACATGATTAGAAGTTAAGATAGAAACTAGGTTCCGCAATTATATAAACTGAGCGCAATGGCTAGTGCCTATCTTCAATTCTCAATCTATGTCGAACATAGTAGTTTGAGAAAACAGGGAGTATAATTAACAAATCATCTGATTTACTCGTTTTCATGTTCATTAAAAATGTTTAAGTGGATGTTTGTATGCAGAGACTAAACCATTTGAAAACAAAACGTAGACGAAGAGTGAAACATGTACTGTCTAGCGTTAAATATATCTTTAAAATGAATAGTTCTGTATGTTCTCGGTTGATAATGGTCTCAATAATTGTTTTACATTTATGAGCTGGTGTTTCAAACGATCGTAAATAGATTGAACATATCATTATAAAGTCATATTTAGGCATCTGAATTCTAAGAGAAATGTAGCTATAGGTCTTTACACGTTTGAAAATACGTTGTTGGAGCTGATTTTGTCATCCGTCTATAGATGTTGTCTGACGTTTTTACATATTTTTGAGTTGAAACACTCTTTAAGATTCAACTTCAATATAATCTGTGACGAGCTAGCGCAAACAAGTGGATGGTCTCTCTCTCGTACTTTTGGAGCTGGAGTAAGGGTGTAAGAATTTGTTAACTGATGGGTCGTCCATTCACATCTATTTCAGCTCTATCTGCCCACAAAACTTTGTGTGAGCCGTTAGTACTTAAAATGAGTTCTGCTAATACGCGTACTGCTTCATCAAATCCTTGATTATCAACGTCTGATATAAATATTTTGCTCCTTTTCTCACGCGAGGACAAAACTGCGATCCTTGTCTAGCAGGAGTACTTGTTCTTTTGACTGTGATTGTTTTATACCTCTTGCTACATAGTAGTTGATTACGCTAGGTTAACAAACAATTACATATATGCACAATGAAACTGCCCAGATATCTTGCTGTAAAATGATTTGCTGGGGATTCTTGGCACGTAGTAAATTAAATGTGGAAGATGTAAGTGACATTGATTAAGATGTATTGATGCATTTTCCTGTTATCCTTTAGTTACTCATTATATACTTCTGATGCATATTACTTTGGAATTTGTTAGTTAATACAAGATTCATTTTGGATATGCACTGATATGACTTGCCTAATACATAAGATCTTACGTAGAAGTCACAGACATGTTTACACTGACTCATTATGTCGTGATGTCTAACAACATGATACTTATGATAAGCACATTTAGGCTGGGAATGAAGTAGCATATTTAATGTGGAAAGGTATAGGTTACATAAGAATGACCACACATTTAATGCCGAGCCACGCCATGCCAATTGAATGAATGTTGCCGCGTTCCACATAGTTGGCCTTTTCTCCGTCCCGAATTTTGAATATCTTTTTTCCCAGCTATCTCATGTTCAGCAAGTAATAATCCCGGCGATCAATTCGTTAAAATGCCTAAAATAAATATTTGAATTCGTGTGCATACTGCAGATAGGCATGAAGATTCAAAACTAGATATCCGAATATACACACAGCAGTCAACATTCAGTCGTTATATGAACTTATAGTACCATATACAGTACAGAAAAGTGGACGTATGTAAGCTTGTCTTATAAACCAACGCTTTAGATTTAATTTTGAAGAGTCTTCATAAAGCTCATTAACATCCATTACGCAAACCGATCTCATTTGACATTCAGAGATATTTAGAGCCCAAGAAATCACAATGTTATATGATTACTTATTGCACCAATGAGTTATTAACAGAATGCTTCGTGACCTCTTCTTACGACGGCCCCCTGCTACTGTCTAAAACTATACTATTCACTACTTCTGAGTTGTCGCGAAACACATAATACTCAGCTGCTCATTGCCATATGAAGTCGGCCACACAAATATGAAAAACTTGGTAATCCACAAAATTAATTTGATTGACGCCTACGTAGATTGAATAGCAGTTTCCTAACCCCACTTAACTTCAGAAAGAAATCACTTGAGTAACACAAAGCACCTTAAACATCCTAAAATAGGTAACATAACGATCCGAAAGTTGTTACTTTCCATCACTGTGCATACATAGCTCACATGACAGATAAACTTGACCACTATTTTTCATTGCCATTTTACGGAAAACGGTTTAATTAGGGCAAGTTGGTAGTTGACTTAATAGCTCAACCAAGTAGAGCGAAAGGTCGAAATTGTCAAGTTGATGTCAATTAATGACACTTTCACTGAATAACATTCGCAAGAAACTATGGTTAGATACATTAATCGTGAATGCATCTGGCAAAACGCAGTTTGTCTTATAAACTTGATTTTTCAGTCAAACAGTTGTAATTTACGAAAAGTTATCGTTACAAGAAATGAGAACAGTATAAAAGAAAATAAATACAAAAATACACTTTCTTAATTACGAAAACATTTTACTAGTTATCTTAACATGCAGATACAATTCATAGAATGTGTACATCATTTACATAGAAATAGGCTACTGGATATAGCAGTAGAAAGGTGAAAATATGAACAGAATTAAAAACGTCCGGTAATATACAAAAGAATCGGATATTTATATTTAAAAATGTTTCTTGCACAGAGAGTATGTTGTATAGAAATTTAAACGTTTCTGTACCAAAAAGGAAAATTAATTACGCCCAACCATCAAGCGGAGGTAACTCTGGCATCGTAATATTAGTTTGGGATAACAGGTATAATGCTTCCTTTACAGAACGGGTTGCTTCTTTAATACTCTGAAAAAGAAATGATAAATTATCACTGGCGCTACAGCTAAGTTATTTTGAATTAATGTTCTTTTATTCAACCAAAACGTATTACCGTATTGTTTAACTTAAAAGAATTCAGGTACAGTAAGTTACCAGGAAGTAAAACACAAAATGTAACAATATCCTAAGGATACAAATAAAATTGTTGAAGAGGGATGTTATGGATTATTGTAAGATACAGATACGGTGATAACATAAGTAAAATAAATTTAACTCATCTATGTTGGTTTTTTGAATCTTCTCGTTGATGTTTAGGACTGCAATCGGTCACTTTTTTGGCGTATGTACATACTAGGACAATTTCCTCGATAGGATGTAAGTAGGTCCAGCTGACGAGTTCCAGATGGGACAGTACGCGTGTCCTGGATTTCACTGCCAGCCACCATCCAACTCTGCTTATAAAATATATTTATTAGTTAGATGCCTTGGAGAGTTTCCAAACAATCTAATCAAAAACTGTAACTGGGTAATTACTAGTTTGTAGTCTAGGTAGTACATGAAAAAGTTTCAGACCATACATTCGTGTGATATATGAGATAAAATCAAGATAGCTGTTGTAAAACAATGAAGGTAAGTTCAGTGCAACTAACCCTTATATCATAAGTCAAAATCACAAAATGACTATCCCTACGCATTTCCCAATCACTTTTAGTGTGTGTAGAACGTACGGTATGGAAGCCGTCGAGGCAACATGTGCAGAATACGTCAAAGTCATGATCGGGTAAGGTAGAATTGCAGATGTCATAGGCTTGTTTAAGGGACATATTGTCTCGATAACGCCGTGTTCTAAATTAGCATAACTATCTTCTGGTCATCACTTTTCGTGCATATATGACCTGAACAGCATGCATGTCATCCAACACTTAATAAATTTTTAAGCAATTGTTAAAATATCAGTGCATTGTTTAGAGGTAATTCAACAACAGATGTTTTTGATATCAAGGGATAATGACTGTTGCTCAAAGATATATGCGACAGTCAATGAATGTATATTTATAGCATTTATGACTAGAATGTAATCTGGTCTGCTTCTTGCCAATCCATCCGCTATTAACTTTGCCGAGTTATATTATGTAATAATGCCAACGCTTCAAAACAAAAAGTAGGTGATGTAAAGAGCGAAAAGACAATACATCATGTAGGGATTTTTTTGAATAGCTGTCCTAATTGACTTATTTTAGTATGTTGGAATATTTTCCCTAGGTCGTACCCTTGAAGTTGATTTTCTGAAAAGGGTTTCGCATTCAGAGTTGGAAGTCGATTATTTGAACAAAGCGATTTGTAATGTTTCTAGTGAAGGAAATCACAGGTTTTCAACTACATCAGGAAACGCTACATTGAAAAAAAAACAGTTTAGACGATAAGCGTCTTCATTTTGACCTTGAAACTGACCAGGAAGTCAGTTTAAAGTATATATGTCGTAAGAAGTTACAAACATACAGTCTTTTCTAAAGTTTTCCATTCGAAAAAAGTTTTGTGAAAGACATTCGCTACACGTTTATTATGATTCTCTGATTTTATAATGAAAGCTTAATAGTGTATTTGCCATTGAATTCCCTGATGGTAAATAACCACTTAAAGCTTTAAATGTCGTGGGATGTTACATAAACACACCACTGAGTCGGAATCCGATATTCCATATTTCCATCTTGATTACAACGGCTCATTCTACATAAAGTAGGAGTTGATGATTTCATACAGAACTACAATGGATACATCACGATTGAACCATCTAACTTAGAAAACACAAGCAATTGCTTCAACTGAAAGTCTATTTCATCATGTTAAGAAAAAAACATTTTGAACGTTCGTTCATATATAATTGTACCAAAAGTCAATTACGACAAACCTTATGTTTCAGTGAAATAAAATTCGATAAACCTTAATAAAGCAGTCAAGGTGGAATATTTAGAATGCATACAAATGATCGAATATTGTTAAAATAATGAAAAAAGAATTACAACTCACTTTTTTTTGTTTATCAAGTATGTCAGCCACAGAGGAATTAAACGTATCCGTTGGATCAGGATTACAAATTTTATAAGCTAATGATGAGATATCTGGTGAACAATGACCAATTAGTGCATAAACTTCCCATAGACTACTTTCTAATGCTCTAGATAAATCAAAATTATCTGCTTCCCAATTATAAGGATCACCAATTGATTGTGCCTATACAAAAAAAATAAGACACTATATGCAATTATTTGTATTTGACAAATTATTTTTTACAATAAAAAAATAACAAATATAGAATGTAGTGAATTTATAACATCATCTCATAATAGGTATTATTCTTGTTTTACAAAACAACGAATGAACATATAACTAATATGTATTGACAAAATCTTCATTTTCTTAACAGGACAATTGTAGAAAAAGAAAATAGAAAACTTACATTTAATACATTTGATGAGGTATTATCATCCGATTGAATATTATTCAATGTTTGTGACTTTTTCTGTTTATAGTTAATTAAAACACGACAATGAGGATGATTTTGTAAACAATTGAAAATGATTAAAAGTATTGCTGGTGTAATTGAAATTGGACTAAATAAAGATAATTGAGAAAGTCGTTTTATAAAAGATGCAACAACTGATGTAGCTAAATGTCTGAAAAAAGCAAAACAATAATTAAAAAAAATTCACATTAATCGTTTTAAAAACATCATAAATGATAGTGGAGAATTCCAGAAAACAATAAACAAATGACGTTTTCAGAATTATCAAAAAAATGAAAACACTGATAATCAACAAATAGACAACACATATATGTTATAAAGAATAATAAAAGTTAGAATAATCTTAACAAAAGAAACTTCATAGGTTACAAGTATAAAATAAAGGAAACGTCGAATAACTAGTTGTAATTTAAAGAAAGAAACAAAAAACAATAAATTGATTAGGTACAATACATGGAATGATAACTGTTGGAACATGATATTTTACACTATTTTAAACAATAAAATAAACTCAATAGTTGAGATCATGAGTTAATTAAAGCTAGACAATCATGGAAAATCTGGAAGAACTGGACAAAAGTCAATATCACCAAAATCTGTAATGGATAGGTCTAGTTATAACTTAGTCGGAGACGTTAGGTGAACAACGAAAAAATATTAAAGCTTTTAATTAATTCTTTAATTAAAATCTACTCCATAATGTATAGTAAAAGGCAACTAAATGCAAGGAAAAATTGACCGGAATTCCTGGGTACGATAAATTAATTGACACGATACCGTTGAGTATAACTCGGGTGCTTTTTTTAAATTGACACATGATCTCAACTATTGAAATAAAGTGAACCTTTATTGTGTTTGATGTACTATACAATGAATAATTGTGAAATGATAAACAACTATTGTGAATTAGTATTCAGCATTTTAACGTGGATGACTTGAATTCACTTTTGAACGTTTCTAGAGCAAAGATTAATCAGAACTATTACTCAGTCAGTCAGCTGCAACGTAGGACCAGGCACGTATATGCATCGGTCCAAGTTGCTATTCCGCATTAGCACAACAAGACGAACACCGGATTCATAGAAGTAGTTAATTCAGTGGTGGTAATATATAGAAGAAAGATTGCATATAAGGAGATAGTACAGGAAGAAAGAATTAGTTCGTAGAAAGGAAGATATGAAGTGATTTAAATCTCTTAGTTTAAAGGAAGACAGAGAGCGTATACACCGACGCCATTGTGATCGATTCTGAGCCATGTCACCAAGAGTCTCCAAGCATTGGTTACGATAGTCACGCGGAGTCCAACCAGGCAGTCTGCATCTACCAACATGGCTCAGACCAGAAGTTAGTGACTTCAAGCACTGATGCCGCGTTTTGGTTTGGCCGCCCCTTACTTTCTTCCAATTGTCCCCAACACCAGTTAGCATTGCGCGCCTTGGTAATCGGTGTTCAGACATACGCAGCACGTGGCACAACCATCTCAGTCGATCAAGATTCATAACCTCATCAACTGACTTACCATCATTCCCTAATACCCTGCCTTTAACCTCACTGTTACTTACCCGGTGATCCCAGCAGATACCCGCAATATTTCTAAGGCACCTGTGTTCAAATACTAGTAACTTACGAATATCTTCTACTCTTAAAGGCCATGTTTCGCAGCCGTATAGTAGAACGGAACGAACTGCCGCGCAGTATACTCGTCCCTTAATTGATAGACGGATATCTCGCCTTCGCCATAGATGACGTAAGTTGGTAAAGGCCAAACGAGCTTTTCGAATCCGTGCTGAGATTTCGTCAGACACCAACCCATTAGGGCTGATCAGACTTCCAAGATAAGTGAAGTTGTCAACGCGTTCGATTACTTCACCCCCTATCCTTAGTTCAGGTGTTGACGCAGACCATTCCTCAAGCAACAACTTGCATTTGGAGGGAGAGAAGCGCATCCCAAACATTCTGGCATTGTTGCTCAGTGCTACCAAAAGACTCTGCATTTCATCAGCGTCTTCACCAAACAGGACTATATCATCTGCGTATTCTAAGTCAATAAGTGGACCTCCTGGTAGGAGATCGATGCCCTAGAATTCAGTCGATGAGAGCGTTATTTCCATCAGTAGATCTATGATGAAGTTAAACAAAAATGGAGAAAGTGGACAGCCTTGGCGGACGCCACTCGAGGTTGCGAAAGCAGATGACAGTTTGCCATAAGCTCTGACTCGACTAGTAGTGTTCGAGTAAAGAGCCTTCACAAGGTTTATGTACTTCTAAGGTACGCCTTTCAATGACAGACACTGCCACAGAACCTCTCGGTCAACAGAGTTAAACGCTGCTTTTAAGTCAAGGAAGACCACCATTGTCGGACGCCGATAAGTATGCCTGTGTTATAGAACCTGACGAATGGTGAATATGTGGTCGATGCATCCACGACCAGGTCTGAAGCCAGCCTGATTTTCACGTGTTTGCAGCTCACGAGTCTTAGTTAGGCGTCCGAAAATTATCGAAGCTAGTATTTTAGATATTATATTAGTCAAACTAATCCCTCTGTGTTTGTCACAGGATGATTTTGACCCTTTCTTAAATATTGGGACGATAAGTGATTGTGACCAGTTAAATGGCATAACGTCTAACTCCCACATTTTAGCTAAAATATTAGTCAACCTAATCGCTAAAACTAGACCACCATCCTTAAAGACCTCTGGGGCCAATCCATCTGGACCAGCTGCCCTTCCTCGTTTCAGATTAGCTATATCCTTTTGAACTTCAGCTAGAGTTGGGGGACCTACTTCAATGTTCCATTCACATTGTCTGGGAATAGAAGGTAAATGTAGAGCAGCTGAAGGCCATCTAAACTGCTCCTTGAAGTGTTCCGCCCATCGTTCTAAACGTCTGGACTGGGAGCTGATGGGTGTCGTCTTTTTCCGACTTACACTTGACTTTTTAATTCCAGTTTCTTTTATTAGTCTGTAGAGTTGTCTTGTGTTCTTTATAGCCGCCGCCTTTTCCATCTCTTTTGCTTTCGTTTCCCACCACTGCTAACGATCATTCCTTAGACTTTTGCTTAACCTAGATCTGATTTCTTTACGCTCTTCATCGTGTTCAGAACCTGATGGGATGAGTTTACGAGAATCTATCAGTGCAATAGACCTTGAAGAAATCCATTGGTTCTTTGTAACCCTGTGGTTTAAATCACTAGTAGATGTCACTGCTGTTTCTACAGCTGCTTGTATAACTTCCCAAGCAACATCGGGGTCAGCCTCGTTTTCAGAAATACCTAGGTGTGACCTTAGTTGTTCCTGGAACCTACTTTTGGTTTTCTCATTACTCAATTAGGTTCTAATGAGTCTTTTTTGTGTGGCTTTTTCGCGTCCAGTGAGGTGCAAGCAGATGCGTGCTCGTATTAGGGCATGGTCGGAATCCAAGCAGCTACTCCAGAATGAGCGATAATCTTCTATTGACCCTCTCCAACGATGACTGATGGCAATATGGTCTATTTGAGTCTATCGTTGGTTTGGTGCAGGAGGTCGCCATGTTAGACGATGTCTCTTCTTATGCTTAAAATTTGTGTTTGCTAAAAATAAACGATTGTCTGAGCAAAGTTGCAGCAGACGATCACCATTATCTGTTCTCTGTGCCGGAATACTAAAATACCCACCTAAATGTCTTTCTGTTTCGTTTAAGCTACCTACCTGGGCATTAAAGTCGCCTGCTACGAGTACTATGTCTGAACGTTTAGCTTTCTGAAGAGGTTCAGACAGCTTTCTGTAAAATTCATCTTTCACTTCATCCGAACTGCAGTCAGTGGGAGCGTAGGCAGAAGCGACGAAAAGGCAACGACATGTGACCCTATCCTTTCGAGTTCTTACGGAGCCGTTTAGCCGAACATCACATAGACGACTATTAACGGGGATCCACTCTAATAGCGCTTGTTCCGCCCTCATGCTTAGTGCTATGCCTACACCTGCCAGTCCACGAGAATTAGCTATCGGGTCGCCAGATACACGGAGGGTGTATCTCGTCGGCTCTCCGTTTTGCCGAGGTGAGGTCAAGTGAATGACCGCACTAGGATCCTGTATGCGTGTTTCGGAGATACAGCATACATCAAACGTAAGAGATTCTAAGGTTTTAGCCAAGGAAGCCTGCTGACCGATTTGGCATAGTGTGCGTACGTTGAAGGCTCCAATGTGTAGTTTGGAGCGAGGTTTCAGTAGACCTAGGACAGTGTTTTGCGCACTAGAATCGTTGGCTGTGGTGACACTTGAGGAGGAAGCCGAAAGCGGGAGTTTAAATTTGAAAGACGATGTAAGAGGAATAATAGGAATTGAAGAGGGAGGTTGATTATGAATACAGTGGTCTTGAGTGCTGTTAGAGGTATGAGGGCGGTTATCACTTCCCGGTTGCCCACACCGTGGAAGGGTTCTGCTGGAGGTACCTGAAAAGGAAATTGGATTAGAGGTGGTCATAGTGACCTGAGAGCGTGACCGCAGTGCCCAAGGGACAGCTGCTTGAGGTCGGTCACATACGACCTTTTTATGAGTAATTTTTGTGTTAGCTCTGTACTTGTTGAGACCTTACCGCCGGAGACGGATATCCGTGGGATAAGGCGAGGTGTGCATTTTTAGGGTCGACCTTTTCTAACCCCTCCCCTCATTTTGGGAAGGCAGCATCGCTGCTACGCTGGTTGTCTGGAGGAAACACCTTACTGCCGTCACACCTCTGTACAGTCAGCAGTACGACTTCGCCTTCGGACCTTGGATTTGTTGCTTTTAGTCTTACCGCTCTTCAACCGACCTGTCTGGCATGGTAGGACCTTGAGGAACGGTTGTTCCAGCCAGTATAGCTTAGTTGCTTCATCACGATAGGCAAGCCCGACCACCACGTCAAGGTAGCAACAACGGTCGAGAGAACTATTACTAATAATCTTAAGGTTTGTTAAAGCTTATAGATCACCTATTTTGGGAGTGTATAAGTATTATTATTATTTGAGATTTATCTTGGCTAAGTAAATATATGTCTTAACCTGATAAGATACTCAAGGACAATTATAAAAGCTTGTAAGCTAAATACTACAAAACTTAAGTGAAAACACCATTGTACTTGGAATTTTTGTTGATCCTTATGGGTTGGTATATAAATAAAACCTCGGCACAGATTCAGAAATCTCGCCTGACCTGAACAAGTCCTATAAAGAATGCAGATACTTATTACGTAGTCATAAGTTATAATTGGGAAGTTAACAATCATATTACTTTAGTCGAATTAAAATAGTTGCATATTAAGAAATTACTAGAATGTATACTTACATGGAGCTTAAATATACATCTAAATCAATCAGAAAAGGTTTAACATCTGGACATTCAAACAAAGTTTCATCCAATAAACGATACAGTCGAATGTATAAACGTGGATAATTGAAATCACCTTTTTGAATTAAACTGAGTACTGCATGACAAACTGCACGAGACCAACTAGTTGGAAATTTTGCCAATTCTGTTTCAGACAATTTATTCTCCGGATCAGGATCAAAAATTGGTATAATGTGATCAGCTAATAAGCGAATTTCGGCCAGGCGATTCATGCCCCCATTACCTAAATACCGTACAGATTCTAGACGTACGTCATCCGATAACTAGAAGGTGAGCGAATAAAAAAGAATAATGAAAGTGATGAATACTACCATGAATCGACATGTAAAAATTACAAGGATTGTATAAATTCATGCAAGTAGCTTAAAGTCTAATAAGCGTTTATGCTTCCTGAATGATTCTTAACATGTAGGTTACGATTTCGAACAACTTTTGTGATCATATATATACAGCAATGTAACTGGGTTACATTTAAAAACAATCTTAATCTCTAAATACATATTACAATGCAGATGGTACAACACTAAGATGATTGATGACTGAAGATACCATAAAATCCCGAAGAATAGGCATCATAGGATAGAATTACTAATCAATTAATAAGATTAAGCCTGAATAATATACAAATTATCACTTGTCATACAAATGACTTAACCAATACAATTACCAATTCACTATGAAGAGTGAAAATAAAACAATACTAAGTATCTGGTACAAATGTAATTTGAACCAAAAATTATTGTTATTTTTTGAAGTCACATTAATTAAATACTCTAGTAATGACTATTCATTAGATTAACAGAATAGTTTATGATATAATTAAGCACATTCACGCTTGCTAAGATACATTTCGCAGTTGTTTGAATATCAACTGTTGAGCACCGTAAAAAATACGAAATTATCGCGGTAACTTTTATTAACTAATCTAGAATGTTATATATCAACTGCATCACACAAAATATTTGAACGTTGGGACTTTACTGAATTCAAACTATTTTTAAGGAATTCAAGTACATAGATGAACAGCCTCATTAAATACAGTAGCAAACATTATTTATCACACAAGTGTCAATAGAAAGAAGTAAGTCTCACTTGTCTATCTAATGAGGCGACTTTATTATTTATTTATTTTAACACATAGATATTGGCACAAGGAGGCACCAAATACATATGCGCCACACAGGTCTCATTTGATATGTGTGAGGGCTGTGATACTGTCCGGGTGCCCGAACCGAAGCAGGTGGTTTTCTTAAGGGGCCACACCCCGAGCATTTGACCTAAAGATCTGATCTACAGGGCAGTGGAGCATCGTAAGGAGATGCAGTCCCATGGTAGCCGGTGACCGAGAATTGGTTCATACGCCATTTGTTCCTTCAGGATACTGGAGCCAGCCCATGTGCACCATTGGTTTGGGATCCGGTTAAAGCGCCGGACATTCGCTTTTCGTCCTCTCATTTTCGTAAACAACAACCCCGTCACGTGAAGGCAGTGAGTAGCACTTCCCTGCCAGAGGCTATATACTCGTGGCCATGTTAGAGCATTTCGAGAGGTAGAGTGGACTCGCCTCGATCTCGGCCGTACCAGGGCATTTGGGGGCGATAGGATGCAGAAAGAGTATGATCGGTTCTTTTTAGGCAGAAAATTAGACAGAAATTGTAATGGACAATTCTGATAGAAAAGACTCTAGAATTTTGGTTCAAATATTTATCTTTACACCATTAATTCGGTTTAACTGTTAATCCTATGGAGTATAGAAATAAGTCATCAGTTTCATTAAGAAATGGATTCAGATGAAAACTAAGGAGTCTAGCAACCACACAATTAGGATTTTCTATATTTAAATAACTGATAAAATAATTAAAAATATATCCGCCAACTGAATTTGATTTGATTGGTTGTGGAAGTTCAACCAATGATACTTCACTATACCGGGTTTATCAACAACGGAGAACAAATATCTAATATTGTTGAAATCATGAAACGATCTAAGTTACATCACTAAAAACCTGGAAGCACTGTGATATAGTGCGCCAATCAGAAGTAGCCTAATGAGGTCAATCGATGGCGATCAGAAATGACTTAAAGGATAAGTGAATTTCATTGGCTAAGAAATGAATTGATTTCCTAAGGGGTAGGGTTGTGCATAGCTAAATGAGTATTTGTGCATTATATTCAATAGCCCAATATACTTTCTTGCTTAATCTTGTGTTTCCGTCCAGTCAGTTAAGGGGGGGCTAACGAATAGTACATTGTATCAGATTTCAGACACCGTCCGTCACAATACACTGGACGGTCGTTTCGTTCTAATATAAGATACACTGTCAGTACTCATCCATGATTCCGCACGCAGGACTCGAACCTGGGACTTTTGGCGTCGCGCGAACACTTAACCTCCAGACTATTGAGTTAGTATCCAACAGTATTAATGTCTAATATCAGTCAATCCGTGACATTGCACGACCATCTCCCATTATCTTCGGTGGATAACTGTCTCACACCCAACATGTGTTAGCTCTACCGGTTAGCATTTTTTTTCTTGATTCTCGAAGTTTCATAATAACATTCTCTTTTGTTATATGGATAGTAAAGGCTCTTTTATGTGAGACCAGTATTTCTTTGTTTATTTAATGGGTTGAAATATTGTTACTCTAAACAATTAGATGATAATAGGCTTGTGAAATTCGTAGAGTTAACGCATAATCTATACTCTATTAAGAGCGGGATATATTACTAGCTCTAGCAAAGATTTCAGTTCAAAGCCAATTGCACAAAGCTATATTCGGTAAGTCAGTTACATTGATATTAGAGATTCACTACATTTAAATGTGTTGATAAAGTGGGAAGTCAAGGAATGTCAAACAATAATGTTTTGTAAATTCAAGTAGATAAATGATAAAATAATTTCATGACAGGAAAGGTATTTAATGCTTTATATATTTTACGAATTAAAATTTAAATAGGAATAACAACCTAGTTCGTTTATAGAATTTATTATAGTATTTAATAACAGCATACTGAAGTATCTCAGTATTCATTTACAAGGTTTGATGAAGTTGTAAGTCATATTTATTGTTTTGAAGCATTTCGATATTTTGTTCTCTCTAATTCGGTAGTGGACGGGAAAATTTAAAATAATCAGTTGTATGTAATTCAATTATACAGACTAATCAACTATACATCTGCCGATTTCACTACGCATTTTTACACATTAATGATCATTTACAACTTTATTATCAGAAATAATTATAATGTATGAATAAACAAAGTAAAACTTACTTCGTTGTTTAGAAACGATATCCATACTTGAGTGAAATAATGACGTAGATGAGAATATTTTGAATGCCGAAATAAATCACTTTTTGCTACAATAACAAGAAATATATATCACTAATTTGTAGAGAATTAACTTAATATTATTAATTAACCGGCTTTGCATTGTTTTAAATGATAATACCTGATGGATTATTTGTTATATCATCAAAGAATAGACCCTACCAACCAATTCTTTATCCCTGTACAATCTCCTTATATGCAATCTTTCTTTTTTATATTACCACCACTGAATTAACTACTTCTATGAATCCGGTGTTCATCTTGTTGTGCTAATGCGGTATGGCAACCTGGACCGATGCATATACGTGCCTGGTCCTACGTTGCAGCTGACTGACTGAAGGAATAGACCAAATAGTGATAAAAAGTAAATCAGTGTGATTATAATAAAAAGTCGAAACTAATTTACTTCGGGTGATTTATACTAGCTTTATGATAGACATACCTAGTAGGTTCACAATTGTATACATTTAGTTACTCATTTGTAAAATCAGTGCAACTATAAGAATTGGTTTAAACACTTCTCCTAAGTAAATGATCGATATTTTGTACATATGATTTATTATGGTACTGATTGACAGTAGTAAAAGGTGAATTTAATTTGATGAATATCACAGCAGAGAATTACTTATTCGAATATCAACAATACTTTTTTGGATCAAAAACAAGACTACTTACGTTTTGGTGGTTCGCCCAGAAATTCGGATGTTTTTTTCTCAGGTTTAAGCAGTAAATCAAATATGGATAATACATTTCTATAAAAATTGTCGGACTTGTTTCAATAAAATGAGATGAGGAAAACAGATATTATTTTAAAATCATTATTATTTACTATTTTATATGTAAAATAAAAAGGCATTAAGATTTTTGCACAAAAACGTGAAATGAGATGAGTAAAATAGTGATATAAAAAGTACAACGATAATAGTAATAATAAAACTATAAGTAACATTTACATTAAACACAGTCATGGGTGGCTTTATAAGCTTGGTATTTTGTTCGTGGGAAAAGTAAGACAAACATACAGTGGAATAGATATTAATCCTGATCGTTCAGTCATTACTGATGGTGTTGCAAACTACATTTGATTGATTACTGGGCAGTGAACAATGTCATATTTGTCCAGTCCTTTGATTCTGATTAAATTCTATGAATCAAGTTATAATGTGGTCAGTAGTTTAAGTAATCAGCCATCGTGTGCAACATGTTAAGATACTAGGGGATTGGAGATAGTCGGTAGGAAGCCCTAGATATGTTTCGTTTTATTTGACACTTATCAGTAAGGTATACCCGTAATCTTGAGGGAACTGGTGGTGTCGTAAACTACTAAGTTGTATAGCATCTAACCACAGTTGTGACTTACAAACAGATAATGAAACATTATTATGTATTTCACGAAACTAATCATATAAGAGAACTGGGATAGTGTACGTCGAAATTCCTAAGTCACTGACATTGTGAGATGAATCAATCACTGAATGATAATCCACACTGTTCAAACACTTGTCACATTACCTTAGAAGCATTATTTACCAAATATAGTCACTGATGTACGAAATGATATGATTATACTTAAAACCCAAAGCAGAACCATCAAGCAAAACTCAGTGCAACTAAGTCTCAGTGGGGAAGTCTTTAACTAGTATAGGGTTCATTGAACTTAAACCCCACACGAGAACGTTAATTAAAAAGACTAATTCATGAATTCCATGAGTTAACTTACAAACTAACCTTCACTTTAGCCGATTGCTTAATCTGCAACAACTCGGTATTAATAACACGTAGAATAAAATAGGTACAATCCAAGTAGGCAGATGCACACCTCAATTCAGAAAAACACGACTCTGAAGCCAATGAATCATTTGGCAAACATAACATAACATAAGGCTAAGTACAATAAAACATAAAACATACGATTATTAGGAGTGCATTGGTCTGTTGATTTAATTATATTGGAGTAACATGATTAACATTTATGAGTTAAGAAAAGAATTTTAAAAATAAACAATTTAGTATTACTGAAGAAATAATGACTGTTAGTTGCATATCAATTTGATGAGCCTTAATGCAATTAGACTATCAAAAGATAAAAACACCAATATTGTGTGAATAAGTAACTTTTGATAAAGAGTTCACTTAGGTAAGTGGATAATATGCAGTTTATAATATCTAACCATGGCTGATGACGTTGACGTTACGCCTGTTACCCCTCTCAGAGGAGCATAGGCCGCCAACCACGATTCTCCATCGAACTCTGTCCTGGGTAATCTTTTCCGATCTTTTCCAAATGCTGTTCATTCTCTTCATGTCTGCTTCTAATTCCTGACTCAATGTGTTCCTTGGCCTTCTTCTTTGCCTTTCCCTTCAGGATTCTAATTAAGCGCTTGCCTTGTGATACAGTCTGATGATTTCAGCAATGTGTGTACTATCCACCTCCATCGTCTTTTCCTAATTTCCAGTTCAAATGGAAGTTGGTTTTTTCTCTGCCATGGTAAGTTGTTGCTGATGGTATCCGGTCAACCACTGCAAAATTTATGGATGCTAGTTAGGATGGAAGTCAGGAAGTAAAATCCTCAAAAACACGGCTTGTATTACGGTATTTGGGTCGTAGGTTTGAGTCGTGAAATTATTGAGTATGACCCGAAGAACAGTATAAAGTAGTGTTGTTTTACTTTATGTACCTCGCTTTTAAGGAGTATACAATGACGGTTGGAGATGTGCGGTGCCCAAATACAACTTATAAAAAAATGAACATGAGCCGAAGTATTTGTACGTTTTATCCTAGTATAATCATCTGATTTAAAGAAATCTAAGCTAAACCAGTGAAAAAATAAATATCGTGTAAGGTGCGTATTTGATACATGTGGGGTTTTAGTACTTCCAGTCAAAATCGCGATTAGCTGAACAGCAAATATATTAGTTACATTCTATGACATTAAGGGTTATGACTATTAATTAGTGCGTACCTCTAATATAATTTAAGATCTTCTATAAACTTTTTATGATTGAGTGCATTTCAGAAAAAATGGTTTCTTAAAACACTAGTATTTCAACTGTACCATATCTTACAAACTTAAAATGATTTTCGGCTTTAAAGTGAAACGTAAACATTTTAGTCACTTTACATGAAAAAAAACACTGAGATCATAGGGATTATATGATTATGCGTTTTATTATCTAATTGATAGGCAATAAACTTTTTTAGCAAAGAAAATTCAGGTTTTATACATGCATACAATAAAGTAGATGCTGATCAGCATTAACTTGTAAAAGGAATTGAAGCTGCTTGGTTTTGTGGGACTGCGAATAATTGATAAACTAAAGATTCATAAAAAAAGCTAACAAACATAATATTCTGTAGTAAATGGAAAACAACACAGTTATGAAATCCAATGAAAAATCATCTTACTCTTATCGTCTCGTAAATCACGTTTCCTCTTAACGCATCGCATAGTCCCATTATCTGTTCGAGAAGAAAAATTCCGGTTAGACAGGAATTGGCATATAAAAACCAAGTAAACAAATGTCGCAAAAAATTACCTAACTGAGGTTACTACTACTGATGACCAGAAATATAGAGTGGGATGAATATTTCAACTAACTTTCTCGACTATTTTGGATAAGGAATAGGGATAGACAGGGTTGCTAATCCTGGTGATGTAACTGTTTTCAATCGACGTAACACTACATGTACAATACTTTGTATTAAAGCATGCGACTTCAGAGTAGAATAATTTCATTCCACAGATCAACTGTGTTGCCTATTGAAACCAATTTGAAAAGGGGTTTTTGTTAGCAGTTCGATCTCGTGAACATCTATCCATCTACCCACCGAAAATCTATCTATGAACATCGATTCGCCTAAGGGAGTTGAAAAACCCTGATTCCAAACCAATGGTGTACATGGGCTCCAGAATCCTGAGGAAACAAATGTCCTATGAAGCAGTTATTAGTCACCGGCTACCACGGGACTGCATCTCTTTATATCGCTTCACTGTCTTGTGGATTAGACCTTTAAGTAGAAGGCTCCGGGTGTGGTCTCTGAAGAAAACCACCTCTTTCGGTTTGCGCACCCGGACAACATCCCAGCCCTCACACAAAACGAACGATCTATGTGGTGCATATCTATTTGGTGCTTCCTTGTACCAATATTATGTTTAAATAAATAAACATCCGACCACTGTGTATCATAAGACACATTCTATTGGACGAGTTCATGTTTAGCAATATCCCAAAACGTTTATTATTCATAAATCTGGGACATTCTTTTCCAATTAGTACATGGTTGGAAGATAATCACATTGAATAAAATAATTTACAATGACTACATTATTGGAATCATCCACTGCAACAGCTAGGAAAAAATGACTGTATTACAATTGTTAGTCGAGACCTAAACGTGAGAACATACTAAAGTACGTTTGCTATCGAAGGTTTGAGATGTCACTTTAATATACCACATCGTTCAAATTCTTTGGTCAAGACTCAGATACACTTCAGTATCCCATGGGCTAGAGCTTTTCGAGAACAATTAGCTCTCTAGAAAGATTAGCACTAAATGTTACTAATAATCAGCAATCATATCCTACAATAAACACGTACAGTATTCATATACCAACAAAATCTCACAAAGAAAAACGGATTCCAACGATGAACTTATAGAAGACTTGAACTTGGAAATGTTCTGAACTCATTTATTTGGAACTAACTCTTAATTTTCTATCTCTACAGCTATAGCTAATATAATTCAACACTTTATAATATCATGTACCAAACCACAAAGTACGTTACATAAACCAACCAAAATCAGGAAGCTGGAAACAAGCAAATGACACTTAAATAGCTTTAAACCAAAATCTTTGATAAACAGGTCTAATTTACCGTGACTATAGAACGGGATGCTCAGGATAGTTTCAAAGTTACCTCCTTTAACCAACGACCTTAGACAATCGGTTCACCGCGGATGTTGCGTACTTAAAGTAATTGGGGTCGGTCTTAGCCAATACATAAAATCAACTTAAACTTGTTTATAAGAGAAATCGAAAACTAATTCTACTGTCATCAGACTGAAACAATTAGATAATCATGAATGACAATGATGGCATGAGATTTCGAAACTGCAACAATTAAGGAAGCACACTAGAAATTTGGTACATTCCGTATATATATATATATGCATATATGTACGGAAGATTGAAAGAATTAAAAATTGAAATTAAAAGACAGATGTACTATACATCCAGTCATCTCATGAGTTAGGGACTTATATTTATTTCTGATGTTCTAAACCTCAGATGATCCGTGGATGCTTAAAAACTGCAAAAAATCCTAAATTCAATATCAACTGTGTTTTCTTTCGTCCGAAACGTAAAGGTCATCTTTTATGTTTTTTAAAACACATTTATGTTGAGATGAATTGAGGTGCTTAATGAAGCAGGGCAACAACTTAGAGACGCGTTGAAGGGTTTGATTTGGTTATACATTATGGTACTTATGTACTCTACCGAACTGATATACCAAATATGACATTGAGAAAAAGCCATGATATGACCACTTAAATTGTAAGACTACATTGGAACCACATAATTATCTATACTGTCTCATTCTACGTGACAGTTTTCGGGGTACATTTTATGAGGATGTGAATAAATTGTTTGTCACAAATTAAATGGTACCAGATGAATAAATACGAAGCTCACTGTTTCTTTAGCTGAAGTGTGGACGGAAAAAAACATACCCATTTAACTGTGGATGTCATTAACTAGCCTGGAAACACTCCACATACCGTGTGGGCCTATGTACAGCAGAATGTTTTGGAAATTATTAAACAAGCAAAAAATCGGGTTAATGGGTGGATATCTGTCGGTCGTGACTGTAAGTCCACAGAAAAACGATTTGGCATGTCTTCTTTGATAGTGCTGATCTTATTAATTTATAAGGTATCCTGGACTAATGTTGCCGTATTCCAATATTTCAAGACATCATTGTCCAAAAAATAGCTATTTGACACAGTTCAGATAATACATTTAGTATTTGATTATGATGATTATAACATATAGTGATAGGCTGTTAGTAATAGGAACTTTGAACTTGTTAAAGTCTAGAGCATAATTTAATTCTTCATTGGTACTATTCAGCTTTTCGCTGAACATATTTGTTGATGTAGTCGATTCATGCGGATGAGATTTTGACGCCATTTGTTTGAGAATATTCCACTGACTACTAAGGTACTAAACGTTTTTATTCAGTGAATAATTCTGCTGCGTATACTGTAGCGTTCAGTACTTCTTTTAGTACGTCACTTTTTTCACTATCCATTGTTATGTTCAAACTTATCAATTATTAGCTTATGTATTCATATTGGCTTATTAACTACTCTCTTCGCCAAAAGTCACGTGATATAAAATTACAATACAAACTACGCAAATTTTTTATCAAAATCCAATACATATTTTCATCTTCGATCGCTTCCGTGTTAACGGATTTGTAAATTATATGTATATAAACACGGATTTAAAGCTCAAAGTTTGTGATGTAGTTACCCAATGAAGACAAGATAATATAGTCGCGTGATATTGTAAGTTGTTTGAAGTCAGACAACAACGCTGTTGGAAATCATCCCAATAGTCCACATGTTAGTCGTTCGCGTGAAATGTAACGTCATGAGTTCGAGTTCCGTGTGCATTTTCGTGACTGTGTACTTCTGTGGAGTACCGTCCAGTGCGCCAAGCTTTTCACCGGTGACATAACATTGGTCGATTCATGATTCCAAGTAAAACGCATATCGAAAAATCATTCGGGTCATATCAGCTATCTTATAAGCGATTTCGATTACGTTTAATTTTGTTCAAGTCCTCTTATTGACTTAACAGACAATGTTATTTAGACGGTAACAATTCGAATATTTCTTTGTACCGTTACGATCACTAGAGCACGTGACAAACTCTGGCTAAAATTTTGATTACTGAAATATCACTCAGTGATGTATTCCACTTCCCCAAGTATATATGTACCCGAATCACATTATTAGCCCTTGCTTGCGTTTTTGTGCTCTTATGCAATTTGACTATAAATTTACATGTGTAATTGTTCTCATATACATATTTACCTTTCTGCTATAAATTTTCTTGTAGTGCTTATTGTATTGCGATCTACGCTATCCACTAATAAACTGTGATTTCCGCTTCTCATTGTCTTCTGATTTCAAACAACGTTGAGGTTTATATAATAACGGTTACGAGGGTGATCGGTTAACGAAACAAAGCCACTACATTGCGTTCTATTATTTTAGTTCGTGAAGCAAAAACACAAACCAAGTTTGTGATTATGTACGAAATAATATATGAGATATGCATTCGATTGTCATCATTATACGTTAACAATACGGTGATATAATGACTCTAACTTTGTACCAGTGATACTTTGGACCGTTTTTTATAATTATCGATCAAATGTTTTATAGTTAATGAAATAATTTAAGATTATTGTATACTACAATCAAGATTATTTCACTAATTAATGGGTTGGTAACCTTGATACATAGCGGTTGATTGTGAGTGACTAAAGAACTCGTACCGTGTGCAGAAGAACCTGGTGGTTTGACCATTTCACAAAGACTTTTAAATAAGTTGGAATGTGAATATTGATGTATTTTAATTACCAAGACAGCTCATTTTATCGCGTTCAAGGGGACATTTATGTTGCATTCTTCATTGTAATATGTATTATATATTAAGTATCTCCGAACCAATTTAAAATTGATTGTGCTTTCCATTGAAGTCTAAACATAGCGTTAATACTATGAAAAAGTAAGAAATCTAGAAAGGACAACTAACAAGTAACCTTTCGGTAGTAGTGCTGTTTAATCTTCGGATATCTGTCGCACTAACTTAGCATTTAGATACAACACATATATTTTACGTGAGCTATGCTTAAAGCCCATTTTCATTTTGTTGTAACCACTAGCCTCGGATCGTCTGCGTTAATTGGGTTATTAGGACCTATGATCTGTGATATCAGCTTCGTCCCATAAAAACAAGTAATGCGAAGGAAAACGTTCATTACTTTGAAAACAATGTAGTAAGTTTGCTCTGGATTGATCAGCAAATGTTGCAAGCTTATATAGATTTCATATAAGAAGTTTTGATTATATGCCTTCCGGCATCATCTGTTTAGTTTTGTTTGTACAATAGTAGAATTCCATGAAACCTCAAAGTTGAATTTATAGACGTCGAAACTTACAAGAGAAAATAAATGTCGCAAATAAAGTGATCACTTTGATTTATTCGAAATACGATTGTCATATTGGGTGCTATTAAAAACAATTGGCGATCAAATGATCGATGTCGCTTCCGAATAATCCAGGATAGTAGCCCCCGTGTTTTCAGTGAATACCTTAAATATTAGTGCAGCTTTGGAGAAGTTCAAAGTGTTGCTTGCGGCCCGATATTTGTGTCCACAATAGTACAAAATATATACCCCGGAGTCCAGTATTTCTGTATATGCCCACCAGTGCACACATGAAGAATTTCTAGACCTTTGAATGTTTGCTTGAAGAACCGCTGTAAAATTTATGTTCCTCAGCCTTGAAGAATTGGGCGGTAATTTATGGAACCCATAAACATTAGTGATGACTGTTTTATGACGATGTCGTCGGTTGTGCATTCTCACTAAGAGACATCTTTATAAATGATCAAATTTTCAAAGGTGGTCTTTGTGATGTGTACGTGTAACATGAGGCGCGATTCCGGAATAGCCCTAGAGCGAATTTGTTGATAACTGCTTATCAGTCACTGTGATTGTAATGTACGTGCAATTATTGATGGCAGGATTATGCCGATATTTAAAAATCATTGTAGTTGGCAAATTAAAAGTAGCCTAGTGAGGTCATCTAGCTTTACACTTGAGTGTCTCGAAGTAAGTACGGATTTTGCCAATAAATGCCCTATCACGACAGAGTTGGAAGGGCCCGCCCTCCCTCTCGAAATGCTCTCGCACGACCACGTGTATACAGCCTTTGGCAGGGAAGTCCTACTCACTACCTTCACGTGACGGGGTTGTTGTTTACGAAAATGAGAGGACGAAAAGCGAATATCCGGCGCTTTAACCGGATCCCAAACCAATGGTGCACGTGGGCTGGCTCCAGTATCCTGAAGGAACAAATGGCGTATGAACCAATTCTCGGTCACCGGCTACCATGGGACTGTATCTCCTCACGATGCTCCAGTGCCTTGTGGATAAGACCTTTGAGTCAAATGCTCGGGGTGTGGTCCCCTAAGAAAACCACCCGCTTCGGTCTGTGTATCCGGGCAGTATCACAGCCCACATGCAAATATGATGAAGTGTTGGTATTTATGGGAGATACTTTTTTTGCTTCGATTATCAATCAAAAGATTAACATTATTATTATTTACCACGTCATTTATTCACTCACTTGTATTCCCCCCTCTGTGTATCCTTATTTTTCGACTTATACGGCAGCTCGCCTATGGTGGAAATTCGGTCCGATCTGAACGTTCACGAGTCACTGCCTGGTTTAAAGTTGTATGTTACCACCGAATACAAATACAACGGCAATTTTTCTGAAAACACGTACACCATTCATGGCTGGCCATGTCTTTTGAAAGTCTTAATATTGACGTTTGTTGTCAATCCGAGACCCATATAAAAGAGACCGGTGATATACTACAAATTCGCTATCCATCTGTCACTTCAAAAAGCTTGTTGTACGTGCGTTTATCCGTCGACCCTGTGGCATCTTCGGCTAGTCTTGCTGGCGTTGGTGTCGCACTATGCGCTAGAGCTGAGGCAGCACTAATCGACTGGATCCCCATTAACAGTCGGTTATGTGCTGTTAAATTAGAAAGTTCCATCAAAGTGAGAAGAAATCGGCATGAGAAACGATGCCTTTTCGTCATCTCATCCGAGCCACTGGCAGCAAGAAGTCTGGTGTGAGAGAAACAATCTGCGACGATAACGGAACGCCAATCACTAACATCCATCGACGTATTAGACGATGGGCAGAACTCTTCGAAGGGCAGTTCAACTGGCCTGCTGCTCCGGCAACATCGTTTAGACTGTCCTGCCCTCCATGGCCGGTGACGACTGATCCACCAAATGGGGCGGAAGTTTGCAAGGAACTCCAACTCTTGAAACACTACAAATCACCGGGCCCAGATGACTTTCTGACTAAGGGACTGACGACGTTGTTTACAAAGGTCTGGGAAATAGAAAGTGTACTAACGTCATGAAATGAGTCGATAGTTGTCTTTATCTGTAAAAAGGGTTCACGTCGTTCTTGTAACAACTATCGGGTGATAAGTCTACTTTCAATTGCGTCCAAGCTATTGGCTTTTGTCATACTTCGTAGATTGTTCAAAACTCGAGGATTGACTCGCGAGGAGCAGGCTGGGTTTCGTTTTGATCGAGGATGTATTGATCATATCTTCACCCTCCGCCAAATGTTAGAACAGTCATACGTATCAAAGGCCAACAATCGTAGTGGTGTGGATCAGTTGCCTGGAGAAAGACTTCTCGATCTTGAGTATGCGGATGATATTGTCTCACTGTGCGAGAAGGCCCAAGCCATGCAATCCGCACTTAATCAGTGTCGTAGGTATGATATGTGCTTTGCACCTTCGAGGTGCAAAGTACTTCTACAAGACTGGCAGGACTCTAATCCTGTACTCACTCTGGATGGTGAGCAGATAGAAGTGGTCGAGAAGTTCGTGTATCTAGGTAGCTGCATAAGTGCTGGTGGTGGTGTGAGTGATGAGATCAATGTACGTATAGTGAAAGCCAGAGCGGCTTATGCCAATCTGGGCCATCTTTGGCGCCTTCGCGATGTTAGTCTGGCTGTAAAATGTCGGATCTACAACGCGTCGGTGAAACCTGGCCTCTCCGAGTTGAGGATGTTAGACGACTCTCTGTGTTCCATCATCGTTGTCTCCGAAGGATTGCTGACATTCAGTGGCAACACCATGTTAGCAATGCAGAGGTTCAGCATCATGTGTTCGTGCACAGAGACGACAATCCAATTGGTGTCACCATTTTGAAACAACGAATGTCGTCCCAGAGAACTCCACGTCGTGCATTATTTGCCGACTCTGGGACTGGTTGGAAAAAGCGGAGAGGTGGTCAGTATATGACACGGTGTCGTGGTATGAAAGAAAGCTGCGAAGGGCTGGCTTGCGTTGGTCCTTCACGACTGGGGTCCTAGAGGTGGATCAACACTTCATCAGCTATGGCTTATAATAGAAGCCAGTGGCGACCCGGCTGTGACCTTCTTTTACTTTCTTCATAAAAAGCGGTTGCTTCTTCCTTAACTGAAAGATTTCTTCTGATTGCGCCCTTCCGTCCCCCCCCATTATTATTATTACACTACCTTACACTAATCTGTTCGTCATTGTTCTTTTTTGTTTTTGCGCTCCTTGCGCAAATTCTCATTGTTTTGTGTGGCGCATATACATTTGGTGCCCTCTTGTACCAATATTTGTGTTCAGGTAAATAATAAATAAATATGAAAAGCACTGGCTAAGAAATTGGTTGAATTTCTAAGAGGTGTAGATACATATACGCAGCTTGATAATATGGGTAACACTAGTCTGTCAAACAAGTAGTATTACTGGCACTGGGACAGGAGCAGTTAGAGCTCAGAAACTTCACGATCGAGGACTGACAGGTCACATAGAGACATATGGGTCCCCATTTAAGGAGGATGGTCAAAATAGTTTGCTGGTAATATCCAGCGAGTTGAACCAATGCCGAAATCCTACATAAACATGAAAGGAAAGAGTTTTACACCGTGACCGTCTGGAGATCTACTTAAGCTTTATCAGTCAGTTAAATAGTCAAAACTCACATTCCTACGACTCTGAGCATAAATCTTACAAACTTGATAGGAACACGTTCTCAATCTCTTCTGTAAGTAGATAAACGCAATTGTAATGAAGCGCACTCAAATTTGCAAGTCAGTAAGCTGGTTAATCTGAGTTGCATTTGTGGAAAAACCAGTAAGCAGGTTTCCGAATTCAATCATCAACTAATAACTTTAAATTATATACAGCCGCAAATGTTTGTAGTCACTTCAGACCAAGTGGATTATTACTAACTTATATATCTGACACATGATGCACATCATGTACATACAAATTTGCGAGAATAATGCAGAAACGATAACATATAGATCAAGATTTGATGTGAAGGCTTTAGAAGTACACACACCTGCATCAAATTTGATGTGAACATCCAGAATTGTCCGAAATTCAACAGTGAAACTAACAATAGAACTTGGTGATAATAAGACCGTTAAACTACAGAACTGTAGGTTCAGACTACTGTCCAGAGAAAGGAAGTGTTAAAACATTTTGTACTTCTTTCAATCACAATTTTTTTTCCAGAAACAGAGACCAAACTAAAAGGAGCGTAAGCATATTAAAGGAACTTAGTGTTTATGGAAAATTAATTGGACTAAATGTGTCCACAAATATTTCTAAGTACTCATTTTACACATACGTGAACGTCGTATGATACAAAGGCCTCCCAACCTGGCTTCCCAGCTCTCCATTGCATGCGATCGAACAACGGAGGACTTGATTTGTAAGGTGGTAACTCAATGAGAGCATGAAATTACTGAAATTTACTCAGCTGAGCATATGTCTATGTAGCACTTGAAGAATCCAGCTAAGTGGTCTATAAGACACCAACGATAATTAATATACGAGTAATTACCGACATATTGTTAAAACATACGTACTAGATCGTATACAGAAAAACAGGAAAACCAGAAAATCTTGATAATTATGACAGATTTAAGGAAAGTACACATTTACAATGTAATACAACAAATAAACTAATGACGTACAAATGAATACTTAGCAGCACAAAATCTAAATACAATCCCGAATATGAGGTGAAGCCTTAAAATTCGTGTAAAATCTGTTTTAATTCCTACTACTATAGTACATTCGATGAACTGAATTTCTCTGTTTACCGGGATTATAGAAATGTTTGATATTTGTATATCAGATAAGAATTTTCAATCTAATTGGAACGAAGATCTAAAAATTTTAACAGTCCTATTAACACCAAAAATAATAATTCATATGGCATGAAAACTCTCAATACCAATCACAGTGACAGTTGTTTGATGAGGACCATTTTGTTTCAGTCATTTGATATAACAAATATGCCCATAAAAGTAACCCCAACAGATGAGATCCAATAGCGAAAATTTGACCAGAGAAACCCCAACGATACTTAGCTCTTTCGATGGCACCTATTAAGTCTGGTAAGCCGAAGAAGTTACACAGGGAGTGGGTAACAATACTTGAAGCAATATTACCTATACAGTAAACAAAATATGATGAAATGTGTATTCAAAAAGTAGCTAGTAAATTAAATTGTTAGTAAGATTAACAAAACATAGATAAGTAGGTATTTCATGCTATCAAATGTACTTGCGACATAACTACAAGACAATAAGGGGATTTTTCTACAAATGGAACGAACAATTTTATATCTAAATATAGACATAACATATAAAAAACGAACACTCATCCAGAACATTTTAACAAGCTTACCAGTTATATCCGAGTTTGCACTAGAATATATTATATTTTACAACTGAGCACCTTATATGTACACAATAGAATATATCAAGTAATGATCTACAAGTTTCGAGAGAATACATTTATCAAAACAGTTCTGTTCATTTTAAGTGCTACTACGGAAAAATAAGCTGGTAAGTAAACTGCTAAATAACATGGATACTCGACAATTCCTGACTGCTTCAAAAAACAGTGTATATTAAGATTTATACCAACTGCCTAAATGACGAATTATTGTAGAATGCATCTTAAAAAAACATCAACAGACAGGAAGTAGCAAAACCATATGTAACGATCTATTAACAGGTCGAATGACAAATTTTAGTGAATTAATGAACGAAAAAAACCTTAATATTTGAAAACTTCAAGGTATATCGTAATTCACTTTTGTTGATAAAGTAGATGGAAAAGTTACTAAAAGAAATACTGAAATCATGAGAATGATTTGTAGTTCAGTTTTATGGTTTCGATGGTGCAGAACACTAGTTAAAGTTTTGAAGTTAAATCATCCAGTATACAGAGGCAGATAATATTATCAGAAGAAAAAAACATACAATTTATAAGACACTAAAGACGTACCCAAATAAATAAAATTAATCTAATTCTTTTCATTAAATAATATTCACGTAATGCGCTTAAGTTCAAAACACAGTTGTAACTGATTTAAAAAGGTTAAATATTTGGCTTATTTTGTAATAATCTTGGCAATGTATACAAAGCACACAGGAACAAAGTGCCTCAACGAAAACAAATATTTTAAAGGATAGTGTACAGAAACAGATATCAGCAAGCAAACATATACAAGGTTATAAACAATTTTTTTGGTTTTTTTCAATATAGTTAATGTCTTACCATCTGTTTAGAGTTGACCAATGTTGTTGTTGAAATCGATATTACAGGACGAAATAGAATAACATAAACGTCAATAGCGCTATATTTAGAGACGAGTTGTGAACAAAATAAGTCACTCGCGACTGACCTCCACTAAACATAAAGTCGTCAATTTTTACGATGTTACGCTAGAAATTCGTCGAGATTTGTCAGTTAGAAATTTGTTGGGTACACAATTCGACCATACATTTGTATAACAAAACAAAGTCGAAATTTGTAAGCTGTATTTAAAGAGTTACCATGTTAAATATTTCTGTAAGAATTACAGCCCCCAAATGCCGAGAGCGGGGTGGGCCCGCCCTCCCTCTCGAAATGCTCTCGCACGACCACGTGTATACAGCCTTTGGCAGGGAAGTCCTACTCACTACCTTCACGTGACGGGGTTGTTGTTTACGAAAATGAGAGGACGAAAAGCGAATATCCGGCGCTTTAACCGGATCCCAAACCAATGGTGCACGTGGGCTGGCTCCAGTATCCTGAAGGAACAAATGGCGTATGAACCAATTCTCGGTCACCGGCTACCATGGGACTGTATCTCCTCACGATGCTCCAGTGCCTTGTGGATAAGACCTTTGAGTCAAATGCTCGGGGTGTGGTCCCCTAAGAAAACCACCCGCTTCGGTCTGTGTATCCGGGCAGTATCACAGCCCACACACAAATAAAAGTTTGTGTGGCGCATTTATATTTGGTGCCCTCTTGTACCAATATTTATGTGTTCAAATAAATAATAAATAAACAGTCGAAGAATTATGAAACCAAATGGTGTTTAGTGTAAACCACTTAGAATTTCAAATTTGAAACAAGTGTGATTAGATCAATTTTCAACATAGGTCAGATGATGTGGTGTATGTCACCATAAAAACAAACAGTGATCTAATTTTAGCAGTTGAATTCACGAATCAATCTAAGTTAGAACATCATTTAAAACTTGGAAGTACTCGATGGCCGTTTTGTCCTAGTATGGGACTCCTCATCAGTGCTTATCAACAGTTCGGCACGCTTCCAAGTTTTCAATGGCGGTCTGGCTTAGACTTACTTGTTAAATTAACTGTCAATACACAAATCTTCATAATGATAGTGATCTAATTACTCAACATAATCCTTATTCTGTAGCATGATAAAAGATTTAACTGAAGTTTCCGATTAAATTTGATTTTAATACAATTCAAAGGACAAACATAATTCTTTGCATTTTACGGCAAACCTCATTTAATGTGGACTAGTAAAATCCAATCAGTTGACCAAACACAACTAGATAAATTGGGGTTCGAGTCTTGAAATTTATTAGTCAAAGGTTGAGTGCTAAAATCACTAGTTTAAACCCAGACGGATCGTCGTATATCGTATTTATGTCACCAATAATTACACTATATAATAGATCGCAAGGTGACTAAATATACAATTGTTACTAAGACTGGAACTGCTCAGGATATATTTGGAATGAATTTGGATTTAGAGTCGATGTCAGCACAGTTGTTAGTAAAAGTTCTCTTTCACAAAATATTTCCTATTCTTAAATTTGAATAAAGCCAGAAGATAGATCATAGTGGAATAGGATGAATTAATTTATTTCGTGATTTCTCTCCCATTGCTTAGAACCTAGACAAAATAGGATTAAGTATTTAGAAGCAAAACGTTGTATATACTTCATATCATGACTTTAGAAAATTTTCTATCAAAAGCAACAATTTTAAAAGGCATGGAGACAGGCTATTGAAAATTTCAGAGTTACGTAATAAAAATTACAAGCATGAATCGATCATAGGATTAAAATGAAAATTAATTTATAATTTCAAACATAAAATGAGACGTTACGCAACTAAGTATTGGGAACTGAATACACCAAGATAATGTAAGACTGTGAACAGTAAATTTTTGGAAACATAAATCCGGTTTGAGCCGTTTGAATATAATGGCTTGATTAAAACGTAATAAGTCCGAAGTCATAAGGTTACTAACATTTCAGAACGATCTTGGAATTCCGTCGTGTTCACTATCAAGTAGATGATGGGTGATTACACATTTAAAAGTAGGTTGACCTCTTAGTCCTAATTTGTGAAGAACATGACTTCAGATGGGAGCGATAACCCTCATTACTGTTCATCTAATGTATGTGATTCACCACGCACATGTAAACTGGTAAGCGAAATCGGAACTAAAGTTAAGTGAGTATATTTCAACTTTCGAATGTTTCAATGAGACCAGTTTACAGACTGGATAAATCCTTTTTAATGCAGCGCACAGACCGGAATCAACCTTATCAACTGTCTCACCATCTTTAAAATCAAGTAGTACAAAAACAGATTTTTGTAACCACAACAAATTCTATTCCAACCTTATTGAATAACCATCGTCCGACAGACAACCTTGAGCAATGATTAATATCAACTCAATCTTGTCCGCTTGATAAAAGTTCTGCACTTGACTGAATACTTTTCTAACCAGTTCAGATATAGAATGTGGAAAAATGTATTGCATAACTAACAATAATTGCTGAAAGTACAATAACGCTTCATAAAAAAATTCGTAAAAGTGAATAGATCTAGATTTATGTCAAATATCATAAAATTCTAATGGATATAGAAATGACCATGAAAGGAGAATATTAATAGTTTTTCACTCATCTTAAATTTTATATTGAATTAATCTATTGCAACAAATGGAAGGACGTTTTGTGTATATATATCATGATTCGGATTATAAATAAGCTTCTAAATTTCACTCACAATGCTAGATCACTATAACTCCAGTGAGACTGATAAACTGTATGAGAGGATTCTTGAAAAAATGACGATGCTTACTGGTTAATTTTTACACTCTTGTTATTTCATTGTGATTTAGAGTTTTAACATAGGTAACGGATTGACCAAGCGTCTACTAAACACAATTTTCACACTTATCTTCCTTAATACACACTACCCTAACCTTGACATGTAGCGCAGCTTTAAAAAGCTGTCCGAAGAGCTGCACACGTACGTTAGTAACGTTACTGAATGGTTAAATCACGTAATAACGTACAAACAATGACATACCATCACACTGCATAGAAAAGTAAAGTTATTAAGGGATTACATTTTACCAACATACATCTCAGCTTTATCATCGATTGTATTTTTTGTGTATTAGAGATCGCCTACAGTGACCTAATATCTAGGCCTACTATTAATATTGCAGTTTTCAATTTTAAAAATAACTTCAAGAACATAAAAAGTGTATGCTGTACAACTAAAAATACGTAGACTTACCAGTTCTTAACATCAAAAATCCAGAATACGTTCCAAATAGAGTTGTGTAAAACACTTGGAAAACTTTAAAAATAAATAACGTTTTAAATGATTACAATGAAGTCAGCAAATAATAAGAAACGATAAAAACTCTATGAAAACTCAGAAGATAAATATAATAAGAATGTGTTTAGATGCCATGGTTATAATTCTAATAACCAAAATTACAAATTACTTGTGAGATGTGAATTCCAATTAACTAAAAGCTACCAGTTAACTTAAAATGAAATCACAAATAACAACGTGACAAATATCATCATAGTGTTTATGGTTTATTAGCGAACAAAAATAAACAGTATTAGATATGATTTACTGTGCTAATGTCACGCAATACACTTGAAACACATTTGATATGAGGCCTACTAATACTATATAACTGACAAAGAGAAAGTAAGCAAAATGTAGACTAAGAACAGCAGCCGAGTGTTAAGATGTTTGGTGTCTACACCCAAGACTTTGCAGCTCAGTATGAGGAAAATATAGAAACGTTTACAGTGTTCATCTTGCTTATCATAAAAGTCTTGCTAGGTTGGATGAATAATTTTCAGAAGCTTCATGTGGTATTGCCAACTTATGCAAACATTGAATTACCCGAGATATGCGCTTAATACTCAGAAATGAGTATGAAACGCACTCTATAAAAAACAAACATTTTTCAGAAGTGTTTAACTACAAACGTTTTTTAAGTACAAGTCGAGCGTGAGTGAGTTACGAAGTGACAAATGTTATCGTACCTAGAGTATAGGGAGAGATTGGAAAACCGGTTAACGAGATCACGAACACTCATTGCTTGGCACATGTGTCAGAATGTCTAATCGAAACCTACAGTGAAATATTTTGCTGGCCAGTAGCAGAAATAGGTTAGGAGAAGACAACAGTAAATTCATTTGTGGTAGTAGTCAATCAAGTTAAAAACTGTTGATTTGAGTCATTTTGAAGAGGTAGGCGTTTTAGTTGGTTGAAAAATTATAGTGATATGCCACGTTTATGTAAATGTGTTTTTTATACTCAGAGAGTTTAATAAATTGTAACCCTATTCCCATCGTCCTCCATTTTCATACGTTCTTTATTTGGTATTGTACTCACGTTGACGTCATTACTTTTAATATTTTATTTTGCTTAAATTGGTTTATTTCTATTGGATAATCCCATTTATAGCTAATTACGGATATAATCATCTTTTGTTAGTAATATTAATAGACACAATAGTCGAATTGTCTTATTATTTTAAGGTGACCGAACATATCATAATTTTCAAGCCATTGAGTTATTAAATAAGTTTGCCACATAAACTCGTCGAATGCATTTTTATATTTTATAGATAATAATGGTAATAATAATAATAATAATAATAATAGATGTATGCAAATGAATTTTCTTCGAAAGAAGGTTTTTACGTCTAAACGAAGTTATGCAGAATATTCAAATTACAAGACAATGAAACATGTAAACAAAGAAGTTGTGTATATTAACTTGATAAATAATATATGCATAAAAAGTAGTGTGTTAATTTGAAAACAGTAATATTATCTACTGTGTATTTACTTCATTTAATAGTGACCTTATACTAGAAAACATACGACTAAATAAATTATACGAGCAATAATAAGCACGAAAAATAAAAGAACTCATACAGATTAATGACTTTTATACACTGAACAAAATTAACATACATATATAGATTTATGACAATTTTTATGTTAATTCTTTGATAATTGGACACTGAGGGAATATCAGTCATATAACCTACTAACTATTACAAACAACGATGCAAGTATTTGTGAAGAAGCTATGATTTACAATGGAAGTGTTTGCAGATTGAAAATCTAATTGTTGATGAAATGTAGACTCAATGTAATTTCTTATTTACTATACTATTTATCAATCTGAATAACCTAGGTAAAAAAAGGCTTTACAATTTATTTGTAATAAAATACAGGTCACTATAAGAAAGTAGTCAAAGAAATCGATTGGTGATTATGACAATTATCCATCTTGTTTCTTACATCCAGAGGGAGAGGAAAGCAGTCCAGACACAGTTTCATTATTGTTTAAGACAAAAAGAATACATTCAGTCATCATTTTTAACAAACAGGTCTATGTCACAATCGGCTGCACTTAAATGAACGGATTTAAACACTCTTATGGGGTATGTGTTTTCCTATATGGCTTAGAATAACAGCCGAAGACTGTACTGAAATAATGTTATGAATTACTTTGGCCGCCTCTTGCCTTCTTCAAATTGCAATAACAAGCATTTCGTCAACGAGACATGTGTACCACAGGTTTCGGCTACTTCAGTCGATAACGGTTTACAGAACAATCAAAAGAAATAATTTTTACTTATCCTTGAGGTGCAATGCTAACCGGTGTTGGGGATGGTTGGAAGAAGGTTAGGGGCGGCCAAACCAAAACGTGGCATCAGTGCTTGAAGACACTAACTTGTACTCTGAGCCATGTTGGTAGATGTAGACTACTTGCTTGGGGTCCGCTTGACTATCGTAACCAATGCTTGGAGACTCTTGGTGATATGGCTCAGAATCGGTCACAATGACGTAGGTGTATACACTCTCTGTCTTCCCTTAAACTAAGAGATTAAAATCGCTTCATATCTTTCTTTCTATGAACTAATTCTTTCTTCCTGTACTATATCCTTATATTCAATCTTCTTTTATATATCACCACCATTGACTTAACCACTCCTATGAATCCGGTGTTCGTCTTGCTGTGCTAATGTGGTATGGCAACTTGGACCGATGCATATATGTGCCTGATCCTACGTTGTACCTGACTGACTGACTGACACACGTTAGCTCCGCTATATGCGAGCAAAACGAAAAAAAACAATATTTCTGGATTTAGGCATTTTCATCCGTGAGATGATGATCTTTCTACTATCTGTAACCAATTCTTTCATATGTAGGAAAATGTCTTGAGTTATTGTTTAACAAGAGTAGTTAAGCACAACATAAATGACGTGTATAACCATTTGGTTTGTTGATATGATATAGCTACTTTATTCAATACATTATATAAGTTCAAGAAAAAAGTTAGTGAAATATAAAAAGACTCACGTGAAGTTTTAAATGCAGATTGAAGATCTTGACCACTTTTCATTGATTCAAAAACATGATGAAAATGGGCTACATGTAACGACAATAACAATAAAAAATAATTGGTATAAATTTATTAATTATTTGTCTTAATGAAAGATGAATTTCTGTTTAATGTAGTATACAGTTTATTAGTACACATAGGTGCATGCATTTAACTATTTATCGATGGGATTACAAGTAGCTGTGTGCATATTCAGCTGGAGCCAATAATGGACAAATGACTAAGGCAGCTGGACGAATGATTCAGCTTGGGATATAAAAGTAGAAGATAAGCACTGTAATAAATGGGAGCAAGGTAGTTGTTTTAATTAAACCTTCACTATAAGATCTATAACATTTTTAGTTATTTTTCACTTCCATGAATTGCGCAATTTTACTAACAGATGTGGTACAAAATAAATTTTTAAAACTTTGTAGACTTTAAGTACGGTAAACCATCATGAGCACTTCTAGGGTTACCGCCAGTCATAAGCCCGGATTGTTTATTATTTATTTAAACACATAAATATTGGTGCAAGGAAACACCAAATACATATGGGCCACATAAATTATTCGATTTGTATGAGGGAGGAGATACTGCACGAGAGCCCAAACCGAAGCAGGTGATTTCTTAGGAGTCTTTGACCTAAAGGTCTGGTCCACAAGGCAGTGGAGCAATATAAGTAGATGCAGTCCCATGGTAGCCGGTGACCAACTATTGGTTCATACGCCATTTGTTTCTTCAGGATACTGGAGCCCATGTGTACCAATGATTTGGAATCAAGGTTTTCCAACTCCCCTAGGTGCACTCTCCGTGCTCATCAACCCGGTTAACTCGCCAGACATTCGCTCTCCGTCCTCTCAAATTCGTAGAAAACACCCCCGCTACGAGAAGGCAATGAGTAGGACTTCCCTGGCAGTGGTTGTATGCACGTGGCCATTTGAGAGCATTCCGAGAGAGGGAGCTGACTCTCCCCACTCTCGGCCGTACCAGGGCGTTTGGGGGATAAAGGAGGAGGGTTTGGCATGGTGTCAGCAACCCCATCCCACAGAAAACAACCCTGCTAAGAAAAACACTGACCAGAAGACGTTTTCCCTGGGAGACGAAGGGTTTTCATTTAGAATTATGACATGGTAAAATTCGAGATTTTTCGGGAGCCACGAGGCCGGTATCCTCTCTAACATTCAGAGTAATGAGTAACATAGGTACACGGAATGTCTGCACGATATGGGAGACCGGGAAGACCAGTTTAATAGATCCAGAAATGAGGAGATACAAATAGGCTATGCACGGAATAAATAAAACTCATTGGACATAGGCTGAACAGAAAGGATAAGCTTCGGGAGAGGTGTCGTTGTACTCTGACCATAAAGAAGAAAATGCTTCACGCACAAGAAGTCGCACTGATGCTTTCCAAAGAAACACGAAAAGCACCAATAGAATAAGTAACTTGCCGATCCTGAATTATCAAAGCATCCGTCAAAACAAAGAGGGGATTACAGTGAAAGCCATCCAGTGATATGCCCCACCAAAAAAAGCAGTGGAGACAATAAAGATTAGTTCTGTGAAAGGCCGCAGTCGATCTTAGGGAACTGTCCAGGAAAGTCCCTGGCCAACCTAATACGAGATTTGAACGCCAGGGTTGGAATGAACAACACCGAGAATAATGATTCCATATAGAGATACGGACTAGGTGAAAGGAACGAAAATGGAGAGAGATTCACAAATCAATATGCCTTCGACAAATAGGTTTTAAGTGTTTTAAATGCCTGTTCCTCTGTTTTTGAATTCCGGTGATTGGTTTGATGTTTTTCTTTTTGACTGCTCGCACAGATTTATAATATTTTCCAGCAAGCTCTTTTGCTGTCTTACAGTTGTCCCGCATTTCTTTTTCTTGCAGCTTTTTCCATTGTCATTGCTAGGATTCCATATATTTTCGCTCACCAACTCTAATGATCCTCTTCACTCGCCTGTTTGCTTTTGTGTATTTGCCTTGTGTTTTCTCTGTTCTTGTTTGTCTGTTGTTGATTGCCATCTTCTTGTTTTTCTTTTATTGAGTCTTGTTCAGTGTATCGATGGAGATTCATTCTCTATGGTAGTGCTTCTTGTGGCCTAGGACCTCCTTAGGGGCGGCCAAACCAAAACGTGGCATCAGTGCTTGAAGACACTAACTTCTGGTCTGAGCCATGTTGGTAGATGCAGACTGCCTGGTTGGGGTCCGCGTGACTATCGTAACCAATGGTTGGAAACTCTTGGTGATATGGCTCAGAATCGATCACAATGGCGTCAGTGTATACGCTCTCTGTCTTCCTTTAAACTAAGAGATTAAAATCACTTCAAATCTTTCTTCCTAGGAACTAATTCTATATTCCTGTACTATCTCCTTATACACACTCTTTTTTCTATATATTACCACCACTGAATTAACTACTTCTATGAATCCGGTGTTCATCTTGTTGTGCTAATGCGGAATAGCAACTTGGACCGATTCATATACGTGCCTGGTCCTACGTTGCAGCTGACTGACTGACTGACTGACTAGGACCTCCTGGTATGTCGAAGTTACTGCTTCTTTAATCCCTTCCCAGTTGTCATTCAGAGTAGCTTCCGCTTCTCTGAAAAGATCTTTTAAGGCTTGGAACCTCTTCTCGAGAGTTATATTGAATTTGTTGAGCTTGTCAGTGTCTTGAAGGGAGGCTGTACTAAAATTAGTAATCCTGTTTCTCCGTTTCCCAGTGCTTCTTTAGCTTTAGTTTCATCTTGACCATCATCAGGGGGTTGTCTGAATCTATATTAGGTCCTCTCTTTGTTTTCACGTCTCTTATTGAGCTTCTGAACTTTTTATTGATGAAAATGTGATCGATTTGGTTCTCTATAAAGTGATCCGGTGTTGATTCGTGCATGCGTTTTGGGGGGAACAAGATGCCACCTATAACTATTTTGTTGAAAGCACGCAGACTTTTAATTTTAACTGGCACATTTTTATGCGGTTATTATTGAACTACATACTACTCTGTGTGATAAACCGAATGAAACTAATTAGCTTTCTAATCTAAAATAGATATAATAGGATTCCAGCCTGTGAATAAATGGATGAAAATTGACTACTTTAGTCACTAAGTCATCACGTTTTTAGCAAGCTAATAGAATAAACTTTGGTTGAAATGACCTTCAAAAAATTACTTCAATGAAAACTCTAACTCAATAGGTAGAAAGGTGGTCAGGAGTATAAAAAAGAATGTTATAAAATCCGCATCAAAGTAAACCAATAGCTAATGAATATTATCAAGAAATAAGTAAAATCAAGACAAGTTCTAGTTATGTACGAGTTTCAAAACAATACTTACCTAAAGAGAAAAATAATGAACTAACGAAGCAAAGCATAACACATGATGAGAACAAAGGAAGTAGATGAAATGTAACACATGCACGGAAGATAAGTTCTTCAGCCAAAGGAGCTATTACAAAATTTCTTAAACTTATCCAGTTAAATATACGATCTTTCCAGTATTGAACATCTATAAGTAATAAATCCAAAGTAAATCGATTCGTTTTATTCGATATATATATGAGGTAAACATATAAATCAACAGGAAAACATCGAAATCGTATATTCAGTCTTTTTTACAATTTCAAGGCTACACAAGTTTTTGCTCATGAAGTTTGTTGTTTTTAATATGATTGTTAGTATTACAGGAAGGCTAATGTTTCAGTCGATTTGAAATCCACATTTTTTAGTTATTAGTTCCACTGTTTATGTTTCAGTAATTCTAACTTATTGATCAAACAGTTTAAAACTGGGACATACATAAACTGAAAAGGGGTATCATTACAGATAATACATTGAGACAGTTTTGAAGGTCTCAATCGACATTAAACATATACAGTGACAAACTTATTTAGAGCTCTTAGTGTCGTCAAAATTGTGGATGTAATATTGTATATGGAGATTCTAACAAATTTTAAATTATTTAAAAATATGTTAATATACTCTAATATTATTGTTATAGCGTGAGACGAAATTTCGGTTAAAATCGATAGATGAACGTAATGATATAATTTGACCGAGTGATGGCGAATCATGAGACCAGATAATTGACTTAAGCCCCCGAATGATTAGAAATCAAAATACATTATAACTAGCCAGATGAACGATTTTTCATGTAGTAAAGTAGCATGTCTATATACAAAGTATGAACACAAAATAAACATGATGAAATGTCATAGGTGATCGGAGGAAATTGGTTTGTACGCCACTCACTATTTAATCAATTAACATCTGGCTGTTTGGCCTAATCTTTGGGCATCACATCATTTATGGCAGCGAGGGTGATATGAAAACAAAACTGGTAGTTTTGTATGAAACAGCATAAAATGTTTGGGCAAAATCGTGATGAAAAAACTTTTAGAAATTTACATCCAAACACATATATGCCAACCAATGAGTTCAATATATATATATATATATATATATATATATATATATATATATATCGTCGTTATTGAATTGGTTTAATTTTAAACTACATTTTTACATAAATCTGAAATGCTAACTTGTGAACAAATATAAAAAACCACCGGAACTTATCTAGATTTTAAACAGTTCATAAGATGTTTGTAATGAAAAATGGATGAAAATATTTTCAAAACAATCGTGTTAAGTGGGCAAATATCTCAGTTATGTTGAAGTTTTTCCGGCAAAAGTGGTACGAATATTGGCCTAAAGGTGTTTTGAACTACCTAAAACAGATGTTCTGGTGATTTATAAGGTGAAGCTTGACCATGATGTAAACAGGGGACATATTCAGACGGCCTAATGGAATCTTTAAAATCTATTATATATACGTGGCTCCTAAATTTGGCTTACAATGGCTACGAAAATGTCCAACAGAACAAAATTACCTAACGTTCCTAAAGAAGAATTTTAAGACTGTAACCCTTAAGTCACCTAAATTAATCTTGACAAAGTTTTGGTGATAGGGTATTTTGATCTAATGCAAAATTATTAATTTTACAACAGTAACTTCGATTGTCAGAAAAAAAGCGTTGGGAAAAGGTAACTTATAGCATGTGTTTAAGTCAAAGATACGCTAGAAAAATATTTTAAGGAGACCCACAACCGTAGTACTTTAGTTCGTTTAATTTTTTTTGAGAGCTTGATATGTTGATTGGCTCATCAGAGCCTGTAGGAAAGGTAAGTAGTTAAATTATCAACGACGTAGTGTCATAATGCAGTTTATAGATTCGCAGGATATATCTACACATTTTTTGCTATACACCCCGAAGCACGATGATTGAAACTTTTAGTGGCATGTTGAAGTATGTATTAATCACGAAAAGAATAAAGCTTTGAACTTGTCCAGATAAAAACCAATGAAATAGGTTTCAAACCTGGAATCGGATGTTCAGTTGACTTTATGTTCAATTTGACACTAAGTATGCTGAGTAGTTATCAGGTTGAAATGTTGATAATTTTCGTCAAGTAGTATATACATCATTTTATCAGGGAAAAACAAAACCAGACACTTTAAGTATTGTTTTATACGCTTTAAAAGTCAATGCAGTGTTATAACTGAGTTGTGTTATGATATATTGTAAATGTGTAGAGACTGCACGTTTTGCAACTGTAAGAGATGATTTTCGTTTCTAAATCCAAACGTTAAATGATGCAAATAAGATGAGTGTACGAAAATAGTGTCATTATTCCGAATTTATAATGAGTAGTCATAATAAAGCATTTGGTCAGAGAGTTTACATTTAAAAATTTCTGTAGCGAATAATGATTTTGTCCTACTTTTCAGAAGATAATCAACTCATTTTCAAGTAGTAAAAGAACCAGATCTCGGTTGGTGTGGTCGGGAAATTTCTGAGTTAAGTAGACCAAGCTTTATAAAATATTCTCTACACCTAAAGTTCACGGCAAAAAAACTTAAAAACTTGTACATAATACACTAATCGCATATATATACCTTACAGTGGTGTTCTTTTACTATATGCATGGAAAAACTAAGCCTTGAAGTGTAAATGTGATTCTTTGATACTTTGCTAAATTTTTCACAATAGTAGAAAAGTTTTTGAGTTTCGTTTATATACTAATTTCGTTGTATGAAATATTGCGTTCAGAGTTAGAATATAGAAAAAATATAGAAAACCCAAAACGCACAAAAGCAATGATAGTGATCATTACCAAATATGACTAACATATCTCCACTACATATATCATCCAAGACAACGCCAAAGTACATGACCTGATTTTGTACGAATATCAGAGACAATAACAACAAACCAAAGTAAGTATGACAGATATAATAACTGCTTCTAATAAGCCATCCAGCCTAATAAATAGTTTTCCAAATTCATATGAAGATAACTGAAACTAGAAGAAGTTATTAATGAGATCGCACTAACCGGAGGACGATCATAGGAACGTATGTACGTCAGCACATGAGTCATGGAAATGGTCCCTGTCACAAACACGGAGACAACTCTTCTCTTGATTGTTTCCGGATGGTCTCTAAAATTGACCAGTGAATTTATTTAAGCGTACCTACCTCGGAAACTTCCCACCGGCGAAATATAGACCGGATATGAACAAGAAGGAATAAAATATGCAATTAAGAATTTCGTACATAGGGAAGCCAACTGAAATATGGAATTCTTGATCATATACCACGATGGGTAGTATATTTTTCTCTGGTACCCGGCAGTTAGCAAAATGTCCAGATCACTCAAGATTAAATAGATTGATTGATACACGAAAAATGGATCTGGGAATTAAACAATACTTGTGACCGTCAATAAAAGCCAGTTGACACATCAAGTAACTTATGTACAATAAATAGACGTAAACATGACTTATTTCACGTATCCTGAGGCTAAAGACATGGTGTCATACGAACCAAAGGAACATAGCGTGAATTAGCTCAACAAATCTGACGACAGACAACGCCATATATGAAGATATCTACAAGTTGCTAGTTTTCTAGGCCCAAGATTGGCATAGATCATGGTCGTACCTTAATATTCAATTCAAATACATTAATTGCTACGATGTATTGGATCATTCAGTCAGGTACAACGTAGGATCAGGCACATATATGCATCGGTCCAAGTTGCCATACCACATTAGCACAGCAAGACGAACACCGGATTCATAGGAGTGGTTAAGTCAATGGTGGTGATATATAAAAGAAGATTGAATATAAGGATATAGTACAGGAAGAAAGAATTAGTTCATAGAAAGAAAGATATGAAGCGATTTTAATCTCTTAGTTTAAGGGAAGACAGAGAGTGTATACACCTACGTCATTGTGACCGATTCTGAGCCATGTCACCAAGAGTCTCCAAGCATTGGTTACGATAGTCAAGCGGACCCCAAGCAAGTAGTCTACATCTACCAACATGGCTCAGAGTACAAGTTAGTGTCTTCAAGCACTGACGCCACGTTTCGGATTGGCCGACCTTAACCTAATCGTTAAAATTCGACCACCATACTTAAGACTTCTGGAGCCAATCCAACTGGACCAGTTCTTCTTCCTCGTTTCAGATTAGCGATAGCTTTTTGAACTTCTACTAGATTCGGAGGACCAAGCTTAATGATCCGTCCAGGCTGTCTGGGTATTAAGGGTAGTCGTAGAGTAGCTGAAAGCCAGCTAAACTTCTGGGCTAAGAATAGATAAGTGTCGTCGTTTTCCGAATTAACCTCACACTTAATTTCTTAGTTCCAGTTTCTTTTATTAGTCTGAAAGGCAGTCATATTTTACATACAGCCGCTGCCTTTTCCGTCTTTTGCTTTCGTTGCCCACAACTGCTCCCGGTCGTTCCTTAGACTTTTGGATAACCTAGATCTGATTTGCTTTCGCTTTTCATCATGTATGCATCCAATACTCACATGAGTAAACCTACAAAAACAAAAACACGCAACCCTAAACTGGGCCAACAAATCTAGCTTCTGTTTTTCCGGGCACATTTTTTAAAAATAAGTACACTTAGGAAACATATGTTTTACCACCCTTGTAACATATGTGATAACCGACAAAATGATTTCCAAGATAATTCTGTGTTTTCAATGGCACCCATACAAGCGAATCGTTTTAAAAAATTTTTAAACCCGATAAAGCGCATTTCCATGTGATCGAATATTAAGGAAAGTTAGCAACACGATCTTGCTACAAACAATAGCGTCGTTCACAAATTCTTTCGAACTTCCGCCGAAAATGTGAAACTTGTAGTGCCCTCCATTATTCACAACCTCAATAATACGCAATATCTTCGTGACTATCTAGATTAAGCCGGCTGACTACTCATTGCTCACTTTTGACTCCTAAGTAATAGTCTCATTTTTTGAGTCTCTATTTAATTTTTTGTATCCGCTCGAATAAAGCATTTGTAGTGATAAGTACCTTGGTTAAGAGTTTATTTTTCATTGTTTTTTTATTTTCCTACTTATTGAAGTGGTTCATTTTTTTCATGATGCAATAAGAAAAGCGTTTGCCTAACGGGCTTCCATATCTAGTATTAGTGAAACACCGACGCCTCCAGGTAGGAACATAGGTATATTTAATGATTATAAAGAAAATATTAACAAATCACAGAAAGACGTTGTCCTGAATCCTGAGTATCACCCTCAGGTAAGTGTTTAAAAAGGTGTTCAGGAGTGCTTAGGATGCTATAAGTCATTAGAAGGTCGTCATTCAGAAGCCTACACCCTTGTAGTGACCTACTTTTGTCAACAGAACGCGATTGGTTCGATGAAAACAATTATTATTATAACCAATTGTACCAGTGATTGTTTTATTGTGCTCGTTTGTTTAACTGTGCTAATGACAGCCATTATACTTACTATCCCGTTGACTTCGAACTTGTACGAATCCGGTTACGCTCAGTAACCACACTTGTACTCCTTTGGCACGATCTCGGTATTCTTTCGATACCACGAGATCGCCAACAAATACATCTCGACTACAGCCATCATCTGTCTTCTGATGTTGACCTACGGGGATCTTATTGGTTAATTGGCACGTAGTCTTGTAGCGGTGTTCATAGTCAAGCTCAACTCGACACTTCGCTACATTTGGTGAGCCAACTATTGGAACACGCCTCAACCTCGGTCAAATCTTTCAAAGAAGGCAATTCGGTGAGTCTATTGTTTTATCTATCCACGTCTGTCATATATTTTCATATTAATTTTTAATATATAATATATTTGACATGACGGATAACGATAAGAATAGTATTAATATAATAGACTCCGATGTACGCGTACCGAATCATCGGCACTTTTTATTCGCGTGACGATAAATTCCACGCTTTATTCGAGAAATTCCCCAGATTAACTAAACCATTCGAGGAGATTTCATCGGTGACCAATCGTGTGGTACACCACATAGTCACCCCCGGACCACCAGTCACGGCAAGACCACGCCGACTGGCACCGGACAAATTAGCTTTCGCTAAACGTGAGTTTGACAATTTACTATCTGCTGGTATTATTCGTCTTTCTCACAGTCCTTGGGCCTCTCTTTTACACATGGTGCGCAAAAAGGATGGGGTTAGTTGGAGACCATGCGGCGACTACTGAGCATTAAACGTAGTTACGCGCTTCAATAGCTACCCCATCCCCCACATACACGACATCACGGCATCGCTCAAGAACACGACTATCTTTTCTAAAATCGATCTGGTACGAGCATATCACCAGATCCCAGTCGCTCTTGAAGACATCGAGAAAACTGCTATCACGACTCCTTTCGGTCTGTTTGAGTTCCTACGAATGCCATTTGGATTACGGAATGCTGCTCAAACTTTCCAAAGGTTTATCGATAGCATAGTACGAGACTTGGATTTTGTTCACGTCTATATTGATGACCTGCTGATCGCATCATCAAACGTAGATGAACATTATCAACACCTTACGCTATTATTCAAACGTCTTTCGGATAATGGAATAGTAGTCAACCCAGAGAAATGTGAGTTGGGTAAATCAGAAATAATATTTCTGGGTCACATCATCAGACAAGAGGGTATTCTGCCTTGCGAGGACAAAATTCGAGCAATCAAGGAGTACAACGTGCCGTCCTCAATCAAGGAACTGAAGGCTTTTCTCGGTTTGGTTAACTTCTACCGACGTTTTATCCCTCACGCGGCAGAACGGTTACGACCATTAACCGATTTACTACGCGGTAATCCACGCAAATTAGAACTGAACGATACCGCACGTACTGCATTCTCAGAGATCAAAACGGCTCTCGCTGAAGTTACACTTCTCGCTCATCCTGACCCATCAGCCACGCTTAGTATAGCGGTTGATGCATCAGATTTCGCTATAGGAGCCGTTATGCAACAGAATATCTCCGGTAGTTGGCAACCGCTTGAATTTTTCTCACGACGCCTTACTCCCACGGAGACGAGATATAGCGCTTTTGGTCGCGAGCTGCTTGCAGCCTACTGCGCCATCAAACATTTCCGGCACGCAGTAGAAGGACGTCAATTCATCTTATTCACCGACCATAAGCCCTTAACGTATGCCCTGCATACCAAGTCTGACCGCTACTCACCACGAGAGTGCAGACATTTGGACTATATCTCACAGTTCACGACAGGCCTTCGTCACATTAAAGGCGAGTCGAACTATGTTGCCGATGCTCTTTCACGTATCCAGACGAATGCAGTTACTTTACCGGTGCTCGATCTTCCTGCTATGGCCGCCGCGCAAGCAAACGATCCTGTCTGTACAGAAGCACCACAATCTTCGTCCCTTCAGTGTCAGGAAGTACCCCTAGCTACTAGCTCAGGTACTATCCTATGTGATATTTCTACCGGTCTTCCTCGACCCATCGTACCCTCTACCTATCGCCGTCTCGTCTTTGATGCCCTTCATGGATTGTCTCATCCAGGTATCGCAGCCACATTACGTCTCATCGCTGCACGATACGTCTGGCCGTCCATGAATAAAGATGTTCGTATGTGGGTAAAGCAATGCTTACAGTGTCAACGATCAAAAGTGCACAGGCACGTAGCTGTTCCCATTGGCACGTTCGCTACGCCTGATGCTCGCTTTGATCACGTACATATAGACATTGTAGGACCATTGCCACCATCGCATGGGTATGATCACATACTCACGTGCATTGACCGTTTTACAAGATGGCCCGAAGCTATTCCCATCACGTCTATCACGGCGGAGACAATTGCTCACCGCTTCGTAGAACGATGGATAGCATTGTACGGTTGTCCCTCGACTGTCACGACTGACCGAGGACAACAATTTGAGTCCGCATTATTCTCTTCACTGACCCGGCTGCTTGGTACGGAACGCATACGCACCACCGCCTACCATCCAGCATCGAATGGTTTAGTCGAACGGTTTCATCGCCAACTTAAAAGTGCTCTCCGAGCACACGAAAACGACAATTGGTATGAAACCTTACCGCTCGTTCTCTTAGGCATCAGAACGAGTTTGAAGGCAGATATCCAATGTTCCGCCGCTGAACTTGTATACGGCACGACATTGCGTCTGCCTGGGGAATTCTTCACACCACGGAGCAGTAATGATTTCGGTAAATCAGACTACGTCCATCGACTGTCTGCATTTATGCGAACGCTGTCTCCGGTGTCAACTCGAATACAACATCGACAGGTCGCTCTCCCTCGAGAGTTATCTACCTGTTCACATGTTTTCATACGAGTAGATCCGGTACGCAAACCTCTACAACAGCCTTACGAAGGCCCTTTTCACGTGATCTCTCGTCACGAAAAGACCTTCAAGGTTGATCGACACGGCCGCGTCGAGATCGTCAGCATTGATCGTCTCAAACCAGCACACGTCGATGACAGTGCCCTACCCGATAACTTGAGACTCAATGCTAGACCTATCAAACCTTCTAGCGGGATCTCTACGTCTACCTCGGATCCCACGCTAGATAAATCAGAGACCTCGTTCTCGCGTCCCGGTCAACAGCACGCGTCATCTGCACCATCTACGGACGAGACTTCCGTCTCACGTCCAGATCGGCAGACCACGCCGCCCTTGACCTCGGATGAGATCGCAGGCTCACGAAGTACGAACGAGACCGCTGTCTCACGTTCCGGTCGCCGAGTACGATTACCCGTACGCTTTCGCGACTAAGCGCACAGTCAATAACATACGGTGTAGGATTATTCCTATACTACACGCATGCTACACTTTTCTTTTTTTGATTTTTTTTGTATCCTGAGCCCACGCCTCCGACCATCGCCCATTTGATAACGTCGACTTCAGTCAACTTTGGCGAAAGCTGGTTTGGCCACCCACGCTCTAGTCAACGCACTCAGTCGATTATCTGGTTTCGAATTCGCCTGGCATGCGCTTGGTCGTTATGGTCGCTTCCGGTTTCTTGGCTCAACGTGGTTTCGTCCTACGTCTGCAGCGTTTTCTGGTCCACATCCCTACGAACGCAATCTTCAGATCCTGGATACAAACCACTCTGGTGTGGTATGCTAACTCGACCAACAAATACAGCACACTTCTCCTGGTACCGTTCTGCGCAAAAGACTTTCGTTGGCAACTCGAGGATCAATGATCACTTCCTGTTCCGCCAATTTCCTTCGTCCTACAACCGCACATCTGCCGATCAGTCCCACGAATCAAACCGCTAACTATCGAAAGTGTAAACCCTTTCTAGCGGGGGGCTCCTGTAGTGACCTACTTTTGTCAACAGAACGCGATTGGTTCGATGAAAACAATTATTATTATAACCAATTGTACCAGTGATTGTTTTATTGTGCTCGTTTGTTTAACTGTGCTAATGACAGCCATTATACTTACTATCCCGTTGACTTCGAACTTGTACGAATCCGGTTACGCTCAGTAACCACACTTGTACTCCTTTGGCACGATCTCGGTATTCTTTCGATACCACGAGATCGCCAACAAATACATCTCGACTACAGCCATCATCTGTCTTCTGATGTTGACCTACGGGGATCTTATTGGTTAATTGGCACGTAGTCTTGTAGCGGTGTTCATAGTCAAGCTCAACTCGACACCACGCTACACCCTAGTGGTTAAAATTTCAGCGACTCGAAGTGCTCGTTATAAGGTTTGACCTTGAGTCCACGAACTGGTTTCATGGCTCATTACATTACAGTGGATTGTTATCCTTTAGAATGAGAGAAAAAATAGTATATTTCCATAGCCTAAATGGAATCTAATGAAACTGTTATGGATTAAATGGTATTTTATATCGTCTAACAAACCTAAGTTACATGCGTATTCTGCAACTTGTCTCGAATGGACTAGTTTATACCTTGGATTGGTAAAAGTAAGTTTGTTATTACATGCCTACCTTTGAAGTCGAGTCAAATCTTCCTGAAGTGCCAGCTTATCATCTTGGCTGCAAACGTCTTTCCAAAGTTTCACATCATCAGTGGGGAGTGGTGAAATAGATGAGATTCGCTCGGGAAGACCATTCATATAAACTAAAGATGGAAAAGTCCCAGTGCTGAATTTTGAGAGACCTTGTAGTGGCATTAGGCCCTACCACGAAGCAATATGAGAAATAGACATTAAACATTTAACGCGGAGAAATACAGAATGGAGAAGGCGGGGAGAATGAATTGAATTAATCAGAGTTAATCTTAGGGCATGGCTCGACCATGCAGGCGTGGTCCCTCCTGCTAAATGTTACGTTATGTCTTTTATTCATATTAAATATATTGTTCCAACTCTAGCCTAAGATTGTTCTATATCATGTATTGGTAGTTGTTACGACGCAGTGAGTTGGTGTAGATGATGATGTGACTTCCACGTAAGATCTTATAGATTAGGCAGTTACATTATAACAAATCTACAATTTTAGGATTACGTCTATTATCAGAGCAGTGCTAATATCATAGTAAACCATAGTTCTACAACCTCACCAGAACATTCTGTAGCCTGAGAAGAAGTGAAGTTTACAATGACCCTAAAGATTCTATCATTTAGATATGAATTAAGCCGATTAATTATTCATGACTTGATACCTAACAGTTTGAGGCTATTTATGAAACATATATGACTGGCTTTATCCAAAGTTCTTGAGAATTCAAGGTATATAAATTTAACTTTTTCTATGTGACCAGGGATGTTTGTTCATTTATCCACCGCGGTTAGCAGATTGGTTGTTAAAGCTGAGTCCTGAAATCGTGTTGTTGGTGTGAAAAGAAGTTTATGGATAATACGCAATCACATAAACCGTCATATATCAGAGACCCCATAACATTTGAGTGTTTTGAAAGAAGTGCTAGTGGCTCGTGGCCTGAAGTTCTCTGCGTCAAGTTACTTTAAAGATTGGTGTAACGGGTGTAAGCTCCTAATTATGTCAGACCTTGCCTCGGCTTGGCGAATGCAGGAACACTAAGAGATGTTTCTGAGGTTGATGCCTCTACTCTCAGTATAGCACAGTGAGCCACACACGAGCTAGGTGTCCGTGTTTATGTTTTGCAGTTTCTGATACATCAAGTTAGCACGTAAACTCACTTCTGAGGCTCTTGTTAATTTGCGGGTAAAGCTATTATCAATGCAGTTTAAATGAAACGGTTGATATGTTTGGAAATGAGATTATTTCTGGAGCTCTGCGACATACTGTCGTTGTTGTTCGGACAGTTGGAACAAAACAACTAGGAAAACACCGGTTTCGGCGTGTCGAAGAGAGGAAGGAAAAACTTGTTGAAGCGTGTGAAACACTTCTAAGGCTTATTCTTGTCAATGGGACACGAATCACTTAAGTGTGAATATCGAGAAATCTGAGATATATGTAAAAAGACCTTAGCAATATGCCGTACAATTTACAAAAGACAGTTGATATATGGTGGCCGTACTTGTCCGAAACGGTTGTTTTCGTACGTTAAACCTAAAGCAAAACGTAGTGATGTCATTGCCTCATTACTGTTATACGAAAATTTAGATTTACTGGCTGAATCATATTTGACAAAATTTGAAACTTTATCGAACTATTTCAGCGAAGTCTACTCTACGTGTATTGTTTAAAATATTTGTCCTACTCACAATACTGAGATACCAGCCATAGGACCTGTATACATGAATGAGGAAATTATTCTTCAATTGGTCACTAACCTCAAACCTTGTGAGACGCTGTGCCTTGATCGGTTAAATCAGCTATTGTTGTTATCCCTCGAGAACATTATTTCAAGACTACTCGAGATGCTCCTCAAAATGCCCGTTTCCCACACTTAACTACCTAGAGATTGGAAAGATTCTGTAGTCCGCCTCATATTAAGAGATGGTCAGAGATATATCGTATCCAACTACCGACCTGTCAGTCTAACCGGTATGATCGTTAAGTTACTAAGCCACATAGAATCTTGCAACCTGTTAATTCCTTAGCAGCACGGGTTTCGAAACAAACATCCATGCTTGACCAACTTACTTATTGCAAGAGAAGATGGACAGCAGCCCTGTATATCTACGTACCATTAATAGGCTTGATGGAAGCGCTTGACAATGTTTCACACTTATGTCTTATACAGAAATCCTTGAGGTTCGGAATGGCATATGCTGGACAGGAATGAATAGCAAACTTCTTATGTGACCGCAGAAAGTGTTGATGGAGAACTGAAGATATTTGGCCGATTGAAACATTTATATTGAGTACTACTAATTTTACTGTGTTTTGGATGTATTTATTTTACTCAACTTCTGCACTTATTTGTTTATATCATTATTTTTGGAGTTTTTGTATTCTCTCAGTCTTTGGTTTGCTAATTGAGGGTTTTTGCTCCGGAAACCTACAAAATTGAAAAACGACATTTGGGTCGACAACTTGTTAATTGCGAATAAAATATCTTACCTAAATTTGAGCTTAGTTCTCTTGTTATTTCGGGTTCGTAAATTGCAAAATGATCGAAATACATGTAGCCGCAAATTAATCCCCAAGATAAATAGCTCTGTGAGTTTTTGACATTGGATGCTGACCACATTAATTTTAATGGGCTCACCTAGCTGGAGGTGTTTGGTCACGCATCCGTACCAGATCACGAGTGGGAGCTCCGTGTCCAGCATCTCCTGCAATCTCCAGCCAGATTAAATCAGACGATCCTCGATATATTGATAGCCTATCAAATATATCTTCGAACCTCCTCGCTTCTGTTTTTTGATTTCACTTGGTAGGCACGATTCATATTAGCGGGTGTTACTGATAAAAGTGTTGTCAAACTCCGAATACCTGTGGCATCTCCGTGCCGTACTTCAATAACGGGAACGAGCAAAACTTCAACATAACATATAACGAGAGTGACGGCTAATAGAATGCTATTTGAATATAAGTCCATCAAAAGTGGTGTACCCTGAAGTGAAATCTTAGGTCCTCAACTTCTCCCTCTCTATGCCAATGAGTTAACACTATTGCTAAAGTCGTTGGCATCATTGTTTCAGGATGTCGAAGTCTGGAGAACAATAAGAAGTGGGTCTGATCATTTTGATCTTCAAGCTAACCTAAACGAAGTAGTTGAATGGTCTCGAGGTTGAGGCTTAGAAATGAATTCTAGAAAGAGTGTGCTCATACACGTTGGACACAGTAAAAGTTATCAGTGTAATATAGACTGGAAACCTCCCATGAGCGGGGTTCCGTTTTTCTCATCGAGTGGTTAAAAACTGGAACGTTTTACCCAAACAAGTGGCATCAAATCATCAGTAAAGATTTTCAAAGGAAAGCTGGACTTTCAGTGAAAAGCAAACTGTTAAGATAAACATAGGTTTACAAACCTACTATTCTTATTAATGATGACTGAAAGGATTTCAAAGCGGCTTATTTGAGGACTGTGCTACACGTGGTGGGTTTTAGATATGGGTCGCAAGGTTCTCAGCCAGTCAAACATCAACGTCATCTTTAGCAAAGTGTTCACGACACACTTTCTGACGACGTATGATTGTTCTGCGATTCTCGTCACGTTTTTATTTCAATAAAGTGATTATCTTTTTGAATTTGATTTACATCATAGCTACGTGTAATTCGAGTGTGATATTTTAGCTTTAGCAACAATGTGTGTATTCAACGGCATGACTTAATCTTTTTAGTAAGATGACGTAGGGTGGTAGTTTTGTGTGACAGCGCGGGTACAACTCAGTCTTCCTATTTTGGGGAATTTTCCAGACCTTGGGAAATCTTGGGGATTTTGTGGCATTTCCCCAAAATAAGGAGATTGGGAAATTTGGCCAATCTTTTATTGGTTACTCGGTCTTCTCAATTCTCAGGATTTAATTCAGAATGTAGCGCTGAACGACCATAATCTGAAATCTTGATTCAGTGGCTGAGATTAGAAACGAAGTGTTATGTGTGCTTGAGGAATTCGAATTATGATTTGCAGTTGATGGTTAATGTTAAAATTTAAATTCAGGGTTTTTATCACGAACTGATATAAGCTATAATGACAGGAGTGTATTTGGCCAATAGGTTGTGTGAATTTCGCGTCGAAATCCGACTACAAAAACATGGCATTACTGTAAACATTCAGAAACGCCAAATCGGAACTGGCTCATTAGACTTCCTAGGACACACTAAGGATGCGCATTGCATCCGACCCCTTGGAACCAAAGTGGCGGCCATTCTGGATTACCCAGAACCGACCACCATCAAGCAATTACGCACGTTTAACAGCCTTGTAAGTTTCTATAGACAGTCCATAACAAAATGCGCGTTACTTATGAAACATCTTACAGAAAAACTTCGTGGAAATACAAAATCCATCAATCTGAGTGACACCGCGTGAAATGCACTCTCCACAGTTAAGGAACTTATCGCTCAAGCAACAATGCTTGCTCATCAATAAACTGAAGCAAGCATTAGTATCGCAGTAGACGCATCCGACTCAGTAATCGGAGGAGTCTTAAAACAATGGGTTAACCACTCCTGGCAACCTTTCTCATTCAGGTGTACGTGCAACCATCAAGCTTATAGCAGAACGGTTTCACTGGCCTGGTACGAATTAAGACGTGGTGGAGTGGGCACGCTCCTATGTAAACTGCCACAAATCCAAGGTTCCTAGATACGACAAATGTCCTTTAGGCTCTTTTAAATCTCCTGACGCTCGTTTCGACCATGTTGATTTGGATTTGGTAGGACCTTTACCAGATTCAAGTGGATACTCTTATCTCTAAACCTGCGTAGACTGTTTCACTCGATGGTCAGCGGCAGTACCTATCAAGGACAACACTACAGACATAGTGGCCTGCGCCTTCGTCGAACGATGGGTAGCAAACTTCGGTTACCCTTAAACCGTCCCTACAGAACGACTTTGTGTTTTTACGCGCGTACGGATGTATTTCGACATCCACTTACATATTTTTTTCTTTTCCGGGACTCCTGAGAAAGACGACAAAAACAGCGATGAAGTTTGCGAGGAACCGAAATTTTCATTGTACTTTTTCTTCTTTTACTGTATTGTACTTCATAGTCCCTTATAGCGAGGAATGACACTTCTAAACCTAGCAGGCTATCAAAAGAGTGTTTAACAACGACAAACTCGTTAGGTTTAAACTTCTGGCTGGCCACGTATTAGAGTTATTACTACCCCACTAGGGGTGGGTGATCTGTACCTGCAAATAAATCCCCAAGATAAATAGCTCTGTGAGTTTTTGACATTGGATGCTGACCACATTAGTTTTAATGGGCTCACCTAGCTGGAGGTGTTTGGTCACGCATCCGTACCAGATCACGAGTGGGAGCTCCGTGTCCAGCATCTCCTGCAATCTCCAGCCAGATTAAATCAGACGATCCTCGATATATTGATAGCCTATCAAATATATCTTCGAACCTCCTCGCTTCTGTTTTTTGATTTCACTTGGTAGGCACGATTCATATTAGCGGGTGTTACTGATAAAAGTGTTGTCAAACTCCGAATACCTGTGGCATCTCCGTGCCGTACTTCAATAACGGGAACGAGCAAAACTTCAACATAACATATAACGAGAGTGACGGCTAATAGAATGCTATTTGAATATAAGTCCATCAAAAGTGGTGTACCCTGAAGTGAAATCTTAGGTCCTCAACTTCTCCCTCTCTATGCCAATGAGTTAACACTATTGCTAAAGTCGTTGGCATCATTGTTTCAGGATGTCGAAGTCTGGAGAACAATAAGAAGTGGGTCTGATCATTTTGATCTTCAAGCTAACCTAAACGAAGTAGTTGAATGGTCTCGAGGTTGAGGCTTAGAAATGAATTCTAGAAAGAGTGTGCTCATACACGTTGGACACAGTAAAAGTTATCAGTGTAATATAGATTGGAAATCTCCCATGAGCGGGGTTCCGTTTTTCTCATCGAGTGGTTAAAAACTGGAACGTTTTACCCAAACAAGTGGCATCAAATCATCAGTAAAGATTTTCAAAGGAAAGCTGGACTTTCAGTGAAAAGCAAACTGTTAAGATAAACATAGGTTTACAAACCTACTATTCTTATTAATGATGACTGGAAGGATTTCAAAGCGGCTTATTTGAGGACTGTGCTACACGTGGTGGGTTTTAGATATGGGTCGCAAGGTTCTCAGCCAGTCAAACATAAACGTCATATTTAGCAAAGTGTTCACGACACACTTTCTGACGACGTATGATTGTTCTGCGATTCTCGTCACGTTTTTATTTCAATAAAGTGATTATCTTTTTGAATTTGATTTACATCATAGCTACGTGTAATTCGAGTGTGATATTTTAGCTTTAGCAACAATGTGTGTATTCAACGGCATGACTTAATCTTTTTAGTAAGATGACGTAGGGTGGTAGTTTTGTGTGACAGCGCGGGTACAACTCAGTCTTCCTATTTTGGGGAATTTTCCAGACCTTGGGAAATCTTGGGGATTTTGTGGCATTTCCCCAAAATAAGGAGATTGGGAAATTTGGCCAATCTTTTATTGGTTACTCGGTCTTCTCAATTCTCAGGATTTAATTCAGAATGTAGCGCTGAACGACCATAATCTGAAATCTTGATTCAGTGGCTGAGATTAGAAACGAAGTGTTATGTGTGCTTGAGGAATTCGAATTATGATTTGCAGTTGATGGTTAATGTTAAAATTTAAATTCAGGGTTTTTATCACGAACTGATATAAGCTATAATGACAGGAGTTTATTTGGCCAATAGGTTGTGTGAATTTCGCGTCGAAATCCGATACCTGTTATCTTATACGTGATCAGTTCTTCCACAAATTATGGTCTCGCCTTTGCCTGCTATTTACTGCATATGTAATTAGTCCTAATGGACGCTTAAAGCAATGTGCGAAACTAGCTAGCCTTTTCAATAGTTTATGCCAAACATATGCCATAAGATACCGAATAGGATTGACGAAACTGTGTTGTATTAAGTGACAGGGTAACGTTAGTTAACGCAAGCTTAAGACCACTGAACCTACTGTATATTCTAGATATAGGTGTATTAGTTTTTGATGGCAATCAGCATTTACCTCCAAAAACATTCTATATAGGGTTCCTCGAAGATTACTTCAGTTAAATCAGACGAGCGACAGTTCTGTAGTCTTTTGAAAGCTTTAACAATGAAAATCCTATTACTGCCGTTGTTGATTGATTATTTATTAGTCCAGCACATGACATTTAATATTTTCTGCATAAAGTCGAATTTCGCAACCAATGAGATATTTAAATAAATTAATACGTAGTCCTAAAGTCATGTTCCTCTATTATTTATTTTAACACATAGGTATTGGTCCAAGGAGGCACCAAATACATATGCGCCACATGAATCTCAATTGATTTGTGTGAGGGCTGTGATACTGCTCGGGTGTCCAAACCGAAGCAGGTGGTTTTCTTAGGGGGCCACACCCCGAGCCTTTGACCTGAACGTCTGACCCACAAGGCAGTGGAGCATCGTAAGGAGATGCAGTCCCATGGTAGCCGGTGACCGAGAATTGGTTCATACGCCATTTGTTCCTTCAGGATACTGGAGCCCATGTTCACCATTGGTTTGGGATCCGGTTAAAGCGCCGGATATTCGCTTTTCGTCCTCTCATTTTCGTAAACAACAACCCCGTCACGTGAAGGTAGTGAGTAGGACTTCCCTGCCAGAGGCTATATACTCGTTGCCATGTTAGAGCATTTCGAGAGGTAGAGTGGACTCGCCCCGATCTCGGCCGTACCAGGGCATTTGGGGGCCATGTTCCTCTAACCAAGTTACTTGTTCACACCTGACAGATGTTAAACTATCATTGGTTATTCCGTGTTTTCTCTGTACAAAACCATACTAACTAGTCCATTCCTTTTAGTTATAATATATTGCATCTATGATAACCCTTTAGATTTGCTCGACACCATATACATTACGAAAATGACAGGACGATAGCGTCGTATGTTCTGTTAAAAATGAATTGTAGCTAGTCATAAGCAACTTAGGGATACAACCTAGATAAATCTTACCGTTTTGGAAAACAGTTAATATTAAGGTATTTAAGCTATTCAGTCATTTATAAGTAGAATCAAAGTGTCCCGTGGACCTAATGTTTGTAGATTGTACAACTTTTTTCTCATTGCAAAACATGTTCTATTCCGAATACAGGTAACCCATTTTCTCAGCGTCGATAGTGCTTGCAGTTTTTAAACTGTTACTGTCTTGTAAATCTATTTGTCAATGCCGGTTTTGCTATGCGGGTGCTCATCCATTTATTTTGTTGTTAGAACTATGATAATTTTATCTATTTCAAACAACCGAAAGATATTTGTGGAATACCCGGTTGACTTCCTGACTATCCACTTGGTTGATAGGAAACTCAGTTATTCTAAACTTTAAATTAACTTAGAAAAAATGCATACCACATAAGATAAATTTTTTCCTTTAGGGTAACACATGATATTTTTGGTCTATCAAATATTTATCAGCAGACTTGTTCTGAATTAATATCTGAGTAGTCTGCATAGGTCATATATATCGCTAGGTTTTAGTGTTTATTATATATTTTTTTGATATCCACGTATGCATTTGTTATTTTATTCTCGTTGCTATTATTTCCAGTCCTGTTTAATACATTATTCATGCCTTTTTAAAAACGTATTCATTTTCTAAACACTTCTACTCCATATCCACTAATTTCTAACCAACTACTTGACCATCTGGGTAGATTTCATGCAATTATTTCACTCTTATTCACTTATGTTTATTGTAATCCTACCAAATAAAGCGGTCTTCATGTTTAAAATTAGCAGTTCTACTTGTAAAATCTGATGAGTAATTACTCAGAAATACGTATGTGTGACAATTTTTTTTGTTTTCGAATTATCATGATAGGAATATTCATATTCAATTCTTAATGTTATACCATTAAAAATGTTGACTTTAACCCTTTCTTCTGTGATTTTCAAGTATTCATCAAGGGTAATCTTTGTTTATTTAGAATATAAACCCATGTAAGTTTATTCTATTTTCCAAAACACTGGTCATAAGTCTACCATTTAATTACATATTTATGCTGTAGATATAAGCGTCCTTTCATGTTTGAAGACTTCTGTCATTCAGTTGATTTTTGATGTAAAAATTAAACTTCGGTTACTTTATTTATATGTGAAACCTAAAGAAGCGGTACGTATTTGTATTATTCTTCATTCTTTTTATGCTCAATATATTCACTGATACTGTTAACTTGTCGAATTTGCATTCACTACAGCAACTTTACTGAATTACTTGATATACGTTATGAACACGGAAGTGGGTAGATTAAATGCGTACAAAGAAAAAACTAAAGTTGACGGTGAAGAGCTAGTACTCAATGTCTTTCCAAAACGTGTATTTGAAATGGAAGACATACTAGCGTCGGATATGTTTTTCCTAGGTAAGTCTTGTGAATAATTTTTCCTCAGATAAATCAGCAATGTTTAGACATAAGATCTTGAAGATATTCATAAACACCCATTCCCAGATATAAAGAGATATTCTTAATCTACTTGTGCGTATTGCTTTTGTGTGTGTTGGGATTTATGAAATAAGTTCTTCTGAGACCCTGAATCTTGTCTTTAAAGCCTAGTCTTTACAATCACAACTCGTACTGTTATTAACTCCACTATTCTGACCTGACAATTTCATGTTTATACTAATGGTTTGTTGCAACTTGAACCGGTGTACATACGTACAACGTTCTTCATTGTGACTGACTGATTCTGAAACATTGAAGGTAAACGCTCCATGTACCATTTTAGGTAGTGTAGATTAGTTCCATAGTCACTGACTTTATCATTCGGATTGTATATTGACCTCGTTATGTCAATATTTTCTCTCAGAATAGTGACTTTTATGTCACATTGCATGTTTTAGCTGCAATATTATATTGATTAACTAATTATCTGTTATCAACAGCATTGCTTAGTAGCTCTTTATACTAACTCATAATATTCACGATTCTAAATGATACATTAGTATGATTGATGTTGATGGGGTTTAGTAAACGTCGTTAAAGTACTTTGGACACTTAAGAGGACTTCCTTTTGGTTTATTTCAACGATTGCACCTATTTTTGGATTCATCTAAATTTCTACTGTTGTCATTAAATAGTTACCAATTTGTTCCTTCTGTTGCACAATTGCAGTGTATGCTTTTGTTTTCTACCTGAAAATATATGCTTTATATGTTGTGAGACATCGATCAGTCTGATAGTCAGTTTAATATACTGAATTTTTACATTGAACTACAGAAGCAGTGAATTAGTGGTTAAAGCGCTCCAGTTCCAAACAGTAGATCGCGTGCTTAGATCCCGCTTCAACTAACTTTATTTTGAACAACCGGGTAGTTTCACTAGCCATTACACTTTACTTGATGTTAACATAATGTTATAAGCAATGCTAAAAACTGACACAAATATACATCGGTGACGTTACAAATTTTACACGAGCATGATCATTATATTCGGTATGGGTTTGTGGATATTGTTGGATTGCACTGAAATCACAAATCGATTTCAATTTAGACTATTGAAAGCCTAAAAGCACTAGATGGCCGTTTCGTTCTAGTATCGGGCTGCTCAGCACTGCATATGACCATAGTTTTATTGTATTTTTAATCTCAATTATAATTAGTTTTTTATTTAGATTTTTTGTCATTATTCAATTATTCATCATTTGTTTAGAGGGAAAGTATGTCCACTCTGATGTGAATATACCTTATCCTATTAATCCACATAATTCGTTGCATCCTGGTGATGATATGGATTCTGGTTTAACCAGTGCTACAGATAAGCTGACCAATGATAAACAACAGTTTCCTAGTAAAGGTTCTTTTGTCTACGCCTTACCAAATGGCTCTGTGTCATATAATAAACATATCAAAGCTATGATAGAGGTCAGTGTCTATTTTGATGAATTTGACGATTAAAATATGATACTCCCTGGCAGTGTTTCAGACAGTTCTTTCTTTTTGAAAAACTACACTCTCGCTATTTGTTATATCTCATGTATGTCTGCTTGATATAATTAAAAAGGAAATAAGCCTAGTCACTATCATCAGATACGCATAGATGCGATATAGGATTTGGCTAAGTTGTATATCACCTTACATTATCACCATAATAGTAGATGAGAACAATAAACTGAAAAGAATCATGGGGTCAGTAGTCGTTAAAGTTTAAAAACACAAAAACTGAGTGATAAAATACGTTGTTCTGAAGATTGACAAAGAAATGAAACGTGGCTAAATTTTCATCAATACGTTCAATTTCATTGAATATCGGCAAAAATATTTTGCTATGGATTTCAATTATCTCTAAAGAAAACTTATGAAAAACCAATTCAACATCGTTTGGAGGTGAATTTGAGGTTAAATGTTAACACATTTTCATTACATTACTTTATGGACTTTGACAAATGACTAATTAACTTTTATAAAGATCTGAGAATATAATCACATATTATCATGGTTAAAATTGATGAATAAAGTAGTACAAGCTATAAGAATATCGGCAACATCATTTTTCCATTGTGTCAGCGTTTGTTAAAATAATATTTTCATTTAAAGTTCATTTGATTTTCTAGGTTAACTTTCCAAAATTTTAAGTAACATTGAGACGTTCAGTTAAATTTATCAATCTATGATGGTGTCCTACTCTTTTTAAACACATTTTTAATTTCCTTTACACTGACAATAAATTTACATGATTCCCGATATAAAGAGAAAATTTCATTTTGAAACTAATAATTGATAAAGACGTATAAAAATATTTAATATCGATAATCATCTTATGAGAAATACTACCGCCGGAATAAAAGTAAATATGTAATTGTCCTATGGAATGGTTTGGTTTTTTTGAAAAGGACTTCTGTTACAAGGATGCTAAACAAATATTGTTAATTTAAAAGTTAATTTTCCATCTCAAATCGATATCGGTAGAACTGTGTTTTATAACTTGAAAAAGTTGGCTTGTAATTCATATTTGAACTTTATTTCCTTGTACAGACGTAGTGTCAGGGCATTTGATCGTTTTGTTAGTAAATAAACATTGTATTCAGTTTTAAAAAAAAAATGTATTTTATCAATCCACACCTATCCATTATGCATTTTAAACTACTTTGCCATCAGTTTATTTCAATGGAAAATATCAGCTACGCTGTAAAATGTACGATACAAATTCATTTTAAAAATATCTATCACTGCACGCATTTGAATCACTCAAGAGCAGATTAAAGCACGTGCTTTGTATCTGTCTGTTTTCAAATTGTTCACCTGAATGATAATGACGGGTAAACTTGCCCCATTTTCAGTAGTTACCTTTAATTCTATATACATTTATTTACTAAGCTAAAAAAGCTCAACTTCAACTTAATTGTCAATAAGTGAGACTTCTTATCTGCTGGGTAGTGACAAAATCCAAGGTTTGTTCAGAAAATCTATTCCATCAACTAAGAGAAAGATTATCTAGCAGACAACTTGTGTATATATATTTATCTGCTACCCTATAAGGGTAGTGTAACAAAATTTCATCCTACATCATAAACAAACCAACTAGGGTAACATCTTCCTTTTAAGTGAGACAAACTACAAACCGGAATGGCGATGAATTCAAATTCACATAAACTAAACTACAAGAGGGTAAACTTTACCAGTTATTTCGGAGATCCATCATTACCCAACAGTGTCATGGATATTATTCTTTGCAGAATTGAGACATATACGTTTTGATTTTGGAAAAATCGTAAGTTTCTAGCGGTTTAACTGTGGACTGTGATTTATAGTGACATGAAACTTTTATGGCATTCCACTATAATTCTTTTATTTAAATCCTTCACATTTCAGTGATTGTATCGTCCTTAGTTCTTATTTTCTTAGTTTTCTACCTACAATTAAGACATTTAATCATGAGTGACGTAGAAGTTTTATTCCAATGGTTTCATACTCAGATTTTTGTTAGATATTTTTTTGTTTTCTAAGTATGTAGGAAGAAAAAGTTAATTTGATGGTCAATATATCTTTCAACCAATAAGTCTGTAAAACACTTATGCTTTAGGTTAACATCAACAATTCAAAGCTCATGAAACGAACTTTGTATTTAATCTAACTAACCAGTTTTTATCATACTTCTACTTTCTAAGAAAACTAAACCATGTTTAACTCAACTTATGATTGAAGCTCAACTTGTTCGTTTATGGGTTCAATTTAATATACCACGAATTGAAGATGGAAATAATTTTGGTGTAGGAATACAAGAAGAGATTTTAGGTGAAGCATCGGGTATCGAGAGGGATGCATGTACTTTCTTGGATCAAGTCACAAGGTTTGTTTATATTCTCGACTTTTTCAATTCTCCCATATATATGTAAAGGGGTTTTTCGGAGATTGGTTTAATTTGTAGATAGTATTTGTTACAGATTGATTACAGTTGGGATACAAGACAGCTGTTTCGTTCTAGCATGGGCCCCTCAGCCGTGTGCACTCACAACCCCCCGAGAATCCAACTCAGGACCTTCAGGCTTTGTGGCGAACGTTCAACCATTAGGACCACTGAGTCAAAATCCAGTGGTACATTTCTAGCCTCAATCAATATATCATATAGCATGACAGTTGTCTAATACTATTGGTAACACCGTCATTCCAGATATGTTTGAACCCCACTACTCACAAATTCTCATTAAACTCCAGGAATGTCTTGAAGTAAGTCACTGGTGAGCTGACTGTTATAGTTTGTTCAAAGTGGATTTGTGGAGATCAGTTAAATTTGTAGGTAGTATTGGTCACAGATTGATCTGATTTTGGGTACCTTTGAAATTTTCGTCCCTGTTTGAGGCAGCGCTCACTCATGACTACACCAAGGATCAATTCATAGATTAGCATTGTCTAGATCAGTTTGTTATCATTGCTATCTGCAAATATATATATATATATATATATATATATATATATATAGTGTGAGTAATTGTCATGGAGTGATTTCGGCTGGAGAGGCATTCAAAACAAGGCAGTGGTGAACAGCTATTTCATCCTGATTACTAGTATCCCACAGTAGTGCACACTTGCAATCCAACCCATCACTCCATGATAAAGCAAATCTCTTCAGCTGATCATGTTGTATATTTATACACTCGATTTATATATTATATTTATTCATTACAGGTTGAGAATATGAAATTGGGTTTCCTTCCTCTTTTATAGACTCCTTGCTTTTTGTTGTTGGAATTATTTTGATGATGCTGATACAAGAAGCAATAACAAACTGACTTACTCATTAAAATTTTCTAATTTGCAACTGTGATCTTAGAAAAGTCTCTTCTTTAAAATCATACTGTTTTCCTTTAGAAATCCCGTTTTATTCTTGCCTTGTTCAAAATAAGCGTCTAATATCTCATGAAAGTTGACGCTTCTCCTATGATCTAGTTTTAATGCATATTTATATGTTGAAAACTGGATGACGGAGTAGTTTTATTTGCTCTCACATATTGAAGGTTTGACTCAAAGACTCGAGTTATACATAAATATGTACCTGATTAATGAGTTTATTGCATTAATCCGACATTAGTTACCCATTTAACTTTCTTATTAATAATAATCTTTTATATAACGGGGTGATTATTAGAAAATCTGAACTTTGGGAGATGTCTTATCCGAAGTTTTTGATTTTATTTTTTCTCTTTAGTTATTAAATGCTTAAATTATTGCCTTTTTGTTTTTCTGCTTGTAAGCTTTCTCCTAATGCATAAACTGTTGCTATATGCTGAAAAAAGGCCTGAGAACAATGAACCATTGGGAGATAAGTTTAACGGTGCAGTCTGTAGAAGAAGTATTGGATATAGAATAGTAAAAACTATTGTTAGAATTGTGGTCAGTGATTTTGACATAGGGTACAAATCAACAAACTCAAGCAACAACAGTATTCAGTTGATATTTGTGCTTTGTTTCAATCATATCATTCTAACACTAGATACAGAATCGTTTTCTTATTCAAGTATTTTTTTGTCGAATTGTATTTACTTCTGTGCTTATTGATACTTGAGTTTTATTTCCTCCGTTTTATCCTTTATACACAGATATTATGCCTCAAGAGGAAAATTAGTGGGTAAAGTAGCAAAATATCCTCATATTGAAGACTATCGTGAGTGTATCCGTGATATGGATGAGAAACAAGCAATAACAATGCGATATATTATCATGGAAATTCGTAATCACTATGTAAGCGTTATTATTCATTTATTCATCGTACAAATAAAATCATTTCCATTTTTACTCATTACTACTATTACTTCAAATAATTTAGGAGATATCAAGATTCAGTGTATAATAATTCGTTATTGCAAGCTACCTGTGATTTATTCAACACATAATGATTATGGGTATCATTTCCAAGGTTTGATTTGATAATTTCGAATAAATTGTGCATTGGTTAGATTGTTATAAATAAATTAATATATTTGTAATGTCCCGATGAGAAGAAAAATTAAATTTTGTGACGTTTCGTGACTCAATGTAAGCCACTTTTTCAGAGGATAAATAGACAAGTCGAAATAATACAAAGGAACAACACACGAATATTGTGTACGAACAATCAAAAAACAGGTTTGAACAAACCGCCTGATAATCCCGTAGAACTGGATAGACTTCAAATTAAATCGGCAATAGTAGATCACACCGTTTTCAACAACGACCAAATCGATTTACGTAATGATTATCTCTGACTTTAGTTGAACTTTCTTTTTAAGTCTGTCTCATGTCTCATCTGGTTATTCATCAAAAAAGACTCAATTTGTGTCGTTCTAGTGGTTTGTACCAAAGAAAAATATCATGTCATGCTATTTTTTTTACTGTAGCATAAAATCTGTTATTATTTCAGACTTCAATGTTGTTAGATTATGTTCCGTCTATCTAATTTCATTTGTTTGTGTCTAAGAACTTGTTTACAGTTATTGGTCAGTGTCTCGAAAAAACGAAGTTTTAATCTGGTTTCTTAAAAGTAAAAGTTAACTACTCACAAAGTAAATGTCTAACATTCACAATTAATTGTTCTCCCAATATATTTCTAAGTGAATAGTTGTTTCGTATATAACATATATTTATCGTTCGGTCGATTCATTTTTGTAAAATGCTTTGTCGAAGATTTACCTTTTATTCTGTGTCTAACTTTCAGTAGTATCCAGTAATTGAATGTTTGTGTAAAGTATGAAAACATATACCTTCATCTAATTTTTTTTCAATTAGAAAACATCTAAACACCCTGTAGCTAAGATTGGCGAATATGTTAATTGTGAATTCAAAAGTTACAAAATCAAGGTAGAATCTTTTCGTAATAATATATGTATTCAGGTATAGACCGGACTTGTAAAATGTGTTAAACTCGAGAGTTGATAGTAAATTCAATAATTGCTTGATATTATTTAATGCATCAGAGATTTATAACTAAATTAATGATTATCAATTGAGAGTTGCTTATGACATGAGAAAGTTTTTCATTCAAGAGTGATGACGTAGATTTATTTTAATACATCATGCATCAATCTATAATAGCCTATTTTTCTACTGTTTTAAAATTTGCAGGCTACCTTGCATGATATAATAATAAAAAATCTGGATCGTATAAAAATGCCTCGTTCCAATAATGCGATCAATATGTACTAATTGACGAAACCCAGATTTAGTTATGTGTTTGCTCACATTATGAGATTTTGATTGTATGTAAATACATACGTTTGAAACGTATTTTAAAGCTTTTGTTTCCATATGCGGTTTCTGCTTGCGATCTTTATTTGCAAATGAAACGATAATCGTACACACGTATTTATACAACTTATAAGACGAAGGCAGTTTCAGCATTAAACATTTCCGTTTTCATATCGATTTTAACAAACCATCTCATTCTTTAAGTTTCGTCAAATGGCTTTTCACTAGTAAATAATTCACGAACAAAGGCAAAACACTTATCGTAATATCAAGGAATCCATCCTAATTGCAGCCTAACTGTGGGTTCCATAAAAGACTTAACATCGTGTGTTGTTAGATTTGCTGTTTCTTTGTGGCACACCGTTTAGGGTATTTTCAATTTACAATTAGGGGATGCAATGGTAGCTAGCTATGTTGTTTATGTTTTTAACCCACCATAAACTAACTTCACTATTATAATTCATGTGGTCATAAACGATCCAGGTGCTTTCCAGTGTTCCATATTAGTGGGTTCGTAATGAAAAGAATTGCAGTCGTTTGATCCAAGGACAGTTCCTTACCCACCAGTTGACTGATTAGGTTTGAGGAGAAACGATTTGTCACCAACTGCAAAATGGTTGATTTTCGGAATGTCTGGATAAGTTGATGGTCATAAAGGATTGATACAGTACAAGGTTAACATCTACACAAAGCTATTTAATTTGACCGGATATGATTGATCATACTACAATCTTGGCTTTGTTTCAGAATAACGTCCTTTCTTAAGGCAGATACCTTAGGTGTCGACAAAGTGGTTGTGTAGGTCCTATGATTTAGGTAAAATTAGCATCTCTGAGTGTTTACTGTATTCCAGTATCTTGAAATCTTTTGGACTTAAGATAGTGATTTCAGTATATTGATTTGTCCACACTTGTAATCACAAAATCTTCAGCCTATGCATGATCGACAAAACGCCAAAATATGTAGGTCGCGCTTCTGAGTTCGAATGACTCAATGAATATTACCGAAGGATACATAAGTTTCTTGACAGCCATTTGAGTGATGCAACTATAAGGCACAGAGATCTAGTTCAAACTCTAGTTTCGAAATCATTTTTGGGGATTTCACATCTACCAACCAAGTTGTGAATACAACACTGAGTGGCATTTTTTGTCCTTTATAACAACATGTAGGATACTAATCACCGCAACTCTTCTTAGGGTCTGTGTGCAACCTAAGCATCTACAGAGTATGTGAGAGATAAATTACTCTGAAGTTAAGCGTGTGATCAAATGCGTTGAAAGATGTCAGGGGTATGTAATGTTCTCCGGGACTTCTAATATGAGGGTCTTGGAAAACATGGACCCAGAAGGCAAGAGTTAAGGGATTGATAATGATCAGTGTTTAAGCAATCTAAGTTTACCAGTCATTAAGAGAGATGCACCACCCAGTGAGTATAAACGCGACTTGTTAAGTATGCTTGACCAAACACCATCACCGAAGGGGTGAGGTTAGGTTCAGAGTGGATGACCTGTAATACTGTTTACTTCGAAAGTTAATTAACCGCTATATTTTTTTGCTGCTCATGGCCTTTCAAATGGTAGTTGTTTACGTAAAGTCTCCTTGGAACGAACTTTCAGGTCATCGTGCACAATGCTTAGTTATCCATTAACTGAAGACGTCTTCTTTTGACGATCATTTCGAGTTGCGGCAAGTAGTCTAATTCGTGCTCTAGTATTGGAAGCTAGGCGGAAATCTTTGTTATGTATATGGTTACTTACAGGCCTCTATTTTCACTAGCTGTATCTGCTGTCAATACGTTCGGCGTAGTTGTTTTTCTAAGCTTTAGTCGTAGTTAAGTATTTTTAATGTTTCAGCTGTTTCATTTATGTGACACTGTGCTAATAACATCCAAATGTTTCATTTTTGATTTGGTCATGAAAGCAATCTCTCATTCGGTATTTCTATCCGTTGAGTTCTCGGTAGTTCAATATTATTTTGCAAGCAACAAACATGAAGCTGAAGACCACTTGTGCTTTGTGTAATATCTGGGGCTTTGCTGTTATTATTCATACATGATGGTTTCTGTGGCTTCCGAAAACTATTGTGAAGAGGGATAGGCTGTAAGAGATTGGAGAGAAAACATTGTCACATAAAAGCTTCTTTGAACCTTGTTTGTTCAAAAACTTCTCATTCTTTCCTGTTGTCAAACCACATCTTAGATCTACATTATGGAATGGCCACATTAATCTTTTTCAATCGACCGGGTCTCTTCTATTAAGCACATATCTTTCAAGTAGTTCGTAAGAATATCTGACATGGAGAGGTTGTGCTACATATCATTTTATTCTCCTCACTAATTCAATATGACCTTAAAGAATTTAGCACTCGAGCTTCTCCAAAATTTGTCTCTCGACAGAAGTGCTTCGCATCTCTATCATCGTGTTTGAGCACAATAAGTTGTTGGGTAGTGCCATATGAGATTCGCCGACATAGTTTAGGAGTTCCGTCAGTAGAAATGGACTTAGACAGTGTATACCAGAACGCATTAGAATTCGGAGAGATTTAGACTGGGATGAGACCTCATATTAACGAGGTGAAAATGGAATGTGCCACATGAGATATGCCTGTAAGCACAGGGTGCATAATCGACCGGCTTCAGCTAATAGTGTCTGTTAAAAATAACTTTGCCGAATGAGTGCAGTATGTCTATAATACCTTTTTTTCAATGTTACGTACAAGTACAACTTATACCTAATTTTTATTCATTATCATCATTACAGTTAAAGTATGCATCAATAATTAATCAGTAGGTGATAAACAGATTTCCTGCAGGATGTAGATTCAGTTTTATTTATTTGGGCCAACCAACCTCTAAGTGAGTAGTTTATTATGTCCTGAATTTTCTGCGTGCACGACCAGAGTCGTCTTTTAAAAATGACCCACGCATTGTGGTTTCGCTATTAAATAACACTTCGTGAAATTTTTTGGCTGAGATCATGAACAAATCGGGAGTAGAGCACCGTTAAAAACATGGAAGCACTGGACTGCCGTTTCATCCTAGTATTGGATCCTTAGCAGTGCACATCCACAACCTCACATGCAGGGTTGCGGCCTTGCGCGCGAACGTTTAGCATCCAGACCATTAACGCAACATCCAATGGTGCTAATAACTAACTTTAACCAATCCACAAAATTGCGCAACCATCTTCCATTGACCTTAGTGGGGAAATGTTTCGGCCGGCACAAAATCGCTCTATTAATTACAGATTCTCGTTAGAACTCTGAGAATTACCTCTTGAAGCTTGTCACCAGTGAGCACATGATATGTGTAAAGAAACATGATGCTGCAAAGTTTTCCACATATTGGCAAGAAACCACTACGTAAAAAAGAATAAACTACGTCAATGCACAGCAATATTCATTTCTAATTAGCTGGATCACATTCATGTTATTTCTGCTAGAAGAACGCTAACTTCTGCACCAGTGTTTACAAGGTAGCGAACTTTCGTAATCACGTCAGTGATGTGCATCAGACTGCTACGGTTGCCATTGATGTGTGAGGGCTTGGAAGCTTTCCGAAGTGTCTTCCGTGTTGTACGGTTAGAGCTTAAGAAACTGCAGGGATTTTTACGATTTCTAGAAGATTTCTTTACATGTTTTGGTACCAACATAAATCAAGATTATATCTCTTTCGTAACCTAGAGATAGATGTTCTTCATGAAGAGCCTCGTCGAGGAGTTTCACATCGTCTATGATGACAAGTGAGGGTATGACAAAATTCCGTAACGTCATTTTGTGTAGTTTGAGATTTTCCTTTGACAGAATGAATGTCTGCGCCAGGGGCCCTGATGATCTGCGGAATCCGGTCGTCAGATATAGCCATCTATGGTGCTATTTCAAAGTGGGATAAGGATTTCCTGCACCTGTTGAGGAGTCTTAGACACGAAAAGCTAATTAGGCCTTCGTCAAATGTCCGATAACCAATGAGCTCTCGCATAGGTATAAACTATTCTGTTTCTGAGCCATGTTGCAGCTCGATATCTGGGTAAAGTTGGTCTAACTTTTTTTGGTTAGATCCCCAAGTTTAGGATTATCCTTCGTTGAGGTGTCGTAAGGTCCCACAACATCACTAGTAAATATGCTAGGCGTGACGTAACTTTTAATATCTCACGACAGTGCTTCCTCTGCTGCGATGAATTATTCACGGGTGTCTATCAGACCGTGCTTGTGAAAGCCCGCTTTTGCTTATCAGAATCAGGATTCTATGTTGTCGAACCTGAATGGATTAAGTTGGAGAATGGGAGACGAAAGAGTTTCAATCTGAAGTGGCTTATGTGTCCATTCCGTCATGATGAAGATAAGATACACAAATATGCGAGAAAAAAATGCTCGAGAACGTAAAGGTGACATCAAAATATGTAAAAATGAAAACGAGGGACAGACTCAGAGTTTATTGTTTGGTGTACCAGAACATATAGGGCTCACCGCTAAATATGCCATATGTATACGGAGTTTGAGAAAGCATTTACAGATAACACTTATATGATCCGAGGATACCAAACCAGTCATATCAGAGGTCAGGAATGAAGGGGAAAGTTATCAATATATCGAGGAGCGTTTGGTCTCAGCTGGCTAGTAGTTGAAAGGAATGTGTAGCAGGACGTAACCACTCGTGATCTGGTGCGAATGCATTACATTCAGCACATTCAGCTTATGTGTGCCCAGTGAAACTGGTGAAGTCAGAGTCAATGTCGAAGACTTGGAGAACTATTTATTTTTGGGATTTATAATATTGAGCTTCCGCATTTAATCAAACCTTTTCTGATTTTTACTTCAAAACAAACGTAACTGATGTCAGTTCTTACCTCTTATAAGTAAGTTTCGATGAAATGAATGGAATAATCCACTGAACAACATGGCATGCTGTCCAAATGCTTTATTATTGTTTGTTTAAGTATTTGCATTTAGAGGGTATTTGGTATTTTGTCAACACCAAAAAAATTTGTTAATAACGTTTGTGTGTTTTTTATTGAATGGTTTTGGATACTTTTATACCTCACGTTCTTATAATAATTTTTTGACTGCCGGAAATTCTCGAATTATTTACTGAAAGCAGCGAACTGTAATCTTGCAATATTGAAATGGGCGTGCCTGGCATCTACTAACAAATGTAAATTATAATCCTTTTCTATAGAAATCAGTAGCTCTTGCATTTTTAAAATTTTTGACTTTTGAGTGGTGCTACTATCCAATTTCTGGAATTAGTAGATATCATCATGCCTTATTTGAATGGTGAACCTTTCGTTAAACGGCAACCACCAAGTGATCTTTCATTAGACGAAGAGTTATTTTTCCTGCCCACTACATTAGAAGTTTTTCGTGACTACGAGTAAGTTGATGCCTTTTGTGCATTATTTAACGAAATTCTAGTGTTTTAAAATATTAGTACTGTTACTTTCATGTCATTCATGTTTTTAATGCATCTCACAGGATTTGTATATAGTATTTGAAACGTTTAGTTAGAAATAAGTACCTAAGCATTTAACCACTGTAGTTGTAACAAGTGATAGTGTATGTATTCAGATGTTTAGAATGCTCCAAGTGTCTCGTTCTCTGTTAGCAATATTATATATATATATATATATATATATATATATATATATATATATATATATATATACAGCGATTAATGTCTGTTCAAAATATTTATTTATCTCTTTTATTGAAGTAAATATGATTTTGGGTGTGTGACTCTGGCATTCGAAGTATTTCAGATGTATTTCCGAGGTTAATTGGTTTTTTAACACTAGGGATTTCACTAAAACTCGACTCACTTTTCTTTTAAAAGTGGATTAGCTTATATGTGATTACGATTACTACTTAGAATTCGACGCGTTTGGCTGAATTATAACGAGCCTTTTTCAATTCAATGTCTGGTAATGCTTTACAAATTATCCACAACAATCTGTTTGTTACTCATTATGACTCCATCAATCAGGCAGTTCGCGAACCACTGAACCGTCAGCTCAAATCTCACAACACTTACCGTATACGTCGAGTTAGTGTCATTTAGAAGTTCTTGGAAGCACTTAAGTAGTCATAAAATGGTGTATATGGTGTATTAGTCGCCTATTAGGTTTACTAATAGGATACTTTGAACTTCGAGGTTGTTTTCTGATCAGCCTGTTCGCAGATTGGTTTGGGTGTTTTGGGTTTTCTGTAGTGGCTCACATAGTCCTGATTATCTTATTGACAGCATACGATGTCTCAAGTTCAAGTAAGTGAGCCCAGTGAAAGTCTCATTAAAACTAAACCATAATATTGCGTGTCGTGTAATGATGCTATATCCTACCCTCGATACTTTTAGACTGCTTTTAAACAGGTAGCTTATTACTAATTTTACGACACTCACCAAGTTTAGTATTGTTTACTTGGCTTTTAACCACTTTTATGAGGGCTGGATATTTTAAACGAATGCCTATACTGAAGTTGGAGCGGAGCTCGGGCCTGCAACCTGTTGGATAATATCCGAGCCCTTTAACCGTTAAACCACTACTTTGGAGGAGGTTTCTGGTGTCTTGTTCTTTGAACTATATATTCTAGTCGCCCAAAAAAAAACAATAAAATTTTCATAATTGAGCCATCTAATTCAGAGAACATATCACCTTTCTAGTTGTCGTGTTAGAGTTTGATTTCGCAGAACTACTTTTAATCTTCGATTTCACCGTTTTCCCATGGTGTGATATTCTATTACATCTATAAGTTGATACGTAAACCTCATTTAGTCCGAATGTATATAAATTTGCAAATTTGTAGAGTAGAAATATTAGTTAATGGTTACTGTTTGTTTACATTGGTCATGATCTTTATGCAGTGATTATGACTGCTATTTAGATTTATCAGTCTATGTTTGAAATTTCTGACTTTTTAGTGACTACTTCGAACGTACAATTCTCGTAAATAGTCTAACATGGACTTGTTCAGTGTGTAATAGAGGACCTTCCACCTACAAAGAAGCACTGGCTTGTGAGCGTGGAGACTATCGGCAATTGAACGCCTTTGATAATGCTCTGGCTTCTGCATTGCTGTATATTATTGGAGGTGCACGGAAGCGGAGGCTCCCAGAACTTGTTGAACTAATATGTGGGTTTGCAAGTAGTCGATTTTTTGTTGGTGAGGAGATTGAATTTCAGACTGCAGATTCGAAGTAAGTTTTATGGTGTCTATGGCTACTTCGTAATATGCCCAATATTTTTCTTAAAATTTTTGAATGTAGCAGCAATGATTCGTAAAGTTTAATGATAGACTGAACGACTCCATATTCATGTTTGACCCCATGTCCAATATAACACACATGTTCTTTAGATGCTAGAGATTCGTAATTCAAGAAAACGGCTTCAATTGTGTTTCATTCTCTCATATACATAGTATAAATATTGAAATATTTAGACCATCCGCTCCAGATCCAACAGCAAAAGGACTGGATCCTTATTTGTAATCCATTGATCAGTTTTCTGAATTAATACATTAGAATTTTGTTGTTCATGTCATAATTCTACTGTTTTTACTGCAGATAGACTGAACTTATAAAAACACAAAATACGTGGCATACAGTAACGTGACACCGATATTAGCCAGTTTTCGGTTTTAGAGTCTTAGGCTCCTCGTTCATTAACTCTCACTTGATGTGTTACGTCACTTAATTCAGCCTAAGATTAGTTATTATGCAGGATTTTGTCATATATTATGCCGTTTTGCGTCCGGAATCTTTTTGATTTTCACTTCATTTGTCCACCAGGCTCATCAAGTATAGTATTATATACATGAATGTCTATCTTCAGTACAAAATTAATCATATTCGAAGCTAGTAAATGTGATGTTTTAATTTTGTAGTGTTCGGTCTCTTGGTATTATTGATCGTGTGGTCGTGTCACAGAAAAAAAGCCAGTTTGAGCATGTAAGTAATCTTTTCAAAAAGGATAACTTCATGGTCTTTACGTATTCGATACTTTTATACTGAAATGAAAGTTGACTATAATTGGTACTTAGTCTGCTTTATTTATTTGTGAAGGATTAAAATAATAATAACAGTTTGTAATTATAGTAAAGATGACGAAGCTTTAGAATAATGTCAATGATCCGTTGACATAAAGGAACATCATTTGACTGCTAATGTATATATATATATATATATATATATATATATATATATATATATATATATAATACATATATAACGGAAAAGTTCTATCATTTTATCAGGTCAGCTTATAAGTAAAAGATTTTTACACACTAGATAAATCTACATGGTGGGTGAATAGCACATAATCAACAGATGTTTTGTGTTTTAATATCACTAATCTTATCTAATAACGCTAATTCGTATGGAAAATATGATATTCTACCCTGATAATAGTTCCTATATTTAAGAAAAACTCGTATTTCCGAAACTTCTGAATCTCAACTGAAATGACTTTATGTAGTAATAATGTTCATCATTTTGTCTCTTGCCTTTTCTATGGTAATGCACACTTAGTCATGAATAATTGTATTTATCTAGTTGTAATAAATACATCTTTACTGCCTACGTATCTGCTTTTTCTAACAGAGTGGTTCATTGATGGATCCAGATGTTCAGAAGCCTGCCTTTCCTGATGCATTGAAACTTCACTACTGTGTAAGGGAGCATAAAAAGTCTGATAATGTAAACCGTATCGCCTCAAGTGTTTTGGTACCTGGATCTATTATTAATCGTCGCAGTCGTAACGTACTGGCTAGGGATCACATTAAGTTCTTCATTCGTCATACGTGCGAATTAAGAAACGGTGTTTTCACACCCAAAGTGAGTTTCTAAGTCTTTGCTGATTTATTCTATTAGTTGTAAGTTTCAGGTGCTGGTGGTTTCAATTGTTTTTGTAGATGCCATGTTTCGTTTTTTATATAATCATTGCTATTGTTTGACTGTGCCAGATCGATTCGTTATGATTAATAGATAGATTGCGATTCTACGAAAAAATTAGTACAAAATAAGAGGAGTGACTGGTGGGGCACCGAGTGTGGTCATACAAAGGCTTCCGGTTTTTCCACCTAAAATCTTGGGGCAGTTAATTGACCCAATGTTAATACTTTGACTAGTATTTCATCAAATAAGAACAGTAGTCATTAAGATATTCACTGTTATCTTTTACGTTTTCCATACTTTCATGTTTTACATTTTTATGCTTATGTCTTGCAATAAGGTTTACTATCTGACTGAACAATTCAGACTTTAAAAGCTCTGTTTTGTTTACTGTTATTTTTTGGTCTCTCTGGAAGCCTTTTAGGAGTTCTTTTATCTTTATTACTCTTTATTCAATAATTGTCACTGTTCTACCTTGATATTTTGGATATCACGGAAACCATATACTGTCCTACTTGTTTATTTGGAGAACTATAATTTATGGACGAGTCAACCACATTTAACAAAGCGGCCGTTAAATTTTCGCACGAAATTCATGTGCCGATGTAGTTAAATAGCATTCTGACACTGTAGGTGTTATCAGTTCTTGATGAAAAATCTTACTCTGATTCCCAACCGTCACTCCTAACTTTAGCTCTAAATCTTGATTCGTACTAATTCAAAGCCCTAGTGGTCGGAATCCTTCAAACCACTTGAGTATCCCGGGAAGTTCGTTCATGGATTATTGTCACGTCCATTTATTCCGTTTCGTGTTTTACAGGGCAACTTTTCACACCTTTAAATGTGTTTGGAGCTGTTATATAATGGGTGGAATATGGTAAATTCAATGTTTCTAAGTTCACCATTGAGTTAAAGTTCCAGTTTATTAATGAGCGATAGTATCACATTTAATCATGTATTAATCTTGTGATGTACAAAAAATATAATCCATGTTTGTGAGCTTTATATAGTCTTGATTACTACCGTTACGGTTCTTTGTAGCTCACATGAATTCACCGTTTTCATTTTAATATATCCAATTTATATGACACGCACTTATGATAGCAAATTCTTTATGGTAGAAAAAATATCTACATTCACGGGATCTAATCAAAGAAAATTACTAAAAGTTTGTTGAAATCATCGGTTGCATTTCGGGACTTAACTGGTCAGTCACTTCCACCTTGTCCAGACTAGGAAATGACCGTGTCGGGCTGCTCACTCAATAGTCGTGCTTTGTAAAAATCGTTGTGAACCTCTATCAAGCTAATCCTGTTATTTATTTTTTTTCAAAAAAAAACGTGAGTGTACTACTTCATTTAACTATCGCAATGGAAATACAACTGATTGTTTCATGTGATATAAAAATACTTATAACCTAATAATCAATGTAAGTTATTAGGCCTTTAGATGCACTGGCACGAAGGATCGGGAGAGTCAGTTTTCTTTTTCGAAATCTTTCCTCACAATCACTCGTTTTTTAGCATCTGACAGGGAAGTTGTTATGTCCCGATAAACATAATGAATGGTAACTTTTGGGATCCATTTATGGACCAATACTATGCGTATATTTTTATCGTATAATTGTTAAATAACTAAACCATTCATATTCATGCCCCTCGTATTATGAGCTTTATTTTGACCTATGAACTATTATTATGCCATTTACGATTCTTGATTTATTCCCTGTCTATTAATTACTACCTCCCTCATTTACAGCCACATTTGGCTAATTCTTGTACAAATGTTGTTTCATATTTTATTGGTACGATGTGGTCTGTCTGGTTGGTATATAAACCCAGTATACTTGAAATAAATGATTCATATTGCAGAGGCTGAGATTGGTGTTCTGGACTTAACTGACTGGGCTAGACAGGAAGCGGGACCGATAAGTACTCTAGACTGCTCTCACGGGTTTTACGCGTCATTGGTCCGATCGATAATTCACTTCTCTCTGATTGGCGGTGTCGTTACGTTATACATTAGCAGGGCACACAGGCCATAAGTTATAACAGAAGTTTTATTCCCTTCATACAGTAAGGTCTGTAAGAAACGATAACTTATGGAATGCCACTAGTTACTAGGTGTAAATGACATACTCCCAGCTCTTTTTAAAGATGGTAGTGAGCTTATGGTTAGGGAACTGGATGAACTATTTGGAAGTGTTTGGGAAGGATGAAGTTCACTTTAGAATAGACAAGAATACTTCTCTTGATGCACCATAAATAAGCCTATACAAGCCTATTTTCAAATATTTTTGTTGTCCTATAACAGTGGTGCAAGCAGTATTATTCGTTTGCTTTAAAACTTCGAATCATGTAGTTCTAGTAGTTTCTTAGTTCTCAGTTTCAGATGGTATGGTAATATAACTTTTATCGAAACAAATTAACTGGTGATTATGTCATTATACATGTTTTACAATACTAATTTTGAATATTTAGGTTTCGATTATGCAACGTTACAAGTTACATCCGTATGGACCTGTGACATGGGCTAAGCTATTTCTGCCACCAGAACCTTGTTGGTCTGAACTGACACCTGCTCCTCCATGTGAGTTTTAAGGTAGTTTTTTTGATGTACTGCGTTAATAGTATGTAGTTAGTTTGCGGTTACTTTTCATAAAGATGCTATTTGGCCGATTGGTCGAAAAAGTATCTTCTTAAGGAATGTTTTGCAAACCAGCTTTTTTTTTATCGAAATAACTACAAATCAACTTATTCACTCAATATTTAAGATACTGATGAGTTAATTTTAGAAGGTTAATTAACATCCATGGCTTTTTGTGATCCAGTTTTATATCTGTAATATGGTTGTTCAGAAAATAGATTGTAATCCTATAGTCATTTTTGCGTTTACTTTCCTCAAATCATTGGTACTATTAATTTCCGGGCTTACTAATATTTGTATTGCGTTTCATTTAATGTATGGTCAGCACAGAGTTTAAGGTTGATGTAAACACTATGACTATCAGACACTTCGATGTCTTATTAGATGTGTAATTTTGCATACAATTTAGAGGGTCTTTGGCGATATAACTGTTAGAGGACAGGAAAATAGCTTTAAGTAGATTCTTTTTTGTATTGGATTCCGTCTGTTATTCATCAGACGTGTTCAAATGTTACTGTTCTAGATATTTCCTTGAATCTTCTAAGATAGATTTCATTAAGTGTATATCTAAACTGTTGGACTTTTCACAGCAATGTCATAAAAATACTTTTGTTATTCGTTGTTTAAATAATATTTTTTCTGTTCCGCACTACTCATATTTTTTTAACTTGTAGTGCAGATGATAAAAATTAAATTTATTAGCTGTGAAATGTTTCTATTGAATTCCTCATACTACATGCTTTGTGATAGACAAATCATCTCTGATTTTTGTGGAAAACTGCTTAGTAACTCACTATTATTTCTAAGCCAGTTAAATGTGTAAAGTCTAACGAAAAGAACCAAATAGTTGATTATGTTGGGGATATTATTAAGTAGTTACAATGTTTTAATCATACTATATGAATTCTAAAGAGATACGCGACTTATTCAAACGAGACAAATATTCTAAGTATTTTTGTTGTAAGTTGTGAGTTTCGTTCATCTATGGTCTTATACAATCTAAAGGTAATGGAATATTTAAAGACATGAGTTATGTGTTGCTCCACAATATGAATTGCAATGTATTTCTAGTTTTAAAATTTTTGTAAGTGAATTGTTTATTGGTGATTTTTCGTTTTACTTTTGTCATTATCAGTGGAAGGAGATACCCTTTTGTTTTGTAAAATCTATGATTTTTGTGCATCAGATTTAAAGTGTGATACAATAGTAAGAGCGAATTTCTTATTTTGTACGAAGTCAAAAGTTGCTATTATGACATTTTTCCATCTGGCACTTTAACCTGGTTGGTGGACATGGAAAGTCCACCTAGAGGAGTCGGAAAACCCTGATTACAAACCAATGGTGCACATGGGCTTCAGCATCCTCAGGGAACAATTGGCGTATGAACTAATCGTTGGCCACCGGCTACCATGGGACTGCATCTCCTTATATTTCTCCACTGCCTTGTGGATCAGACCTTTAGGTCAAAGACTCGGGGTGTTGCCCCCTAACAAAACCATCTGCTTCGGTTTTGGCATCCGGGCAGTACCACAGCCCACACACAAATCAAATGAGATTTGTGTGGCGCATATGTATTTGGTGCCTCCTTGTACCAATATCTATGTGTTCAAATAATAATAATAATAATAATAATAATAATAATAATAATAATAATAATAATAATTTTCCATCCACTCTTTTTCGTTGAGATTTTAAATAATTCAAGTGATTCTGTTTTTATCATATGAAATTTAGACTGTATTCTCAACTATTAATACACTTTTCTTATTAGCTCTTGAAGTATTGACATGGTATTTATCTTTTCTTGTAGCCTCAATAATTCGAACTGTGAGCAATCTATCGAAGGAATCCAGTCGCCCTATATGCCAAGGTTTTAAAGTTATCGATACCTATACAGATGAATGGTCTAGTCGAGGTCAAACGAAACCTCCAAATGTTCCATGTTCCATTGCTATTAATCATAACATGGCTTCATCAGGAGGAACAACCCGTGTACAGTATTTTGAACCCCTCGGTTTTCAGTCGCAAAAAGTTCTTTATCAACAAACACATACACTAATGGGTGGTACACATGCAATGAATGGTCCCTATAGTGAGTGTTTTACTTAAAGCATTTGGTGATGTTTACCAATACTAATCCATATCCAAATTTATGATGTATGTCTCATTCTCAAGCTTTCAGTCGATGAACAGTTATATATTGACTTTTTAAACATTTTGTTTTTTGCATTCAATAAAGTTTGTTTTCATTTCATTCTAGTATTCTCACAAAATGGAAAGGAGAATCAGTGCTATCAGTTATTTTCCAGTAGTTACTAGTTATGCAACTAAGCATATTGCCATTATTGTTGTGACACCTTAAACAACATCTTCATTCATTGGTTTCATGAGATATTTTGTTTTTAAGTTCGGTTGTGAAGCTTGTGTTGTTATATCGTTCTGAGTTAGCTACAAAGAATTGTTGGTTTCGTTAGTTGGATTAGATAAAATTGAGTAGCGTGTCCAAAATCACTACAAGTAATTGCTCTTTTGTCATCACACTAACGTATCTTCACATGGTTTTTTCGAGTTTCTTAGTTGAGTAGGCATTTTTCTGAAATAAGTATATGCACATTATTAATTAGTATTTTAATAATGCAACTCATTCACCAGCTACATATTCATGTTTTGGCGTTTAAGCTATGCTTTGTATGAGGGCGAATAGTACTACTGTGGTGTATGCCACTTATGTCAGCAGACGAGAGTGGTATGTAACATCAGTCAGAAGTGGAATGCCTGGCAACCGAGGGCTAAGAAGATCGAGTAAACGTAAACAGAAAGGAAAATAGAAAGGAATTGTGAAGTGCAAGAATCATACAAAATGTGAAGGGCAGTTGATGGATAATTCGCAAATGAAGTATTTAGTGTTTGGTTCTCATATTTTATGAATATAATCTGTAATTTTTTATTAAAAATAAATTGGTTGTTTCCATCTGCGTTATCGTTCTTTACACTACTACCTCCCGGCTGCTCGAATCGAGTTAAAAGGGGATTGTGAACTTACGACCCAGTAATTGAAAATCGATTACGTCAACTATTAAGCCACTGACTTAATAGCAGTCAACATAGCCGCTTTTTGATAAGGACAATAATAAGATTATATGCATATATTTACTAATATGTTCATATTTATATTACCTTTCTCTTAGATCAGTCATTACCACAACCAGTTTTTGATATTTCACGTTCTTTAAAAGTTGAAAAAACTGAATTAGAAAAGGAGTGGAGTATGGTGCGTCGTCGTGATGATTTGGAATTATCGGATTTAGTGCCATTACCAGAATTCTCTAAGGTAAACTATTCGTACTTTTTGGAAGTATTATACTTATTTCAATCAGGTGGGATTGATATTTACCTGACTGTTTCACTCATATTAATCCGCATTTTGTTTGTAAACAGAACTTGCTTCTCTTGGCACTGTTTTCATATATTCTTATCGCACTGTTATCATTTTAGTTTCCTTCTTCACTTTCTCCGGATGATATTGGCTCAGCTCTACAGTTACTAGAGTTTCTGCATGTATTTGGTCCACACATTGGGCTTGTTATCCCACAAATAGGTAAATGTACAGAAGCGAATGGTACGAATTTATCCCGTTCTAATTCTTCACTTACATTATCTACTTTGGAAAGTAGCCTTTTGGAATCGGATCCGTGTGGTCCTTTAGCCGATTTCTTTATAAGTATGCTGTCTACTATACGTAGGTTAGAAGTAAGTTTTTTCACTCTTAATTCATATTACTAACGCTTGTTTATTTTCTGTTATGTATAACTTTAAAAAGTAATATGATTTAATAAAATAATGTTATACTATTTATTATATAAAGAATTTATTATTCAACATGCTTTTTATCGAGAAATGGAATAAGGTTGCAATACGATTCTTATGAGTTTCGTTTCTTAGTCATATTTGGCTGTAAGTCATTTTCAAATCACGTAATTTTGAGTACTTTTAAACTGGGATGGTAACCTAGGACAAAGATTTATAGTTTCACGGTATCAAGCTGTCTGATGGTTTTTTCATCTCCTGCATTTCAAGAATTAGGAAACGTGTATTGACGTAGACATCTACGTCACTGAGTTATACTTAAAATGTGTCCGAGTAAATAAAGCTGTTACAAATTTGTTGATAGTTTGATAAATCAAACTGCAATTATTCTTGTTTGCATTTAATATAGGGTAGTATCTTGATCTCAATGTGTCGTACCAACCAGAAAATTGACAAATTTAGCCTGGAAATAATCTACGTTTCTTGATTTGTAGTGGAATAATTTTATAGTCGTTTCTTGTTTAATTGAATATTTCCTTCATTAGTCAGTTTGTAAACATGCACACTAGTCTACTCGATAGTTGTCTGCAACCTTAAAAATGTTATAGTAGCTAAATAAAAAGCGAATGGATATTGATCATGATAAGATTATAAAGTGTAATAGTTTTTGATGGATTTTAAACCTTTAAAGTTTGCATTAGATTCTAACTGCTTTTATTATCCAGCTGGACGCCAACTCTCGTCAACCAACTCCAAATGCTTCGGCAGCAACAATTGCTGCAGCGTCGGCTGTTGCTGCCGCTGAAGCTGGTTTTTCTGTGAATACACAAGTCTCTCATGTTTCTGGAATTGGAATTGATAATAATTCACTGTATGATGAGGATGCAGTCGGTCCTGAAGACAGTGCTGTCTTCCGAGTGCTACGAGATGCTGGAGCTTCAACTCGTTTATGTGAACTTATTGGTATACCAACCCAAGCAGCCACCATTGCTGCCGGTAAAGCTGCTGTGGCTGCTTCTGTTGCGTTAAACACAAGTGGAACTGCTGCAAAAGAGGATTCATCAGGGATTTCATCTTCAGTATTTCCAAATGCAATTAACCGAAGTTCTGTTACACGTGCTGCAACAACGGCAGTCATTGCTGGGGCTACATCTTTACCACCGCTGGATCGTGCTGGTCTTTCTGAAGCACTTTGGTTACACATAACTAGTGCAGCTGCAAAAGGTGGGGGCTGGCGTGGTCAGATTTGGGGAGGTACTCGACTTCTGGATGACCCTTCTGTTATGCTGGCCAGAAACAATTCAGCTTTAGTTGAAAAGCTTAAAAAAGGTGGATAATGTTTGTTTCCGTGATTATTGTCTCTAATTTAATGATAAATTGTATATACTCATAGCTTTTAATTGTGATATTCTTGGAAACTTTTGCGTAACGTTTCTTCTACAGTCAATTTTCATAAGTTTATTGTCTGTAAATGATTATAGTATCGAGCTGTGCAGCTCCTGGAAAGTAATATGGAAGTGGATATTCTCTCCGCTAATATAATTATGTTACAATTCTTAAATTTAACGTTCCATTAAGTGCAGAAGGAACAGTTTAACTCATGCCATCGGTAGCTACCTATCGAAATATCGATTTGGGTATAAAATTTATGCTACGAGTTTAAATAAATATAACCGGATCTGTTTTACTTTAAGCAGGCTAGTTCACTGTCACATAATGTAGATAGTTTACAACGCAGAATAAGAGGTAATACGTTGCATCATTTTGCATTTCTTTTAATTGGTCTCACTTGAATTTACTGTGTAATGTAAATTTTTGTGTCGTATGTCGATCTTTTTATTTGGTGCTAAATAGCTTCGCGTTCTCACTTAATTAGTATCCGAGTAAATTAAGTTTATTCTCGCAGATGTCTCAGATACTTCGCTTATACAGTTCAAACAGTCAAGGTTCTAACTACGATTCTCAGGGATTCCCAGCATTTCTTTGATTACTTCCCCTGATTTGTTGTAAAATCTATTCTGAGTGTGTATGTTTGTGTGAAGATCGCCGACGAACAGTTGATACTATTGTAGGTATTATTACCAAGATTTGATTTGATAATTTCGGATAAATTGAGCATCGAGTAGATTGATGCTATTGATACTATTAGTTGTTTGGAAGAATCATTTAATCAATCCACACGTTATTAATCGCTTTTAAGCGTAAATTCAAATATTTGAAAATATTTACTCAAACAGATAGACTTTATAATAAATTAACGATGTGCTCAATAAACCCCATATTAGTCATATTGGCTTAATATAATGTCGACTCACCTATCTGTAAATTTCTTATTAAGTTCTACAATAGTTACATCATTTTAAATAGTCTAAAAGTAACACTTTTTGAAGAGTGGCATAAAATATTTTTAGTTTACTTTTGTGAATTCATATTTGGACTCATTTGTCTTTCGAACGAATAAAAAAATTCCTAGTTATTGTTTTTCTTAATTGTGATTAAACTAAATATCTAAAGTAAAACTCAAAGAATATTAATGTCAGATAAAATTTACTCCTTATCTGCATTAGGTAATTATAGGGTACAATTTTAAGCCATTGTTGATAGTTTGCAGAAATTGCTACTCTTTGTTTAGTTTAGCATTCAGTATTAACCCAATATTTTTCTCTTTGATCATAGATATCTTGATCAGTATGATCTGTTAGCAAGTAGAATCTGTTCTACAAATTCATTTTTCATTGTCCATTAAGTCTGCTGTCATTCAACCTTTATTCGCTGTTTTTAATTTCTTTATTTCATGTCTCTTACATAGATGTCTAAATTTTGATCCTAAACTATTTTTCATTTTAGTATCGGTTTATGAACTAACTCCACATGAAAAGTTGATCCTGCTTACCACTTTGATGGATGAGCTTTTACTTCAACCTCAGATTCGAGAACGTATGGAAGATAGTTACGAACGTGTGCGTTTGTTACGCAGTCAGTTGCGCACTATACAAGCTGATAGAACTGTATTGATTAACTCTGGTACTGGAATTGAGGAAGAACAAGATGTTTTGACACATATGAAGAAAGTAAACTCTACAAATGATGGCCGTGTTCATTTCGCTCCTGTTGGTCTTAAAGGACGCTTGGGCAGAGGAAGAGGTCGTCCAGTGGGTTCTGGTCGTACACTAAACCGCAAAAATACGCAACTAGATTCGACAGTCGCTCCTTTGGAGAAATTTTTGTCAGAGTAAATAATTTTAATGAATCATTTGATAACAAAATATCTCGATTCCTTGACTTTAAATACTTACTAGCTTTAATTAGTAATTCTTTTGATTTGAAGTTATACATGTGTTTTTTTATCTAACTCTAGTTAACTTCAAGTTATTTTTGTGCTTACTGTCGTCAGTTTTCACATGACTTACAAGTAGGTTAGTGGATCGGTTCTGAATAACCTAAGAAACTGCACACTCATGATCTTGAAAGACATGTCATTGAATTTATGGATTTGACTTATTTTCAAGTTAACTGGTTCACGTTTGATTTCTGCGAACAACACACTGAAATATCTTTATATATTTTTGATAATTTTTCTTCAGTGAGGATTATACGTTAATCAATAGAAAGGAACATCGACCCAATTCAGATACTGGAACAACAGCTTCTTGTATCTCTTCCTCATCTACAGCTAATATATATGAAAAATTGACAGATTCATTATTGGAGGAACAAAAGTTACTAGACTCTATTACTCAGGTTTCGCGTGGTTGCTCAATGATACCTCTCGGTCAAGACAGATTTTATCGGTAAGTTACTGATTTTGTCGTGTTTATTTATAAACTAGAAACGTGCTTCGATTCCCAGTTAACCGGACTCTAAGGGATTGACAATCTTCGAAATTGGATTTAGAGCTTTTAACAAAAATAATCCGATTTTTCGAACAAACACATTTTTCTTTTATTTATAAGATTAAATTAGCTTCTTGTGTCTGTCAAATTATTGCAAGAATTTGTAGGTTTTGAATCACTCATGAAATTAAATAAATATAAAGTGCAAGTTGGTATTCGTTGCTGATACATTTCGATAGACATGCACATCAAGTCTTTATATGGTGTTATATGAAGTTTTCTGTTTCGAAATTTAGGAATAATGTATAGAAATTAAAACTACCTTGAGATTCGTTTACTCTGTTGTTTGGATATATTACTCATTAACTTGGACACGACATTTTACCTGGAGATTATAATTTCATATTCTGCTTTGCTTAATAAATTTTTTAGTTTCCAAACAATGCATGGTACATAGCCTAGTACACGATGATCATTGACTATTTTCATCGGTGTACGCGAGATTTAGGTGGCTTCTCCCGGCTGACAGGCTCACAAATTGCATTTACTACTTACTAACGAATACTGGACCATATAAAACCAATAACTGGTTTTGTTGAACATATCACTTCAGACTATACAGAAGACAGACAAAGTGCAAGATCCCGTACTCTAGAAGATGAAGATATAAACCAAAAGATATTTATTTAAATATTTCACTTAAATGACTGCTTGCTGCGAGATTTGGCGTGGAAAAGTCACTTTCATTCTCATTGATCATAAACTAGCAGATTAAAACAAACATCTATCATAAACATTAGTGATGGGGAATTCAATCAAGTATCAGTTTGATGTTAGTTTTCGTAAGAGTTTAATATCAGCTGATGTAGTATTGAAAACTAGGGGGAATTTTTATCAATATGTGGAGAAAACCATATTCGTGTATAACTATTCTCCCCAAACCATTTAACCAAACACCAATTATCAATTCTTGGTGCCTACATTTATGTAGCTATACCAATCGATCAACTTTTTTTTCCTTTGTACTAGTTAAATTATAATATTTGACTATTAAATTGTCACATACCATTGCCACTTACATTTAAATAAAACACTGTTGCTAAAGTTAAATTCAATAAAGTGACCTTAATAATGAAACCTATTACTAAATCAAAACTTTACTGATTAAAACCAATGAGTTATTTTAGGAGTGTTTGAGTAGTATAAGGTAAAAATACATATCTTTATTTATTTTTTTCTAAAAAAATTCTCATTACATTTTAACCATTGTTAATCGTTTGAAATAATCTATTTTTTTCATAATTATATAATTCTAAAACGTTAGCAAATTTTTAAGTTTTATATTTTTACTTTATTGTACATACTTGTGCTTATATTCAGTGAATTTCTTTTACATTACAGACAATATTGGCTAGTAATGTCTGTACCATGCATACTGATTGAGGATTGCTCATGTGTTGATAAAAATCCTTATTATACTAATTCTACAATTCGAAATCGTCAAGTTGTATATACGTATCCTGAACTTGCTAAACAAATGGGTCTTAATAGCTCTGAGGACGCTGGTAGACATTTACGGGAAATAATCAATTCTATTAAGGATAATGAATTGTTAGATAGAGAAGAAATAACATTTCGTGTTGCCGCTTATCTACCACATCAGTCTTTATCATCATCCTCATCGTCATCATCATTATCAGGTTTATCAGTTGAACAACTGAGAACTCTTGTTAAACCGGTAAGTTTAACTAAAGGCTCTCATCTATCATACTTTAAACATCCCTATGTAATTAACTCATATTAGTCATAGATAATGATCAGGCTCTAAAATTTTTCTAGAATTGAAAAGATTTAAATTGCACTTTTAGATAAAAGTTTTATTCTTAGTATTTATAAATTTTTGTGTGCATGTGTATAAAAAATTAAATATAATTTTTTTCTTCATTACTTTTTTACTGTAGGAACGTGTTAGTGTCCATGACTCTTCTCTTCATAATGCTTGTCCTTCAGTTAAACAATTAGCTAAGCTACGATGTAATTCAGGGAAGTCATCTTTGTCCACAACTGTCTGGTCGATTCTCATACCCGATAAGTACAGGGAATTGTATCAAAAAAAGATGCTTGATTCAAATAATCAAACTATCGTTTCTGATTCAAACGCAGAAGTTGTTTCATCTTTCTCCATACGTGATTGTTCTGATATTTCTGTAAAATTAGCAGAGTCTTATAATAACGTCAATAACAATTCTAGTGATGATAATGAATCAAAATATAAGTCAGATGTTTCTGATGATAACAAAAATTGGTCTTTGACAAATGATGAACTTGATTTAATGATTGAACAAGCCAAATGGACTATTGATTGTCTAGAAGCTTCATTAAACCCTCGCGGTATCCGTGAGTCTCGTCTTCGTAAAACGATTGGTCAATTACGGCCTTTACTTATTAAGGTACTTACCATGTGTCCACCCGAAATAATTTGTGCAACGAACGATAACTGTTCAACAGTAGTTGACAAGGTCAGTTTTGTATTTTTAAATTGTTCTATTATGTAGCCTTTGTCGTATTTAACCAACCAATCGACAAACTAGTTTATTAATGTCTGCATTGAGGAATTCACTCTAAGACTAAAGAATTTTTGAACTCTTTGTGGTTACTAATTTCGTTTATAAATATTTTCCACTTTTTTTCAAAATTTAACATGATCAGATCTCCGTAGAAGTTTATGTATGAAATTTATTTGTTAAAATCCCAGATACCACCATGCTGCTTACAGTAACAATAAGATTTCTTTCATCTCGAATACTTTTTCACTTACCGATTATAATCTCACTAGGTAGTTGGAATTTTAACAGTTTTTAAGAGCATAACTCCTGTCAAACTTATTGATATCCCAAGTAATAACCATATACCAGGGTTTCCTACTCACTGCCTTCATCCACAAAACTCGTAATTTGGTTTGAGTCACAATGGCTCAGTTGTTCACTGTTTTCTTTACTTCGATAGTGTCTAAAAATTACTGACAGGTTTTGACTTACGGTTAACATATAAAGTCTGAATATCGGAAAGCGGTAATTGTTTCGTGTTCTGTGTTCTCCAACTCAAGCGCTCACTTTCTAAGTTATCGAATACTTAGGCTATGAATAGATAAAGTAGCTCTTATTGAAATATAGTTTATTGATCATTTTAATAAAAGAAAGTTCTATCAATGAGTTTGAAGACCATATTAGGAAATACTAGGAAGAAATAATCTGATGTATTTATGTCATTTATCTAATTAACATTTTCCTTAATTAAAATAAGAAATTATACACTAGCTTGACACAGTTTTTTTAACCCCTAGACAGCAATTAGTACTCAAATTACACCTGTATCACTCGAACATGTTACTACCACTCCAGGAAAATATAGTTATTCAGGTAGTAAATCAACTCATGCAGTCATGTGTTCGTGGTTGGAAATCGCTCTTGTTGGTATAGGATATCGTCTTGGTCGTTTGGATTTGATTAAACGTCTTTTGTTCAATAAAAGCGGTAGTCTCACGGAAAATTCATCAAACACTGAAACCGAACTATGTAAACAAGATCTTAATAAATCTCTTCAAAACAAGTAAGTGTACATCAATTGCTTTTTCAAATTGTCAAGATTCATAGCACCTGGTATTTAGTGATATTTTGAATTTTATAAGACGTACTACTCATACATGTGTGAGTAGTTTAAATCTTAGCGGTAAAGTTTCACTCCTATTTTTATCCATTTTTTATTTACTTACTAGTTCATTATGTTTCACACTGAAAAATATGTCGCTAGTTAGTCTGAGAAGGCAAGCGATATGTTGTGAAATAATTGATGGGATCAATAAGGAAGTAATTTAGAATTTGGTGGGAATGCTTCTTTAAAAGAAATCCATATGATGGCTTTTTAGTTCTTTGTTGAAAGCTTATCGGAATTGTTCTTAATACAACTCATTTGCCGAATGCATGTTTAATTACTTGAATTCGAACAACGTATTTTTTTAAAGGGCTAATAATTATATTTAGGTGAACGAACCAAAGGTGACAGCTGAATTTCCCTCAAACTCACATAGTATTCATCAAATGTATCTTGGGAAACTACGGGTGTTTTAATCATTCAGTTACATAGAACCATATTCAGAATACCAATGTCTTCCTAGTGTGATATCCATAATTCAGCATACCCCTAATCCCCATATTCTTGAGGAAAATTCTTAAAGAAATTCAGTAGTGTATTTTATACCAGCTGTTTCCTTCCGTATATCAAACTTGTCAGCCAGTAATCTGCGCCTAGAATGTATTCATTCTTTTGTTTGACACTGCTTTTAAAAACTTTGTATTTCCAATATTATAGGGCTTCTAGTGAAGTGGAGAATGATGAGACTGTCTCTGTATCAGTTGAAGATTGTACTGACAGTTCTATCAAACTTTCTGAGGTTTTAAAAACTTCACTAAATTGTAGTCCTGTTCATCCGGATGTAAAGCGTCTTTCAAAAATAATTTTATCACTGGGCCATGATGTTAGTCCGAAAGGAGTTGCTGGACCACTGGGTGAGCTATTTAGTGTATTGAAATACATATTTATCCTTAAAATGCTTTATTTATGGCGTGGATATATTTCTATTTGACAGTATATTGATAGTTTGTTTTAGGATCTATTACTTGTTCAATAAATTTTTTGTGATTTTACCGTCGTATAACGTTATACAATACCCGTATTTAATGTGTTTTTACATAATATTTCCTGAAAAGGAAATATTAAACTAGCTACCTAATGTAAAACACAGAATATCTGTTAATCCCTTTTGATAAATTTAAGTTCGAATGAATTATCATTATAACCAATGGATTTTTTAGCTGGTTGTTCAACGGATTAGAAGTTTGCTTTCATGAGGTCTGTCAGATAAGAGAAATAGATATATACTACCTTAAATAAAATAAATCGAAACACCTTTCATGGTACACACATATTTAGTACTGGTCTTATTTGATTTTTCTTTTGTTCATGTTAGGTTTTCAATTCTCTACTATTTCCGTACTGAACAGGATAAATTTATACTTTTTTCTAGGCTATGTTATAGTTTTTTTAGCCGATTAGAATACAAATACATACTAAACTTTTCTTAACGTCCGAACTCTTCAAGTTGGGCTTTTGTTTGAACAATTGTTTGCTGATATTTAAGGTACTATTTAAACATAAATACAAGTATAAATATACAAAATACTCTGATCACTTCCAATTCTATGCTATTCAACCATTAATTTGTACTGAAGTTGTAATATTTAATCTGTAATTCATCAAATGAATAAATTGTTAAAGAACACATAATTAATTGTTTATCAAAGAGAAGAAGCGTTTCTGACATAAAGATTGTGATTCTGTTCACAAATGATCAAGCAAACATAGACATCCAAACACGGGAAATAAATATAACAAATTGCCAAGATACCGTTTTGATTGAAAAAAAGACTAATTAATTAGTGAAACATCATATGATTATTGAAATACGGTTGAAAAATCAAAATCGTAGACAAAAAGAGTAACAATAATCTCATTTAAAGCTAAAATGTGATACACATTAATGAAAGGATTGAAACAAGTAATATCACATGTAGGATAGAACAAAGAATTATTGTCACATGGAATACATACGTTAGGGATTTTCGTACACATATAAACAGAGGACATTACATTGTTCTTTCCTCAATAAACGTTATGAACTACTCAACATTTTTAATTTTATTTGTGATTGATTGTCTAAAATGTGTCTGTTCATCCGAGTAAAAATAGAATTTTGCAAATCATTGTGATTTCCTATATTATATAAGATAATGTATTCTTAAAATAAATATATATCGTACGGTATTTGAAGATCATCACATCCCTCACAAACAGTCTCATCAAAAAGAGTCGTTAACTATATAAGACCATTTCTTGTTTTTTCTCTGCAACTTTTCCAGCAAACGATGAAAGGACTTTGCGCAGTGAACCTATTAATATGTCAATCAACAAACAATCAACGGATTTAGAAAATATATTTTCAGAAAATACTGTACCATCTGAAGTACATGATTCAAATGTTACAGCTAATTCCAATATGACACAATCATTTAGAACTACTGGTTGGCAAAGATGGTGTGTTAATGTTGAACAGGCTAGTTCTACATCACAATTACATTTATTAGCACGTGCTCTTGAACGTGGAGCTCATCGTGCTACCTTAGGTGGTAGAGGTGTGTCGTCTGCAATTGCTAATTATGTCTCACAGCATCCTTTACCCGCTCTAAAATGTACTTCATGTCGGTATGTTTTATTATTATTACTATTATTAGATTTGATTCGTTCTGTCACATTATTCTGGTTTTATTTTAGAGAATTGAACTACCTACTTACGTCTGTTACTCCTCGTAGTGGAACATAAGCCACCTATCATGATTCTCCATCGAACTCTGTCCTGGGCAATCCTTCCCAGTCTTTTCCAGTTGCTATTCATTCTTTTTATGTCTGCTTCCAATTTCTGACTCAATGTGTTCCTTGGTCTTCTTTTTCCCTTTGGGATTGTAAGTTATAGCTTGGCCTGTAATGCAGTCTGATGCTTTCAGCAATGTATGTCCTATCCACCTCCAACGTCTTTTACAGTTCTCAGTTCAAATGGAAGCTGGTTTGTTTTCTGCCATAGTAGGTTGTTGCTAATGGTATTCAACTAACAGATATAAAGTACCTAACCTAAACAACCTTTTATAAATACCTATATCTTTATGACGATGGTTATAGTAGTTCTCCGCGTTTCAGCTCCGTAGAATACAACTGTCTTGACGTTTGTATTGAAGATTCTGACTTGGATGTTGACTGACAGTTGTTTTGAGTTTTATATGTTCCTTAAATGTAGGGATTATGCCCTTGCTTTGCCAATCTGGACCTGTACATTTGCATCAGTCCTTCTTGTTCATCGATGATAGACAACTTGACTACTCTAATGAAAAAAGTCCTACTTAAGCTACACTGACTTTATTTGTAAAATTTTTTGAAAATGATCATAGTATTGTTATCACTATCCGTAGAAATCTAAAGTAAATATGTATAGGAAGAAAGTTATTGCGGAATCTTTTACAACTATATTATGCTCTATACATGACAAATTACCAGAAATCAAAAGTTTTATTAAATGCTTTTATATAGAGTGAATTAAATTCAGTGTGTGAAGTGAATATAGAAAGATACTTGATTTTTTGATTATTTATTTAAACATATAAACATTGGTACAAGGAGGAATCAAATATAAATTCGTCACAGTGCCTCATTCGATTGGTATGAGGACTGGAATACTGCTCGGGTGCCTAAACCAAATCAGTTATTTGGACTTCTTGCCGTCCAGTGCTTCCAGGTTTTCCATGGTGGTCTAGCTTCAATTGATACATAGAATTTATCCCAAAATAAACCGGTCAAAATTTTCTTCTTTTTCTGATAATAGTAATAATAATATTAATAATGAAATTCATAAGTATGAAGTGACGTGTTTCTCCTTAAATTTTTGGTTTGTAAAGAAAGTCTGAATGTTTGTAACCAATTTTTTTGAATATTCAACTTTGATAACGTACTTTTTCGCTTTTATTTTCCTCTGGAATGTATGAAAGTTTCATTTCAGACGTAAAAGGTTTTTTTCGAGCATATTCTTTTTAACTTTGAGATCGGGATTGGTGATACATGATACTTTTTGTCTAGTTGTTTCTCCGTTTGCTGATGCTTTTAAATTAGCTGTCAGTTACTGAACTCTAAGCTAACTACCCTGATTTCTGTTTCTACCTTATGGTTTTTTTGTTGGAAAATTTGCCATTATAATTGATCATTCTGTTCACTACTTAAAAACCTTATTTTCCACACTAAAATGTTTATAATTTCAAAAATATCTGAATATTTTTATTGTAGGGGTCCTCCAGATGTTTTGACTGTATCAACTGGATCCGGCAATCTGTCTGCATTTTCTGTTTGTTCTGGTTGTGCTTGCCCCTATCACCTAGATTGTCTCCTTTCTTCAAACACTCGACGAACTACTACCCGACGATCTCGAACTAAACAATTTGAAATTTCAGATTCGAGTAGTCCAAATAACGTTGATTCATCGTTTACTGGGTTTCTGAGCAATTATTCCTCTTTATCCAGTGTTACATCTGCTCGTCTTGAAGTGTTAGGTGGTAGTCTTATATTGTGTGCATTTTGTCTTCGTTCAGCCGAGGCGTTATTGTCAGGAGCAGATAATTCTACAGGGCTTTTACAGTCGAACAATGAAGCATTTGAATTATCTACTACATTAGTGTATACAAACGAAGATTATCTGGGTACTAGTGAAAATATTTCACTCCAAAAGGTAATAATATATATGATTACAGATTTATTTAATCTTCGTACCTGAATAACCAAAATTCATTATTAGTATTAATATTTCAACGTTCATCTAGTGCAATCAGTTTTCTATTATTAATCTTGGTCTATTTGTGAAAGTTATTGGAGTTTTCTTTTTGCTCTGTATATATTGGGTTAGGGAATGATTTATTAATAATATGGGTTTGTTAATATCTGAAGATTAACAATTTGTGAAGTATATAGCCTGCAAGTGTTAATCTATTAAATTAAAAAATAACTTCTGGGAACTTTATAATCCAGTAAGAGTTTGTATTCTAGTTATTTTTACGTAATACGTAATGGTATGTAAGTTAAATAAACCATAACGTCTTAATTATTCAAGTCTAGATTTGCAACTTCACTGTTAATATTCGACAGGTTATGGTCTTATGAATGTGAAGCCTTTACTTAATCGAATAAGAGGTCGCACTGTCATATCAACTCAAGTGTAAATACTTTTTTTTTTGATATCATTCTCATTTACTGTATTTGTTATAGTTTGTACTGGTTTAGCACTTGAATGATTTCAAGGAAATAATCTATCTTTTATCGTTATTAGGTTACTTACTAGTATGTAAATAGAATTTCTTTCGAAATTAATTTCTGTAAGGCGATCTTTAACCCAAACCCTTGGTAGGTACATTATTCTGACTAAAATGTTATGTGTGGAAATAAATTATGAGTAAGGTATTCATGGAATATTTTACAAATTCAGTCAACAATTGCGCAGAAAACTCAGTTCTTATTGAATGAAACTGTGATTCTAAATGCATTAATTAACCAATTGATCGTCTATTTTGATTGAATGTGTACTTTTTCATGTGTATTTTTAAGTTGTTAACCCACTATAATTTATTTAGAATGATAAAAGATTTGGTGCAAATACCGTTCAATTCAAATTGATTTTGATTGATAGTTTATTAGTAGAGGATTTGTTGATCATACTACAAGTCTTTGTAATAGGGGAGTGTTAAATAATAACTTTCGGAACCTCGTAAAAGCTTATATTTTAGGCTACTAGCCACAATAATTGTTTTAGGAATACTTGAAGTCAATACTCGAAGTCAAGTTAGTAGGTGAAAGTTGTTTGTTTAGACAGAAAAGCGACAACGAATATACAACAATTTCACAGTGCCAAACTATGTATAAACCGTGTGAAGTTGATTGCCAGTTTTTCCAATCGGCCGTTTACAGATCAGCAAATCGCATATTTTGTGAACGGCTGTGCTGTGTCAACAAGCAGCAAACCTCAACAGTCAAGCATTGCCACTTTTATGGCCATCACTTGAAGATCTATGGTGCCAACTCAGCATAAACTTTGAAGGAGCAACCAATGTGATCACATGTTTGCTTCTCGTTGATGCATCCCCAAATTGGCCTGAGAATCTTCCAATCGCAATATAAACCATCCAGCTTCTGACAGGCACCCGAATGCCCTGGTGCGGCCGAGGATGAGGAGAGTTAATTCTACCTCTAGAAATACTATCACACGGCCACGCGCATACAGCTGATTTCAGGGAAGTTCTAATCACTGTCTTCTCGTGAGGTTACTGTTGTTTACGAAATTGAAAGTACGAAAAGCGAATGTCCGGCGCTTTAACCGGGTTGGTGGACACGGAGAGTTCACCTATGGGAGTTGGAAAACCTTGATTCCAAACCAATGGTGCACATGGGCTCCAGTATCCTGAAGAAACAAATGTCATATGAACCAATCGTTGGTCACCGGCTACCATGGGACTGCATCTCCTTATATTACCCGACTGCCTTGTGGATCATACCTTTAGGTCAAAGTCTCGGGGTGTGGCCCTCTAAGTAAACCACCTGCTTCGGTTTGGGCACTCGGGCAGTATCACAGCCCTCACATATATCAAATGAGATTTGTGTGGCGCATATGTATTTGGTGCATCCTTATAATAATGTTTATGTGTTGAAATAAAAATAAATAAATCACTGTATTGTAGTCGGAGTAGTGAAATTATTAGCGCAGTACACAAACGTATCAGAATCTAAATAGATTTTTACGCAGACCCTTAAGAAAACAACGAATTTTCTTATGACTAACACTTGGAATATTGATTTAGTTTAATTTATTAGATACTGCATCTCTAGATCTCGAAAATTATGTTACCCAGCACATAACAAATACTATTCTCATTGTTCTCTAACTAGAAGACAAATCGAGTTGGAAGAAAACGTCGTTCTGTTGTTTTTGATGAATCTGATGATCCTACGTCATACGATGGGAATTCAGATGAGAAAACTGATAATCCCCTTGAGAATATGGAGGAGGTCGATCCTGATGAATCGACCGGAAATCAGCATACAGAAACAGGACACACAAATAATGTGCATGTAACTAGACGTCGTGGAAGACCTGCTCGTCTTCATCGTGTATATAGTGGTCGTGGTCGTGGTCGTCGTTCAACGAAATTTCTGTCAGAGAAAGTTAGTCATTGTGATAAAAGTGATGAACCTAGCTTAGAAGCTACTTATACATCTCCCGCATCAGTAGATATGTCATCGATCAGTAAATTGTGTGTTACTGTAGATGTTCATTATGACGATGAAGTTGAACAGTTGCTCAGTCCTTTAGATCATCAAAGTAAAAAACTCAAAGGAGACTCCGGGTCTGTAAATTCAGCTTTAAGAACAAACAAATCGTGTCCAACTGTTCAACCTGCGGGAAATTGTCGCTGTAAGTTCTGTTTTCAGCTATTGTTTTATTGATAATCTTTATTATTAGTACTAAAGTAGTTAGTTGGTTTTTTAGTACTTATACTCACTGATACTAAGTACTGATTGACTCTCGCAATATAGTTCTGGAAGCTTTTTATATACCTTATTTGTAATGCATGTAAGAATGAAATACCTAAAAGCATTCACTTAATTCATTCCATATAACTCTTGTTATTAACTTGTAGTAGAAACATTGTTAATTTCTATTTGATCTGTTTCTATACACTGAATTTCCACTGATTTGTTGGTCCCGGTGTTTAATGAGATTTAACTAGGGTAGGAAATTGGGTTTCGGAAAAGCGTTTGGGTGTCCAAACCAAAATACCACATTTGTTCATTCAGTCATTCTGTAGCGAGGTTTGTAATTCATAGTTATGTTTTACAGTCAGTCAGTCAGTCAGTAACAACGTGGAACTTCGTACGTACGTACATCAGTTCGAGTTGCCATACTACATTAGCACAGAGATTCAGTTATCGATTCAAATCCCGTAGTGGTAGAGGTAGTGAAAGTATAAGTAGTGATAGGGAACATTAGGGTTTGATGATGTTATTTAAGGAGTATAGTCCAGTGGAATAGATTTGGAAAGAAAATAAAGGACATGATAAATTCAGAAGATTAGAGTTTGAGAGAACACAAAGAATGGATGCACCTGGCCATTGCAAACGATTTTGAGCCATGTCATTCATGGTTTCTAACCATCGGTTGCTATCATCTCGCGGTCCCCAACCAAGTAGTCTACACCTACCAACATGGCTCAGTCCACTTGTCAGTGGCTTCATAGATTTGTGCCATGTTTTTGTCTGGTCGCCACTAGCTTTCTTCCAACCTACTCCTACACCATAAAACATAGCACGTCGGGGCAGTCGGTGGTCGGGCATGCGCAACACATGTCCCAGCCATCTCAACTGATTAAGTTTTACAAAACAGCTAGAATCAACGTTTGTAGACGAAATGAAGAATTACTTCAAGTTGGACGAATTAGCATAAATTTATTCATTTTTTAATTTTTCCTACAAGTTTTTACCTATATATCATGTTACATCGTTCTTCCGTTTCACTCGTTGGTATTGGAAGTACCTGAAAATCACATTTTGCACTTTACATTCTTTTTACTCGTAACCATTGCGTGTACGATAATTTCACTAGATCATTTGGTTAATTATTATTTTATTTATTAGAATTTATCTCGTAACTTGTAATCACAGTATTGCTTCTATTTTCCCTTTTATTTAGTAAAACGTGCATCTATTATTTTAGATAATTGTGTTTCACAAATTACGAGTACCAATGATAGAGGACGTCGTTCTAGTCGTGGTCGTCCTCGAAAATCTGAAGTTACTCTACCCAACCCCTCACTCGAAAATCCTGATTCAGTCAATCCTTTATCGTGTAGTCGAGAGCAGTTTGATCAAGCTACTGCTGAGTGTTTCCTATCAGAACTATGTACGGTTAGTTCAGCACGTCCCCTTCTCCGATGTGGTCTTGGTCGAACTGTAGCTTTGAATGAATTAAATCAAGCTAACGGTAATTCAGAAGATAGTTTCGTCGTTAATTCCCTATCTGAGCGTTCTCGAGCAAGTCATCGAACACGCTCAGCAACATCGGGTCATTCTTCTGAGGATCGTAGATTATATGCTCTAGATTTGGTCGGGTTACAAGAGATTTTAGTTCGTGGAGAATTACCTCAGGGACCAGGACAAGTAATCCCTCAGCTGCGGTTAGTTGCTTCACTGTATAGAATTCTAATCTTGTTTCATACTTTTTTTTTAACGGATAATCATATTATCATCCGCCATATTAACCAGATTTTATTTTTGTGTCCCATTTCCATTTTGCTGACTTCCAGGTGTCGCATAATTATTTTATTTTAAACAAAAAACCATTTCTTTTTGAATTAAACACTTATGCGTTTTAGATATTAGCGAATGAAATATCATTCGTCATGGCATTTTAGAAATATCGTCTATCTGGTTATCGTTTAGATAGACTCACCAGTGATTTGATGGTGGTCATACACTAACTCACTGTCTTCTGGCGGGGTTACAGTTGTTTACGAAATTGAAGGTACGAAAAGCGAATGTCCGGCGCTTTAACCGGGTTGGTGGACACGGAGAGTTCACCTATGGGAGTTGGAAAACCTTGATTCCAAACCAATGGTGCACATGGGCTCCAGTATCCTGAAGAAACAAATGTCATATGAACCAATCGTTGGTCACCGGCTACCATGGGACTGCATCTCCTTATATTACCCGACTGCCTTGTGGATCATACCTTTAGGTCAAAGTCTCGGGGTGTGGCCCTCTAAGTAAACCACCTGCTTCGGTTTGGGCACTCGGGCAGTATCACAGCCCTCACATATATCAAATGAGATTTGTGTGGCGCATATGTATTTGGTGCATCCTTATAATAATGTTTATGTGTTGAAATAAAAATAAGTAAATAAATACATTAGCCCCAACAAGACAACAGTCAGTACTTGTTCCATTATTGAATACATTAACTACTACTGTGGTGCTTATGCTGACTGATATAAGTAGTATGTTGCAACCGTCGGAAGTGGAATGCCTGATAGCAATCGATTGCACTGAAGAGAGCGATAAGGGAAACAGAGAAATCATGATAACATTAGAATTGGAAGAATCATGAAGTATGTAGAGGACAAATGAAGGGGGATGTGAAAATGATGCTTTGAATGTACGATTTTCATATTTTCTAGGGAACCGTGTAATTTTACATGAAACAATAAATTGGTTTACCGTATCTATGTTTCGTGCGCTACACCACAACTTTTATAACCGATTGATGCAGGCAATTATGTACCATTTACTAAACATGGTCACTTTTCTGGTTGTCAACAAATTAAAACTGTATTATGATATTGTACAAAACATGATGTGTTTGTTATTGGTAAATTGATGTTAAACTTATCTTGCTTCTATAACTGTTCAATATGAGTCGATGCATTTAATGTGAGGATATCTAAAGTACCGATTTTACAATTGATACATGTCGACTTCATGTTTGTCACATCTAAAATACATTAGGCATTGAAACCTACTTTCGCGTAATCTAGCTTATTCCTGTGGTAATACAGTAGCCCCGTTTCACTATTTTTCTTTATATTCGTTAATATAGTGTTATGTGTTCTTGAAGGCACTGATTTAACGTTAATGTAAAAAATCCTGACTTCAGTGTCGAATGTCGGTTCTTTTGAGTTCCAGATATTCTTCGCTTGTGTGACACAACTGAATCCCAATTCATATTGATTTTCTCCAAGATTTAATACCTGAACCTGTACTCGACTGTTCACTGTTATCTATTAGGAATTCGTAATTTCTCTCTATATATGCAAAATAAATTTATGCTTTTTTTCTCTCATCTAAAATTTAATGTATACATATTTCTTTGTTTACTTTGGGTTGTCTAGACTACTCCTATCTCATTGGCTGCGTAGCAATCGTCCTGGTAGTCGTTTGCATCAATGTGCTTCAGATTTACTAGAACAGATGAATAAAAAGTTGAAAGCATTACAACAATTGAATATCCCCACTGTTAATGATAATATCATTAGCAGTAGCAATAGCAACAGTAATAATACTGTTACTGATTCTTTAAATAACAGTAATAATATTGACAGTGAAAATCTAAGTCCTGTCAATCACCACCAATCACAACCATTATTCACTACTAGTCATTGTGGAAAACGCAAACGGTAATGATGATGATTTTATACTAATTAAAATCTGCGGTTCTACATTTTTTGTGTATATTTATTATTGCTTTTTTTATTCTCTACTATTTATTTTTGTACAGTAAAATCACTCACTCTCTCTCTCTCTATATATATATAATGAATAGAAAATGAGTGTTTTCACTATCCCTTTTCATCTTCGCTCTCTATAATAAGTGTATTGTTACTACTTTTCTAGTTCTCCTCTCTGAATCACTTTTGAAAAGAATATCAATTAATGAACTCTTTCTTTTTTTCGATTTGTATATGTTGATCATTTGTTTTTTTTATGTGTATGTGCGGTTTCGTTCCTTATTATTATGTTCATACTGTTATTGAAATTGTAATAAAATATAGAAATAAACCAGTTATCAATACACATAATTCCTTTCTTTACTTTTAATCTATCAGTTAAGTCATTTTTATATGATATTCTCATAATGTATATAAAGGATAAAGAGATATGTGTTTTTGATTGTTTTGGAAGAGCTAACGTTTAATTTTACTTCTTGTTTTATAGCTAATTAAAGTGTTTATCCAGTAAATATTGGAAGATTTTTAAAAGCTTTTTCAAGTAGTCGGGTAAATTGTATTATTGTTTTCTATCGTTCAATAAACGTCAGCTGGAAGTCTTTATTTAGGAATTTTTATTTACTCTTCAAGTTGGTGGATTTATAACTCGATGAGATTGTATAGTGAATAGTTTTCGTAACTATTTTTGTTTAGTACATTTTCTGTTAGTAAGTGTAGAAAAAAAGTTCTAAATTCAATTAGTTTAAAGTATTATCTTTAGATATAGTGTGAAACCAATTTAAAGAAGACAGGTGAATTATCTGGGAGCAAACAATAAGATGTGATATGGTGTTTGTTTGTGCTGACCCTACTTACTTTCATCCGTATCTCATCCTATTTTGAATCGTTGGTTATAATCAGACAGAAAATAACTTACTTTATACGTGCTAATTTTCACCTTTCATGCTGGTCCTAGTGTTTCCATTGAAGCGATAATCTTATCCTTATTATTAACCGCAGAATTTTGAAAAAAATTACCGAGACAACTGGCTAAAAAAACATGAGTTTTTCATTACAGTTGTTTGTGAATTGGTTGTATTTTCACTCACTATCAAGAGTCTGAGTTCCATCCGTGCTGAATATATATATTCTGTTTTGTTTATTGATTACCATTTAAGTTTTTAAAGTATTCTATGGAAACTAATAATCTTCGGATTTCTTTCGAGAACTTGAAAATTCGAAATATGATCATCTGTTAATTGTTTATAACTTAGTCGTTATATTCCATTTGTAAAAGTTTGGAATTTACCAATCCTAGTGTTAGACACTGCAGTTTTTCAGTCTATTTTTGACAGATCGGCCTCTTTGTATTGTCATCTAGTCACAAGTATCTTCGTTTTTTCATATGTTCGTTATAATACCTAAAGATAGTAAGTAGCCTGTGTTGTGTCCAAATATTTTACATGGGTATCATGATGTGGTATTCTTTTGTCAAATCAGTTGATTTATTGTATTCGTATTATCTAACCTCTGACTTCATTGCATTGGTTCTTTATTATGGTGTTAACCATGCCTCACTTCCTTTAAATCTTCTAAACAACGACCTGTGCAGACAGGTTATTGAAAATTTTCAGATATAATCTAGTAATGTGTGGAATACTATTCCCTAAGAGTTCGATGAATTTAAAACTTGAGTATATTATTACATAAATTACACTACATAAAATCGTCTTTATATGCTATAATTGGCTTTCAGTAGTATCGCTTTATCGGTAGTTCATTGTCTTTAGTTTTACCGATATTTCGAGAATCGGATTTCCAATGTCCTGTTAAATAATCTATATAAATATATGTAAGAAATCTTTAGTTCTTTTTTGTATTTAGGGTTTCCAGGGATTTCATTTTCAAGGATTAACTCGATATCCTTCATAATTAAACTGTTGTTGATTCAATCGGAGGGTATTTTTTATTTTATTTTAACACATAGATATTGGCACAAGGAGGTACCAAATACATATGCGCCACACAAATCTCATTTGATATATGTGAGGGCTGTGATACTGCCCGGGTGCCCAGACCGAAGCAGATGGTTTTCTTAGGAGGCCACACCCCGAGCCTTTGACCTAAAGGTATGATCCACAAGGCAGTCGGGTAATATAAGGAGATGCAATCCCATGGTAGCCGGTGACCAACGATTGGTTCATATGACATTTGTTTCTTTAGGATACTGGAGCCAGCCTACGTGCACCATTGGTTTGGGATCCGGTTAAAGCGCCGGACATTCGCTTTTCGTCCTCTCATTTTCTTAAACAACACCCCTGCCACGTGAAGGCAGTGAGTAGGGCTTCCCTGTCAGAGGCTATATACTCGTGGCCATGTGAGAGCTTTTCGAGGAGGAGAGCGGACTCGCCCCGATCTCGACTGTACCAGGGCATTTGGGGGCATATTCATTTGATAAAAGTAATATTAAGTGAGAGCTATAGATTGTGTGGAGTCTTTTCAGTGCTATGGTTATTTTGTCTGGCGAAAACCAGATAACTTTCGAAAGCCAAGGAACTACAGATTGTTGATTTTTCTAGTGTGAAAGTGATTAGCCTATTAAATCAGTGTTCATACATATAAATAACAACATAGATGTCTCAACTGAAATAAAGAAATGTTATGTAACCAACTGAAATAATTTCGAATCCAATCGGTTGTATATTTTTTTTGTTTTGAATGAAGATTTAATTGTGGATAGCTTTTGTCAGTTATTGACATAAGCTGGTAAGCCAGTGAATAGGAAGAAAACACATGTTTACAATTTCACCGTAGAGTAAACCTAATATCTGAAATGAGAAAGCAGTTAGAAATGTCAGATTTCGTTATCTTTAAGCCATTATTTCGTAATCTTATGATACTGGACGAAAAAAGAACTTAAATTTTTGACTGTAAACATGTACAACTCACATGAGAATAATCTTTGTTCTTGTAAAAACCTCACTAATGATATGACAATTAAAAATAGTCATGAAACTATGTGTACTTTTATAAACATAACAATAATGATTGTTGTCATTCTTATGGTTACAGGTAATAACTATTTCCCAGTAGATGATAAAATTAATTATGTAGTAGTTTTTTCTCGGTAATGTCTACCTGTCATGAACCAAGGTACGATAAATTCTAATCGTTGATGATCTTTGTTGTTTAAATTATTTTTTAAAACCTTTCAGGCTATAATTAATAATAAGACAATTCAGTACAGTTATAGTATACACTAGTACACTTGTATCGAAGGAAACTGCTTAATTTTGATTAAATCTGAACCATTGGTTAAAAATAAACTATCCAATGAAATTAAAATTGTAACTACCAATCACATTCTAGTCGAAATGTTTAACTCAAGTCTTTATTAAGCCAATGATGATGAAGAGTAAGTATTAATGAAGTTAGCAAAACAGTATTACAAAATCAATTAATTTCAAAGAGGTTTTGTTACATTGGTGCAAATTAAAATTTCGTAACTCACTGATGTTTTCATTTCTTTAAATACATAAATGTATCATAGATACAAATTATTCACTATGTACAATAGTTTGACTAAAAATCAGTCCCACCAATTATTTTTTTCGGCCATATGTAAACCAAAAAACTGAACCATCAAACCTATGTGTTGATGTAGTTAGATGTGAATGCTCCCTATTGTTTCCTAAAAGCCAACTGAAAAACATCTCACATCTGGTCACTTTAAAGTGTAAGTTGGTTAGTTGACGCGTTCTTGTGACATGGAAAAAATTAAAAAAAAGACTGTCTGATCTATAATGATTATTAAAATCTGATACGTTGTAGACGATAAACGTTTTACTTTAACAAAGTTTTCATCCACAGTAAATCATATGGTAAAAGAAAATACATTAACTACTATACGCTTGTATCCTTTTCACAGCTAAATTATTTATCTTAAATCAGGATGAATATTTTTTTATCATAATAGAAATATTTTTGATTAAAGTAAGTAGGAAAAAAGTAACGGTATAACATGAATTTATTTGTTTCAAGAGTTCTCTACAGCTGCTTACAAACTAGAAATATTTAATTATTTGAAATGTAATACAATGTGAGAAAAAGTAGATTAAAATTAGCTTTGAGATGTAAATGTTGATCAATAGAAGACAATAATTGTTAAAAAAGTTAAAAGGTTTGTTAAAATAATTGTCTGTTTCTAGGTTGAATACTTTCGCTACTGGTTAATAATATTAAATCTCTTCATAATAGACTGATATAATAGGCAATACCTTAATTGTTTAGAATCTAAGTGACCTATTGAATTGATTTACTCTCATCAGTTATGACATGTACATACATTTTAAGAAGTAGTAGCTATAACACGTAACTATAGCTTCGGTTTATAGCCGTTTAACTCTATGGTGATGTGGCTTCACTTTCGTAAAGTGATTTTTAATGAAATAATGTTAAGTATAACTCAGTTCACCGTTTACCGATATAACTGTTAGGTTGTGTAAATCTCTTGTAGCATGTACCAGTTTTCCTGATAGAGACTTTTCACGATTAAAGGTCAATAGCAAATACTTAATAGTGACCACTGGTTTTCAAAGGTGTCGCTTGTGCGATCTACGAAGAATGTAACTTACAAATTCTAACCATTATCAATACAATCTAAAAGCCTTTTTTGAGAAGTAATTTGATTTCACGTAATCAATTAGTTTGTTTTTTATCAATGGAATTTTGATTAAGATCGGTTGTTTCTATCAAAATTTTATTTAGTTGATGATGCGAGCAAACAGGGATCTTAACAAAATGAAGTCAGAAGAACTGGAGAATTATAAAGCGTTTTCTTGTCCACAGAAATGTGTGTCATACCAATTACTCTTATGTCAATATTTCATTCAGTAAATTGATAAACAGTCAAAACTTGTTTAACTAAGGAATCGGTATTAATTGGAAAATAGTTAAGTAACCAAAAAGAATTTGAATCAGTGTTTTGACTTAGTTCTTGTCTTCTTAGATGTAGACATAATCATTAGTTACTGTAATTAATAATATCAAATGACAGATGAGAATTTTAATACTCATTCATCTTAACTGATACACATTATAAACTGAAATTTAGCAATTTAACAACTTAATTTATCCTTAATTCGTTTTGTAATGTTTGTTTAAATGTTCCCATTGACATATAGGACTGCAATTGATCAGTCTCTGATTGGCATATGTGCATCCTGTGCGGAGTGTCCTAAGTCATAAGCATTATATGCAGAGATAGATGGCGGCTAGCAATGGAATCAAAGACGCGAGTTTCGTCCTCTTTCGGAGTCTTCAGCTAGATTAACCTTCATCCCAGAGTTGATGTTCACTCTGAGACTCGATATCCTTAATTTATTTGCATTTTATCATTGGTATGCTAAAATGTAAATGAAATCTTTCATATGAATGTTGATGATTATATTGTACAAATTAGTTCATTGCACGTTACTACATTTTGCATAAACCTGCTTTCCTTTTTTTAAAATCTCTATTGATCTAATGAATTAGTTATGTTTGTTATATACGTGCATGATGTTATATCTACTGAATTCATTTTCAAAAATGTATGCTTTCATGATAATACTAACATTTTAGTACTGTACGCTTTCAAATTTGTTTGTTTACCTCACATTTTTTTGTATTTAAAAGTTAATAAAATTTAAACGATAAGCTAATATCAGTGATGAATGCTTGTTCATAAGTTATGTATGTCATTTATGTTGGCTTGAAAGTTTCATTGTGAAGAATGAAAGAAACGTATCATCAAACCGTTGTATGTTATCAGCTGGCATAGATTTTAAAATAAGCTACAATTCGTTCTCCACTTACAATTTCCCCACTAAATAGTGTATCAAATATTGAATTAATAATAAGTAAGGTTTTTAAATATCTGATGTATCTCAGTATTCTTCACGTTTAACGGTATGGTTAGACAGTTTGTGAGGTGTTGTACTCTGAACTATGTGTCAATATTTTCATCTATGAGCTTTTAGTTTTATCAAGAACAAATTACACATATATTATGATTTGCTTTATGGATTACTCAGTTTAATCATTATGGCCAAATTAGTTATGGTTTTAATTATTTGGAAAAAAAACATTTCTTAACATATAATCATATTTTCAGTACATAATATCTGTTGGTGTTAACCCCTTCATATGGAACATTAAAAGCATATATGCAATTCACATTCAAAAAATACGAGACTAGACAAATCAATAACTTTTTATCAGAATGGAAACAATAATATTTGGGTTATTAAATACATCGAGTAACAAAATTCATCCGTTAACCCAATGTCGTTGCTATCTGTGGGTAAAAAAATTATACATCTCTTTACAAAAATATCATTCAATTAGTCACCATGTTTGTGTTTTAAGTCGCTTCACTAGGAAGCAGAATTATATAGTGGAAATAAGCCGGTTATCTGTGTAGAATAACAGGTAGATTTATAAACGTGTCAAATTCTTATGATGTAATTCTTGCGTTTGTTGTTATTTAAGATACTAAGGTCGCTATTTTCAAGATAGTGAATAACTAACTGATGAATGAAAGTCATAAAACTTAACATTCTGGCAGTGATTTGATGTATTGATTTTCGAAAAGCGATAACAATATTCTCGTTCAATCTTTGATTAAGATTAACTGAAGGTAATCCATTTTTAACTACCATCTCTCCTTAAGGGCCTAAAAAGCATGGATATTTACCATTCATTGAAAGATGCCATAATTGGTTTGAATGCCTACGTATATGATATTATTGAGTCAATTTAAATTGATGCGAATATTCGTTAATGTTTGGATGAATTGTTTGTCAGAAATTAGACTCCGAGTATATCAGAAACACTGTTTCTGAAAATTTTGTTTGAAATAATTTCAGATTGAAATTTGAATAGTTCCACACTGTGGTCCAGCAAACATGTCCGCACTTCTTCAAGGAAATAATCTAAATCAAAATTATCAAAGTATATGTAACGTTTAACGATTAAATCTACATTGAATGCTTATCCAATCATATTCAGAAATTGGCTTTAGTAAATAGGACAACATGAGTCAGGAAAGTGTAGTGTCAGTTGCTATAATAAGCCCACACAACTTATAACTTCAAAGCAAGCTAATCTTCATTAGAATTGAGTCATATACACGATGAAGACGAGCAGGTCTTCCACGACGTCTAGTTACATGTACATTATTTGTGTGTCCTGTTTCTGTATGCTGATTTCCGGTCGATTTATCAGGATCGACCTCCTCCATATTCTCAAGGGGATTATCAGTTTTCTCATCTGAATTCCCATCGTATGACGTAGGATCATCAGATTCATCAAAAACAACAGAACGACGTTTTCTTCCAACTCGATTTGTCTTCTAGTTAGAGAACAATGAGAATAGTATTTGTTATGTGCTGGGTAACATAATTTTCGAGATCTAGAGATGCAGTATCTAATAAATTAAACTAAATCAATATTCCAAGTGTTAGTCATAAGAAAATTCGTTGTTTTCTTAAGGGTCTGCGTAAAAATCTATTTAGATTCTGATACGTTTGTGTACTGCGCTAATAATTTCACTACGCCGACTACAATACAGTGATTTATTTATTTTTATTTCAACACATAAACATTTGTACATGGAGTCAATAAATACATGCGTTAAGCAAGGGTAGGACGTCTCTGACAATGGTTGTATATGCGTTGCGATCTGAGAGCTTTTTAAGAGGGAGAGCGGACTTTTTAACCTCGAGCGTACCAGGTAAATGGCGACTAATTTTTTTAATGTAATTCGCGCTTATTTGTGTAGCTGCAAAGTATTTATAATAAAAGGAATATCTAATAAATTTGTAAGTGAATTTCTGCCACTTAATTTAAGAAAATTTTTTTCAAGTAACGCTACTTCAGCTTTATCGTTATCTGTCATTGTTTATATCATCACATTAGCTTGTGTTACACTTGTATGTTATGTACTTGAATGAAGCCAGATGAAAGTCATTAGTTTCAATCTTAAGTTAATAGCACCACAAGAAACGTTTGATTGTAAATTTTGTAGTTTCGTCTGTTGAAATATTCATTTATTTCGTTGTAATATCTTCGTTACTTGAAATGGTACTACTAATATTATCGCCCTGGTCACATCCCCGATGCTTTCTATTGATTATTACTTGTATATTATCCATTTTTGATTCATAAATAGCTTTAACTGGTGTAAAATTACTCACTTATACATTAAAGCGGTTGTACAATTTTTCAAGGAGAAAACTTAAAATATTTTTTTGGTTTTTACATTTTCTTCAAATTTAGATTTGTAGAAACACGTAGTTACCAGTGACCTAGTTTCTGAATTTCATTAAGAAGTTTAGACGGATAGAATTCAATGATGCTGATGATGAAACTGATACCAGCAATGTTAAAAAATGATCGTTATGATGTTCCATATATTGATTCAAATGTGAACCAATGGATGCGTGATTTAAATGTAACACATTTATCTAATGGCCTTAAGTTTTGGATATCAATCTTTTATGATGTAATGATTGAAGTCTCTTGATAAACATTCAATACTATCACAAACCTTCTATTTATCATTGTTTTTAAGTTTCTAATAATACATTAACTGAATTTACTCGTTGATCAATATCATTATACATCAGAAATAATCAGATCATTGGACAATTTCATGTAGTTTATCTTTTTTAATAGACAAATTTGATCAAGCAAATGAGTTATCGTTGTATTTTATCAAATATTTTATCAATACAATACAAAATTAATTGTAGAACATTAACTATAATACTAAATAAAGCTGACCAGATGTTTTTATTTTATCAACTTTACAAGCAAAACAATGAAACACAATCATAAAGAAAAATTTTTTTATTGTAAGTGTACATTTTACTTATTAGTAGTTAGATTAAATAAATAATAATATTTGTTTTTTTTTTTGTGTTTTGAGTGTTAACAATGCACTTGTATATGTATATACGTTTTAGAAAAAAATTCAAAACGATTTTCATATTATACCTAAATCTAGTTTATTTTTAACATGTCACTTGAGATAAGTATAAATAATAACTGTTAAAATATGTGTATATATATGTGTATGTATTGTTTACAAAAGATAATAATCATCTTACATCATGAATTGCATATATTACGTCATCATTAAAAAATATCTTATAACAATCAAATATTGACAAATAAATAAGTGGGTGTAAATTACGTTTACTATAGAAGTGAGATCAAAGAAAAAAAAAGAAAAAGAAAAAAAAAGAAATTAAAAATAATGGTTTCGTTTACATTTACTTCAATGTAGTACTTTGGATATATGTTATTAGTAATTTTCACACAAATTGAAGAAAACAACCAATTTTTAATAGTTGAGATCATGATTCAGTTGAAGCTAGAACACTATGGAAAACCTGGAAGCACTGTAGTCTCAACTGTTGAAATTACTACAATCTCCACAAAACCCCTCCCGAAACTAATCAACATGTGCTCATTAGTGACGGTCTTCAAGAGATATATCCTGAAGTTCTAGTGAGAAGCAGTGACCAGTAAAGTTCAACCGGGTCAGTTGTGAGATAGTAACTCACTAATGAAAATGGTGGATGTGTCACTCAACTTCGTGGATTAGTTGAAGTTAGACATTAACACTATTGGATACCGGCTCAGTGGTCTAGTTGGTTAAGCGCCTGGCGCGAAACTGATAGGTCCTGGGTTCGAATTTCCCTAGGTGGGGTCGTAGAGGAGGAGTCCCACAATATTACGAGACGACCGTCCAGTGTTTCCAGGTTCTTTAGATGATGTAGCTTCAATCGACTAATGATCTCAACTACTGAAATAACTGAGATCTCCATAAAACCCCTTCTGAAACCGATTTTTAATCGTTTATGACTTTAGTTCGATTTAAAAAAAACACGTTCAAAGAATTTTTTTCTTTGTGAAGAAAGCAAAGAATTTTTATGCTTACAGAAGATGATAGCTAAGTTCAACTTGTTATTGTTTCTATAATGAATAAATAAGAAGGTTGAAAATTTGTTAAAAGTTATACTTTCGAATACAATAATGTACAGAGGTTAAAATGTATATTTGAGTAATCATTATATATGAAAATTATATTTGATTTAATCTCAGCGATTGAAATTTAAAATAATTCCAATGTTTTGTCTAGCTAACATGATTATTACCCTGAAGAAGTTCAGACAAGTTGGCTGGACGAAATGTTGAAATTATTTTAAATTTTAATCGCTAAGATTATTTCAAATATAATTTTCACATATAATAACTTATCTATACTCGGCGTTCAATTTCTGTCAAACTATTCGTTCTAATCTTGACGAATATTTGTATATATTTCAGTAGTTTGAGTTCATAGAAAAATCTAGTAAACATATCAATCAATTTAGAACGAATTGTAACATTTGATTAAACTTAAAAAAAGGACTGATTTGTTTAGAATATTTCAAGCATTCATTGAATTGCTTAAAGGTTTACAGGTTATATTTATTGTGATTTTATTTTTATAAGTCAACCATATTATTGATTCTATCTTTGTTTCTATCATATCCGCGTCGATTATTACTTAAACTTGAAATAACGATGAACCATTGTTAATACAATGACGCGAAGTCAGAACATTAAGACCGGTAGAAGTAAAAATTTATTAAACCTTAAACACAACG